GCCTGGTTCGTCCGTCTCCGTTCCCGACGCTCCTGACTCCTCGGTTGCCTCCTCCGAAGATCCGTCCCGCTGATGTACCCTGGCTCGTCTTTTCATCCTCTGCACATTCACCTCCATGGGTTCGTCCTGAGGTCTCTCCCTCCTGTGAAATATGTATGGGCACTGCCTTGCTATGTGCCCTTCCGTCCCGCACTCGAAGCATCTGGTGCGCGGACATTGCGCTACTAAATGTCCCGGCTTCCCACACCCGTGACATTTTCTCTCTTCCCTCCGGGGCCCATTCCTCGGCCTCGACGACTGTCCCGATCTTCTTTCCCTCGTCGGGGCTTTTTCTCCACTCGGCTGCCTGGTGTCCCTCTTCTTCCAACCTGTCGGGGCTGTCCATGGTCGTCTATCCGTCACCCGGGTCCAACCCGGTTCTTCCACATCCATCCGTGTCTCCTCCTCTCTGGCACTTAGGTCGATCATCTCCTGGGCGCATTCGAGGAACGATCGCTCTCTGGGCAGTCCGTCCCTCTTCCCCGTTTCTTTAGCCAGCTGGACTTTCAATATTGTCGACAGAAACTCCATCCTGGCTTCGACCTCTCCCACGCTCATTGTTTCCCGCATCTTCTCGGTTATGCGATTGTACTTCGCCACGAGTACTCCCGCATATTGCCCCCTTGACTGTCGTTGGGCCCGCCGCTCCCTAAACATTTGGAATATGTCCTCTTCCGGTGTCCACCTACCTCCTCCAAAAGCCTTCTTCAGCCGCTCCTTAATCACCGGCCACGGAGTCTCCTCGTCCGCTTGGATCTGGTTCAGGACGTTCCTCCTTACTCGGCACACAAGAGCTGCTTTTAGTTCTTCAGCGTCCCCTAGGTTCACCAGGTCCTCCGCCACCTTCACCTCGATTCTTGACATAAGACGATCTCCGCCTTTCAAGAAATGGTTGAGCTCGCCTACCTCGCCTCCGAATCGTTCCAGGTCCGCAATGGCCCTCCGTAAGTCCTGCGTGGTTGTTGCTCTTATTTTCATCCATTCCAAGGCATTGGCGTGTGCTTCTGCCAACGTGTCCCTTGGTAATGGAGGGATCTCCTGGATCTGAGGGATCTGTGCTACCTGAGGGACTTGAGGTATCTGAGGTACCTGAGGCGCGATCTGGGGTACCTGATTGATCTGTGGAATATCCTGAGGTTGAGGAATTTCCGGTACGCTTAGTACTCCCGGTCTAATCAATCCTTCTGTCGGCATTTCACCTTTTCCTTAAACACCAAAAAAAAAAAATATCTACTTAAAAAAAAATTACTTCCCTGACGTTGTCCCGGGTTTCGGCACCAGTTAAGCGTCGTCGGACTTAGAAAACAAAAAAAAAGAAGGAAAAGGGAAAAGATGTAACATACACGACTTCTGAAATAACACTGCTTTATTCGTTCCATAAGCCTCCTTATATACACTTAGCCTGTTTATTTACATTACCAGATAGTATTAAGGCTGATACCGCCAGTCTCCGGTCTTTATCTTATATATATATATATATATATATATATATATATATATATATATATATATATATAAACCTGATAGAGGCTGTCCCTCCCCCCAATAAAAGTGTTGAGGGTGCAAGGATATCGTTTCGCCCACTACCAAATAATTTGCAATAAAAAAAAAATAGTATTGATAAAAAATAAGGACATGAATGAATAAAATATGTAAACTGAAATCGATTAAGAAAATTCAAACTCTTTAAAGTTGGTTCGTAACTATTTTATAAATATTCCTATTGTTTAAATTTTCATTTATATTCAGAGATAATTATATAGACACATTTTCTATGATTTTATGATTCATTCACCTCTCATGTGCACACCTCCATTTCTACGTGATTTTCTAATAAATTCTCTACCATAAAGTTGGAAAATATATTTTATAAGTATAAGTTTAAATATACTTTATAGAGAATGTTTTTTCATAACTAGTTAGACTGTGGAAAACTTAGAAATGTACCTATGTGAAGAAGGTCTGTCCCCTTCCTTTCATCATTAATGTATATAAACTGTAATAAATTCAATCGTTTTGTTCAGACATTTTCAAGTATATTCATATGCACATAAATAAATTCTACAACTTCGAAAAAAAATTTTTTTTTGTTCCTCCATTCCCAATCGAAATAGGAAATCAGCGCCTATGGCCAAATTTAACTGTTTTGATAAGTAGAAAAATATGGTAATTAATTGTTTTAAATGAATATTATATACAGTCTATAATTTTTACTGTCACATAAATAAATACAAGGGAGTGGGGTAGCTCAGTAGTAGCTCAGTGGTAGGGCACTAAACTTCCAATGCTCGATGTTCCAGGTTTGAATCACGGCTCATAGCAGGCAATTATTTTCTGTTTCATTGGCCATGGGACGACCCTTTACTAGGGAGATCCGCCCTCCTGAGGCACACCCAGTCTCTACAAAGTGGGTCCTTAATTAAATAATTGGTTAAGGGGGAAAACCTGGCGGTTGAGCGTGATCCTGACCCAATCCCCTGCCTGTACAACCGTTGGTCTTGAAACAGTACTTTCCCTAAATATTAAAGAATCCAAGACCCTTCATGGGTTGTTTTTTTTTTTTGTTTTGTTTTTTGCTAAGTGAAGGTTGTGTGATACGCGCACCGTACCAGATTTTTCTATCTTAGAATAGCACTTATTAGCATACAACTACCCTCAACAAAGTATTCATGAGTCATCTTCCTCAACAGTTACATTACGCGAACAAGAAGGACAAGATCAATCTGATGATGAGCGTCTTGATGACTGTCATCCTCGCATTCATTGGTGCATTCAACCAGTACACCCTCAACAAACCGGTCCTAACTATATTTATTAAAGCTGAGACCGTAGGAAATGTGAGTATACAAAATAAAAAAATATATTGTTGGCTCTTAAGTTCATTTAGAAAATACTGATATCAATTCAACATTTTGTCCATTCATAGCCATACAACGTCAATATGACTGAAGAGATCCCCGTGTTGATGAAATATGGCTATGGTTATATCATCAGTGGTGTAGTCGCACTAGCTTCAGGCTTCATTCAGGCAAGTAATCATTAATGTTTGTGCTACTGAGCTACTCTTGTAATGACTAAACTGAACTACCCATGTTTTTTTTTTATTATTATTTCTAAATGATATTTACAACTGTATTAAATAAATACATCAAGTAAACTTGAACATATGGATATCATGACATGAAAACACTTGCTGAGTAACTACCCAATGGTAGCACTCTAATGATATGTCTACATTAGGATATCACGGGGCCATCTTCTTTTCAGACGCCTTGGATGGTTATCAGGAATTGAAGAGGAACCAAGGTTAGAAACGAGAGGGTTGGGATGATTCTGAAGTTTATTATGGAAGGATAGGTATCTGGATTGGGCCAGATCAGAAACATTAAGGTCATTATGGATGGTTTTATTTGTAACAAAGTAGGGAGCATTGAGGTTTTTGGATTGTAAGGATTGGATACGAGGGGAATTCGATGGTTTAGTGGAGCCCCATAGCTCAACTCCTTAAGTCCAAATAGGCCTTATTATAATCATGTATATGAGTCTTTTGTAATTAATTGTAAGTTTAGAAGTTTTGTCTAGTAAGTGCTGAAATAATTGAAAACGTCGAGCGGTTTCTTGTCGTTTCAGTCTAGTATGAACCCATGTAATAATTAAATTGAAGTTCCTTTAGCTGATGACTAACTGAATTAATCTTGTAATGAATAAAGTGAACAAGCCTTGTAATGATTAAAGTAAACCAACCTTGTTTTATGAACGTAATTTTGTATCCGAACGCCGCCTTGCGGTGAGTTGTAAAAACAGAGATAAGAGTTAAGCCTTAAGCTACGAGCCGCTGTTGGCCCCACTTAGGCCAACCACAGAACACCTAAGATTGGAAGGAGCCCTCACAGCCACGTAAGATCTTTATATGCCATCATAAACGAGTTACTTTTCATAAATCATATAGCCTACCACATTCAATAAAAATACAGTCCACTGCCATAATAATGTCGAATGTTGCCTAAGTTGAACTCATTAGAGTTATTTGCCTTTACTTTTATTAAAGTTCAAAGTTGCCTAAACAACCTTTGTAATGTGGAGTTCTCTCAGCGGAGGATTAAACTGAACTACCCAATCTTTTAGAACATAGCGTGCGGACGTATAGTAGTTGTGGTTCCAACCCTCTTCGTAAGGTAAGAGAGAAAAAAACGTACCAGGAAGAATGACAGACAGAAAAGGAAAAGAAGACGGTGGCCAAACTGATGTCTGAATAAAAGTAGACCTTGTGCACAGCTAGGCAAACTAGTTCTGAATTTTCCTTGGTTCAACTCCGATCTCATATCAAGGTATTATTGATGCGAAAATCACATAAAAACTGAGAGATATGCCGGGGAAACGATATTATTTTATCACTAATGCAGTGATAACTTCCAAATTTTAACTTTTGTTATTTCTCCAAATTTCTAATAGGGCCGTACGCTTGCCCCACTGTGTACCGGTGCTACATCGATATATCGGGCCTCGATATTTTTAATATATAAAGAATAGGGATATAAATACCGGAATATCAATAAAAATATTTCGATGTTTCATGTCTCAATTACAGTAATCATTAAAAGAAGAGGAACAAAGTTAACATTCAGGTACCAGTTATGTAATAGCTTTGATAGGAACAATTAAATATAAATATTCTGCCTATCACAAAAAAAAATCAAAAATTTAATTTGTCAATAAAATATTACAAGAATTAGACAAAATGTATGGTGTTCTTTTTACTCTTTTTATTATTTCCTCTTCTCAAATACACATGACATTTCTAGAGTCAGTTTTACGAAATACCAAACACAAACAAGGAAATGGAGGATGTCAGTTGACTTGATCAAACGCCATTATAGATAACTGATTAGTAAAATTTGATTAGTCACAGGGAAAATTAAAACTATTTTTGAAACAATCTATTCCTCTTTATTACCTTAAAATACCAACATTTCATTAATATTTAGTGACTTAATATTTCAGATTATGGCTTCTGAAATAGCTTCACGTAACATAATAGCCAATATTAAGACTGCCTACCTATCAAAGATGCTGTCGATGGAGAGCAGTTGGTATGACAAATCGCAAGAACAGTTCGTTAATATTCTGGCACAGTAAGTTTCTCAATAATTTTAAATAAGTTCCAAATTACCTAAATCTTTCTTTTTTTTCCAAAGTAATTATCGTTATTTTTATGAAAAAAAAGCTCCTGGATCCGCTAGTGATATAAACAGAAATTGATGATTGAGACAGCACTTAATTATTTAAATCTTCTATTCATCTATTACAGTGACTTGCAGAAGATGGTGGCCTTATTTGACAGTAAAGTGATGAATTTGACAGAAATGATTTCAGGAATACTTTTTGGTTTGATAGGAGGCCTCCTCCTTTCTTGGAAGGTTGCGCTTTTGACCCTTGGAACTACGTCGGTTGCTATCACGATAACATACTTAATACTTAAGGTAAGTATCATTTATGTTTATAGATTAAGTATTGATATTTACTAAGATATGACTTTTTGGATCAAATAACGAGTTTTGTCTAAGAGGGGAAAGGTGAAAGTATTTAAAAGAAACTAGCGGATAGGAAGTGTGAAAGTGAAACGCTTAGATTTAGATTTATTTACTTAGATGTACAAATTAGTACAATAAGGAAGAGATCTCTTTGTAAGTTTAAGGAAGATCTTTCAGAATTTGAAGATAGGATGGCGATGTAAGGAGCAAATGTTGCCAAGAACTTATTCGAATGAACAGGTGCTAAGAAAAGGACTGCACAGTGAAAAACCTGCGTCTACGGGATAACAGTTGGAAAATTCTGTACTCAAAAGGAAAGTTCAGAAAGATAGATCTCAAGAAAAAATGTCAAACACGGTAAAAAAAATATGTCATGTAGAGAAATGTATCGATTGCTTTCTAGGGCTGAAGAAATATGGCATACTACTCAAAGTCCTTGTTGAATGTTTTGGTTTGGAGATTCTATTAAGGGTGCGATTTGTATCTGGTGGATCTTTTTAAAACGATATTTGGAATGTTTAGCAGTAGATTAAATGGACGATTAAATTTCGTGTTGTTGGAAGATTTTCCTGGTTTAGGGAAAGGATTATAGAGGAATGTTTTCACTAAAGAGGATGGGTAGTTCATAGGATATATATGATTCATAGAATGTAAGAGATATGACAGCTTTGGGATAGTTTTCGAAAGATCTGAAGGGCAAGCAAATCTTACACAAGAAATTCACATTTCGTAAGTTTCCGTAAAAGGGATTTGACCTCATCATCATTATAATCTGTCCTCTTTTTATAGTTGCTAAGAGAAGTTTATAGAGCCTTCTCCAGCTTTGCAGGTCTTCCACAAGAAGCCTTCTATCATTCCATTGAAATCCTCTTCTCTGGAAGTCGCTCTTCAGCTCATCTTCCCATTTCCTTCTATTATAGGCCACCCTCTTTCTCTCTTGCCCTATACTTCGCTAGCTATCCTGTTTCTTTTCATCCGCAGATGTCCTAACCATCTCAGTCGATTCTCTTCTATCGCATCATTGGCCGGCTTAATATTGAGGTTCGACCTGATGGTGGTGTACTTTGCCTCTTCTTGTTTTCCTTTCAATCTTTCGGAGGAATCCCATTTCTGACGCTTGTATCCTTGATTGATGTTACTTTGTCAGGATCCAAGATTCTGAAGACTTAAAATAGGAAGAAATGTTGGTATGAAAACAGCCACCAGAGATTTACCTCAAAGGGATTATGTAAGGAAAGTGAGTGTGGTAAAGAGATGAATTCTTATATTGTTGTTGTGGATGGTGTAGTATTCCGGATGAGGAGTGACTTTTCTATTCATTTCCAATTTAATGATGGTAATAAAGTCCAACCACATTTAAACGATTTTTTCATTTTATTTATTTTTATTATGATACTCTTTGTTTGAGCTTATCAAAAATATTTTTTTTTGTATTTCGATTATAACTATTACAAAAATTGCAATTATTTTTCTAGGAATCAAAAAAGAAGGAAAAAACACAGCAACAATACATTAGAGAATGTACAAAAATTGCCTCTGAAGTACTTGGAAACGTTCGTACTTTTGCTGCTTATAGTGGAGAATATAAAGAAATAGAAAGGTATTATTTATTCAAATACAGAATCAGACAGTTTTTACATTTTATTTACTAAAATACAGCTAAAAATCACAGGTTCAATAAATTTTTGGTTTTATTTAAATTAGTTTACATTTTATAGTTTATCAAAAAAAAAATTAAGACATTTATTCGATGTGTTCATTCACTCACATTTAGATACAGGAGTACATTAATGATGGCCAGTAAGCATCGGCTGAAACATGCTACAGCGATCTCTGTTGGAAAAGCATTCAACCACTTCGCTACATGCATTTGCTATTTGGCCGCCTACTACTTTTCAGTAAGATTGTATCTCTTAGACGATTTCAATCCTGGCTACATAGGATTTGTAAGTAAAAAAATATTTCTACTTTTTTTTTTTTTTAAACTCGGCATTAGAAATCTTGTAGATCTTTTGACGCCTTAAAAGCCTACTCCTTCTCCGCTTGGCTCCATTACTTTCCAGTTATCTGCATGCAGTTCTATTGTATCTATGTTAATTCGATCTATCCATCTGTTTTTTGACCTTCCTGTGATTGTCGTGTAGAGGTTTCGAGATGTATTGCCCCGTGCTTTCATATCATGAGATATTGATTGACCAGTTTCTGTAATCAACTCTTTATTGGACTTTCTTCTCCATGAGTTAATACTCTGATCCCAAATCGCTCCGGTTATCTTGCGAAGGATTTTTCTCTCAAAACTTTCTAAGGCGCTTAGAAGTTAGTGTAAAGGTCTCACAGCCATTGGCTTCATCATAGCATTTTACATCCCTAATTTGAGATTTCTCGGTATTTCAATAAAGGGAGAAAAAAGCTCTTTTTGCCCCGTGCGCTTGCTGATTTCAAGCAGCCATAATCGATGGATTATTACCGACTTGTCTCTATCCTGGAACCCGAGTGAATCAGTGAGGATACTGCTGGATTGACAAAATATGTTTAGGCTATTGAGCTATGGTTCTGTCGATACACCTTGGTATGTTGTAAACTGAGGTTGATGGTATGAGTAAGGTGACCAGATTTTAACATTGGTAAAGCAGGACACCATTGACTGGACAGGGATGATGGTCCAAATTTGTTGTTACAATAATTAATTTTACATAATAATAATCAGGTGTAAATGTTCATCAGACGTAATATAATGACGTATTATTCAGCTTAACTAAGACACATAGGCGCCCTCTACTAGGGGCTTGGGTCACTCCAATGTTACCGTAGTTGGGCTCAGCCCTCCTCCCCCTAAGACATTGCTGTAGTATGAACTTCATGTACAGATCGATCTTGTACATTACAAAAGAATCTATCTACTAGCAGCTGTAGTAGAATTTTTTTAATGTTGTCCTATTTTGGATTCATAGACTTACGTAAATTGTAAAAGGAGTCATCTATTAGTTTAAAGTGTGACTTGAAGTTTTTGGTATTAAAAAGGGCTTGAAACAACTCATTACCATCATAAGATGGTAATTTTTCATATTGGAATATATTCAAACAATATCCCCACCCTCCTTGACCCTCCACCCCGTTATTATTTTCATATGTCAGCGCCTATGCTAAGGTAGAGAATTTAGTTCTAGAGAAGTATTTTTAGAGAGAATAATTTGATGAAGTATTTAACGTCTAATTTATGAATTCAATAATAATACAGTTTTTAAGACTTGTTGTGACAGCATGTTGTACACAATCATGCAGCTCTATTTCAAAATGCTATAAAACTTATGTTAAAGGTGACAATATTTTGGTAATCGAAGTAGCAAATTAAGTTAATTTGCTGATGCCAAATCTTGAGCCTTTTTCCTCATCAATATATTTTTTTAATAACCATACCTTATTAAAAAGATCATTTTTTTGTTGTTTATGAAGTCTAAACAATTGTGGTCGAATTCTAATAACTGATCAACAATGCAAACTATGCTAAGCAGTTCTCGACAATCAGTTCTCAACAATTATTCGGTATTGTTAAAGTTTAACATTATAAAATTAACAAAAATAATTTAAAATTCTTATTCTGGCGAAATAGTCACGTAGCCGCTGAATATTAAATATTCTCTTCCCGTTCTTCTGCTGTTCCCTAGTTTGTCGTGCATTCGTTCAGATAATCGGGACATTTCAAAAATATCGCGGGGCATCGAAAGACAAATTGTTAAAAATTAGGGATATTCCGCCAAAAGCGGGACGTCTGGTCACCTTAGGTATGAAAAATGTTACAATTTGTTGGTTGTTATCGATTTTTAAACAACACCTTTTTAGTTGAAAAGTGATCACCGAGAAGGAGGTTGAGCCGCTTCAAGTTGCGCTATTTGAGTTTAAAATGTTTTGAGTGTAGCATATTTTAGCAGGATTTTGAATTTTGGAGGGGTTACTTATTTTTTTAGTTCCAATTCGAAGGAACTTTCAAATTGGTATAAGGAAGGAAAACAAAACAAATTTACAATTTTTCTAATTATATTTTATATTAGGGAATGCCACCGACCATGAGAGAAATAGGCACTCCAGGCATAGCATACTTTTAATTCTAATGTGGAGAACCTAGGGATTATTGAATAAGTATTATACATTAAGTCAAGTTCATCAAAACCTAAACTTTAGCATTCCATCGAAGACATTATGAACTGATTTTTAATCTTTTAGCTCTTGACATCACAAATTAATCCTATACTCAGCTGCACTTACTTGCTGGCCGCTATTTCTGATCTCAATGTGGCGATAGATTCAGCTTATAGGGTAATGAGGTTCCTGGAAGCTGAAACAAGCTATGGCAAATCCATTGAACAGGGAATCGAACCTGACACATTTGAAGCTAGAGTATCTTTCAGAAATGTTCAATTCTTCTATCCGACGAGCTTGAATACAAAGGTATATATTTTCTTTAATTTTATCTATTAGAATTATTTTTTTTTTCTATCAAAAGATTATAAAATATACAAACTTAAATTTAAAACATAGGTGCTACATGATTTGACATTGGACATTGAGCCAGGTAAAGTCACAGCAGTTGTAGGAACTAGTGGTGCAGGAAAAAGTACGATTGTGAGCTTAATTTCACGCCTTTACGATGTTACTGCTGGACAGGTATGGGGCTTTAAAACTATAAGCATGAAAGTAAAAATATTATGCTTTTAGATTGCATAAAAATAATTACATTTCGGATAGATCCTAATTGGAGGAGTGGATATAAAAAAACTGAATGTCAGTTGGCTGAGAAATCAAATTGGTGTAGTGGGACAGGAACCAACGCTCTTCGATATATCGATAGAAGAGAACATCAGATATGGAAAAACTAATGCAACTTTGGAGGAGATCATGGAAGCAGCGAAGATTTCTTATGCTCACGGCTTTATAGAAAAATTACCTTCAGTAAGTGTGATATTATAATTATGGTACCAAATTAGTAATTAATCATTTCTTTTTTAAGTGAAAACTTCTTTGGGCACGTTTTGTACTTTTTTATTGAGAGTTAATTAGATTGAGCCGTCAGATTTCCGAAGTGTCAATGCTCGGGTGAAGTCGGCTGCAGTCGACTAATTGAAATGTTTTTACAGCGAGGGAATTGTTCAGCATTTCTTCCTCTCTGTAAGAGGCTATAATTCAAAATTGTATCTTGACGTGACGCCGTGTTAGGGAGGCGAAAAGGAAAAATAGTGGCGAAAACCAAATGATAACGAGTTTATTTGGACCTATGGATTAAAATATATTTTTTTTAATTTTGAGTTTTTCCACAACTTAAGGAATCATATCCCCAACATCCAAAAGCCACTGCTCCATGTCCATCCAATCTACTTCACGGAGCCCTCTGGCTGCCATGCTTTCCTCCACGTCCTCTATCCATTTATTCTTTGACCTTCCACGCTTCCTTCTTTCAGGTGGCATATAGTTATAAATTTTCTTTGGCCAGCGGTTCTCATACATCCGCCATAACACTTTAACCTTTTGGTTCCGATCAGGTGGAGGATGTTCTTTTGACATCCGATCTTGTCTCTTGTAAATAACATGTTAATGGTTTAATTGTAAATATATTTTTTGGCCGGGAATTGTGAATAGCCTTCCACTTTTATATCGGGAAACTAGGATATTTACACTCGTGATTATTAAAACAAAACCCCGGCACTAGATATAGACTTTTTGAGGGTGTTTAACTGTCGTTTAGAATTCGGGAATCTAATACCTTTTGTGACACTGAGTGACAAGAAACAATAAAAATATATATATAATGTGGGACTTAGCAAACACACTTTGAAGGAATTGACTCACCTGGTTTGTTATTCTTCAATCGTGAGGCATATAGGACAACTAAATAAATAAATGACTTTTCACTTCTGTATAACAAAATAATTTATTTCTACAACTGTGATAAATTGACTCTATTAAAGTGTTATAACTATAGGGTTGATCTTCTTATTCTTCAGTGTAGTAGACTTCTCAGGTAACCTCCTTCCTTAATGTCCCATCCTCAAGTGCGTTCTCTTCTCTTCTCCGACTGTTGCTACCTGCTCCGTCCTTTTTCCAGCGTCCTTCTTCATCGATTGTTTATCGATATGAGACTTTTCAAAGAATAATTTGTCCACTGCATAATTGAGTACAATTCATCGTGAAACCTCACCTTCCTATATATTCCCTCACACAAAGGTGACATAAAGGAGTCCAGATATGCCACAGCTTCTTCTCCAGAAATCCATTTCCATGGAAAGTAACTTTTTTCCGCTTTTTTTTTGTAATTGTCCAAACTTCTGATCCGTAGATGGCCGTAGAATGGTAGATCGTCTTTTTAGTTTCCAATTTTATTTCCTTACTCTATAGGGTTAAATTTTATCCAACTTATTATTCTTTTCCCATTGTTTATTTTATGTTCGATGTCAACTTCACTACCTCTCTTTGAAGATAGCCAGTATCCGAGGTACTTGAACTGTTGGCTGATATTGAGCGTCCAGTCATTAAAATATTTCAGATACTAACAATCGGACCTGTATACTGTAAGCGAGGGAAATGTTGAAGCCTCTCATTTTTTTTATAACGAGCTATTATTTATAACTTACATTTCATGTTATTAGTCTCGTCTTGTTGATGTTTTCACTTCTATCATGTGGTATTTGTTAAATTTGTTACCAATCGGATTAAGTTTTTGATAGAAGGTTCTCGACAGATCTTTACTTTTCAGAGGCCTATATGTATTATTGGTTTTTAAGACAATAATAATGGATGTCAACTTATTTGGTTCTATCTAAAGATATTTGGATCTAGTCTTTATGCTTAGGGCTATGCTTCAATTGTTGGAGAGAGTGGAATAAAACTGTCAGGAGGCCAGAAGCAGAGGATTGCCATCGCGAGGGCCATCGTCTGCAAGCCAAAACTGCTCCTTCTGGACGAAGCAACTTCTTCGCTAGATTGTCATTCAGAAGGCATTGTACAAGAAGCCCTGGATAATGCCATGCGTGGCAGGACGACGGTGATCATTGCTCACAGAATGTCGACAGTTAAGAAGGCTGATGTTATATATGCCATGAAAGTAAGTTGTTCCTTCTCGTTTTAATATTTTGATCTTCTAAGTAAATATTAAAGAAGAAATTTCAATTAGGAAGGACGTGTCATGGAAAAAGGCCCACACAGTGAACTGATGGAACTTGGAGGATATTACTACTCACTTGCCAAGATTCAAGAACTTGAGGAAAAGGACCAAGTTGTTACGATAAAGTAAGAAAATATATACAAATATAATAAATAAAAATAACTTTATACAAGTTTAAAGATGATTTTAGTCAAATTTTATCAACTGATTGGTACTATTCGGTGGTACAGACCCATTTTTATCAATTTATTAACTTCAGCTTGAAACTTCCTTAATAGCTTCATCTCATCGTAACCTACAACTAATCTGTTTACGAAAACTCTTGGAATTGTGGCGTTTTCAATCTGGAGATCGGCAAACTTTGTTTATTTTATTAGGTCCAAAAAAACTCGTAAATATTGATCTGATATCTACATGGATTGTTATATATAACTATATAATATATATATATATATAATATATATATATATAACTATATATATATATATATAACTTAATTTGATCATTGAATCGAGAAAAAAGGTGGCCTGCAAAAATATTGGTCAGTTTGACCTATATAACCTTGTTATTTTGACATTTTGTAAATGTGAATCTAACGGCTCAATATTTTTGAAGGGCACATTTGTCCTCAATTTCGTGTTCAAATCATGTTACGATTCAAGTAGAAAGCAAATGGTATTTAAGAGTATTTAGTACATAATTAAATAGACAAAGCTTGCCGATCTCTAGATTGAAAACTTCCCAATTCCGAGTGTTTTCGTAAATAAAATAGTTATAGTTTACAGTTACGGAATGGACTTAATCCGTAACAAACAATAATAATAATAATGATATTAATTTAACTTTTATTTTGTTAAACAAACCAATTGGTGAATCATGCATTATCTCTAAGTTTCACACGGCTCAGATCATAAAAGCACAAAGCCCTAGATAGCCAGGTCAAGCTATCTCTAATAGCTTAGAAATAGTTATCTAGAATGTACTGACTGGACAGAAGACACTTATCAAGACTTAGGGAACAATAACCGTTTTCTTCATATCAGACTTCATATCAATTCTAAAAGATAAAGATATCAATTCTTAATAGATATAACTTCATTCACACGCTTCCTAGACCGTCCAGAATTGATTCACCTCCCCCCTCCTCCCCTACTATTCCTGAGTATTTAACTCCCATGATCCCCAAACCAAATCATTAATACAGTTGCATTCTTGAGTCATACTCTTAACTGCAGGAGACCTGGAGTGAGCTCGTGTATTCAACTCATATATCCATAGTATATTACTCTGTATTTTAGATGCCATTTGTAACTTTATGAATAAAAGAATTACTTTTAAAGTCTTCACTGCCTCCGATTCGTTAACTTTACAATGAGAGGAATTTATTTACGAAGTTTATTTATTATTCTTTATAATTTACAACTAAAAATTAGGTTAAAAATATTGTGCGCGCATCACACAACTTTCGCTTACCACTCTACTTTGAATAGGAATTATTTTCTGGCACTTTTGAGCTATTACAAAGTTTTCAATTTTTAACGAAGCTAAACATTACAGCTAACCTGTATCGATTCATTAAAATAAGACAAGCCCTATTTATTATATTGGTGGTAGGTAATAAAAACCTCGTAACTCCTTTTATTTTTATAAACCATATAACTCCAGCCTCTGAGCTATATATTCCTAGACAGATTTGAAAGTACATCTGTATATTTAACCTATAAGTAAATATGGATTGTACTACTATTAGTTCTTAAACTCATATTTTTCCATTGTACAGTTCACTAAAATGGAGTTATGAGATATTCATGGCTGCCTTTTATACGGTGGACTGTCTGGTGGGCTTGATACTAAAGAGACTAATGAATTATTTCATTTAATTTATCTTTGGAGTCCCCAGGCGCTCCCACGTCTCCAGTTGCTATGCCGAGTTGAAGTGGCTCTATCTAGTCTTCTGACGGCAATACTTCCTAGTTGTATTCCTTTTTCGAATCTTGTTAACCTAAAAATTCTCTTACCTTTTCAATTTGTTTACTCCTTGTTCTTCTATCCATTCGTTCAACACGATATCCCAGCCCTCAAACTTGCTTATTCCTTCTCAAAGAACTGTATCCTTTAAAAAATCCTTTATCATAGGTGCTACATTGTTTTGGAATTCCCTACCAACTTCCATACGCAAATCTTCATCCTTGACCTCATTTAAATATAATTTATCGATCCATATCCTCAGCAATCAATCTTCCGAATATGTGTAAAATAATGTTCAAGTTTTCAGACCTGTCAGTCGCAATTAATGTTATCCTACAGCTAATACGTCATCCACTTAATTTATCTATAACGTCATATATCTACCAGTGCCTTTTCTTTATTTTAATTTTAGATCTAAATAACCTTGTAATTTAATTTATTCCTAATTATTCCTAATGCCAGACAATTGTCATTAAATTGTACATTGTAGTTATTCTAAGTGGACTTAGTCCCAGAATGAAATTTATTTTTCTTCTTCTTCCATGAAAATTTTTATACTTCACTTCCAATAAATTAGTTTTTTTTTAAACCATTCCATTGTCTTGAGGCCATTGATTTTATTTTCCAACTTAAAAGTAATTTAAAAGTTTACATTTAGTTAGAAAATTTCTCTAGAAACATGTGGTTTCCGTTAAATAATATTAATTTTCATCATATGGTGCTAACCTAATAGAAAATTTCAATTTGTAATTGCTCCAAACATTTTTGTAAATAACTTGGTGTTTGAAGTTATTATTTTGAAAATAATTAACGACAATACTGAAGACAATACTCCCACCTACATATTTCTACAAACCTTCCTTTCTGATAGATTTTTCTCGGTCCGACACGGGTCAGAACTATCTTCCATCAGGTCTATCTCAGCAGGAGTACCTCAAGATTCAGTACTCGCTCCACTGCTCTATATCACATACACTCATGACATACCTTGCAGTCCCAACATTTTAACAGCGACATATGCAGACGACACAGCAATTTTAGCAAGACACAAAAATTCAACATACGCCTCACAGACCCTACAACAGTATTTAACAAGAATACATGACTGGTTCCAAATTTGGAAAATCCGACTAAATCACAGCACATCACATTTACGCTTCGACATGAAACATGCCCTCCAGTTTTCTCTGACAATACACAGATTCCACAGACAGACACCGTTCACTACCTTGGTCTGACATTTGACAGAAAAATGACGTGGGGCCCATATGTAATCAAGAAACGAAAAACGCTAAATCAAAGATCAAGAATTCTGAGTTCACTTCTTTCGAAAAATTCAAAACTAAAACTTAGACAGAAATTGAACACATGTAATTATTTATTAAAAACTATTTGGACTAACGCATCACAGATATTTGGAACTGCTAAAAACACTCACTTAAACAAACAATCTTTCAAGCAAAAACATTCAGGACAATTACAAAAGCACCTTGGTACGCTAGCAACATAACCTTACATACTGACCTCCAGATGCCGACTGTTAACGAATACATACGAACTCATTACAAACGATTCCATGACAACTTACAAGCACATCCTAATACACTTATAAATGACATGGCCACCACGAATATGCCAGGTAACGCCTTTACGAGACTGAAAAGGAGCTGGATGAGGGACCTCCTCGCCTAATGTAGATATCACGCCGAGTGAGGCACTGATCCTCATGTCATTATATTTTTCAATCGATCTCACATTCACTGGTTGTCATTACCATTATGACAGGTGTGAATAAAAAAATTAAACCAAATAAAAAATTTTTTTCAGAAATTCTATTTATAATTTTTTTGCCATTCTTCATTATCTTCTTTAACTTTTTATGTTTTATTTTTCATAACTTTTTCATGTTTTGCGAAGAGTGATTGCGAAATTGACTATTATTTTAAAATTCTTTTTAAATCTATCAAACTGTAACAATTTTTTTTTTAACTATTATTATTTTTTCCATACAGACGAGAAAGTGTTCATATAGAGGAATTTGTAGATACCACACCATTTGTTGAGAAGAGTTTGGAGGTAGATTCATTCTTTGTTTGTCGAATAGCAATTGTTGATAATTAAACGGATTGTTATTTTTTCTGCCTAGGTGCCAAAAGATGACAAAATACTGGAGCTAAGTAGGAAAAGCATCAAAATGATGGTTGTTTGGTTTCTGGCTGTATTGTCTACTGCATCCACAGCAACATTTGTTCCCATTTTTTTCTACTTATTCGGTCGGTTTTGCCAGGTAATCGTCTTTGCTTGTAATTTTTATCATGCTGATAAATCTTGCAATATAAATTTTACAGAATATTTTGTTTTTAGTCCTTTACATACCCTAAAGAGGAATTGAATCGGATAGCCTTGACAGAAGTTGGTTATCTTTTCGCACTGGGCGCCATTATTTTTTTCTCAGTAGTTTTGTCTGTAAGTATACATCACATTCACCAAGTAAACCGATTTGCTATGAAAACCTCGTAACTACGTTTTGATAAATTTTATAAATGAAAATATAACTGCATACAAAATATAAAAAGTGTTACACCTAAAAATTTTGTCCGAAAAATTTGAGGTTCGTTCGGGCTTAAAACAGGGAGATTCCCTTTCGCCTGTCCTGTTCAATTTGGCATTAGAACATGCCATTAGGGAGGTAATGCGAACCGAGAAAGGGTTGGATCTGGGCGGGACAACATCCGTGCTGGGCTATGCTGATGATCTGGTACTCTTAAGCGAAGACGTTGAAACTATAAAACTAAATACGACAACGTTAATGAAAGCCGGTAAAGAACTAGGACTCGAAATAAACGTGGATAAAACAAAATATATGGTTAGCTGCAAAAATGGCGATACTACTGGTGATATCGATATAGATGGTAATATGTTTGAACAGGTAGATAAATTTAGGTATCTAGGTTCTACTATAACTAGAAAAAACGAAATTGAAGAGGAGATTAAGGTTAGACTGAAGGCGGGGAATGCTTGTTATTTTTCTGTGACAAAACTACTTAGTTCGCGCCTCTTGTCCCGAAACTTAAAAATTAGAATCTATAAAACAATTATCTTGCCTACAGTTCTTTATGGATGCGAAACTTGGCCGCTTACATTAAGGGATGAGCAGCGTCTTAAGGTTTTTGAAAATAAAGTATTGCGTAGAATATTCGGACCGAAGAAGTATGAGTTAATCGGAGAGTTCAGACGGTTACACAACGCCGAATTGCGTGAGCTGTATCCGGGTAATATAATTGAGGTAATTTCATCGCGGCGAATCAAATGGGCTTGTAAAGTTGTTGGGCTTAGTAACGAGAGAATTCCTAAAAGGTTAATATTTGCTGTGCCGAATGGTAAACGTCCGAGAGGTAGACCGAAGCGAAGGTGGGAAGATTGCATTAAAGCCGATCTGAAGGGACTGGGTTTGGACGCCGAACGGTGGAGGGAGGTGTGTGGCGAACGATTGGTGGTGTCGGCACCGAACCTTCGGGTTCGCTAAGCCTTATTATTATTATTATTATTTCCATTCTTTATTCTCGCTTTGCGGGGTAAGTTTCTGAGGTGGGAGACCAGAAGTCCAGCCACTTCAGATTAATATCTATTACTTTTTAGATATTTAAAAACTTTCGAACAATACGAGCCGTATCCAAGAGAACTGAGTGTTGAGCCTCTTTCAGCACTTCAAGAGGTAATTTTAATCCCATCGTGCCTGCCACTGTTGTCTTTGGTATTAATCCATTGGAAGATATTATAATTGGAGTGGTGGTGACGTTCCCCAAATGATATAATTCCTTCAGTTCGATTGCCAGTTCCTGGTATTTTCTCAGTTTTTCTCCAACAGTGGAGCTTATATTATTATCATTGGGGATCCCGACATCAATAAGCTCTGCTCTTTTCTCTCTCATGTCTATCAGAAGGATGTCTGGTTTATTGTGACGCACAGTATGGTCAGTTATTATCGATTCATCCCAGTAGAGTTGAGACTACCTTTTTGGAGGAGTTTATTTGGGTGGTACTTATAATATGGAGTTTTGTCATCTAACAAGTTGAACTTCACCGCCAGAGCCTGATGAAAAATTCTAGCCACATTGTTATGCCTCTGGAGATACTCGGTGCCAGCCAACACTCCACACCCACCTGTGATATGTTGGATTGATTCCAGCGTCGCTGAGCATAATCGACATTTATCCGTAGTTGTTACGTCTTTAAGAACATGCCTTCTATATGATCTAGTAGCAATAACTTGGTCTTGGATGGCGAGCAGAAATCCTTCTGTCTCGGAGAATATCTTTCCAGCTTTCAGCCATTCAATGGATATTTCCTTGTCAATCGAGCTATCATTTAATTTACTGTAGAATCTTCCATGCAGAGATTTATTTTTCCATTCTGCCAAGCGTTCGTTTTCTGACACGATTGTAGAGACCTCACGATTGCTCAGGTTAAGTGCGGTTAGACCATAATCCAATCTTGAGATTGCGAGGTAAACCTCAGTTGTTTTTGTAAGAAAGTATCGGCGTAGGGCCGCTTCCTGCTTGCGGCAAGCTTCTTCGATATTTAGAAAACCACGTCCTCCTTCTTTCCTAGGCAAATACAGACGAGCTTTGGATGATATTGGATGGTGGGCCCGTTCTTGTGTGAGAGTTGTTCGCACAAGGCGGTCGATCTCCTGTAGGCTGGTGTTTGACCAGTGCAATATGCCGAAACTATAACCGAGAGCAGGTATTATTATTATTATTATTATTATTATTACACCTAAAAATACTCCCCCAACTTCTAAGTTAATCCAATCAATGCCTAAATAATACTCAAAAACGAAGGACTGTATTTAAAATATTAATTTAAAAATTCTGAGTAAAATAAATTAATGAATTACTGTATAGCACCGATTTTCTCACCACTATGCTGAGTTAGGGTGGCTTTTAGTTTCCTTCCGAAGGCAATATTTCCTGGCCACATTCCTTTACCAAATAATCAATAATCAACGTATAATCAATAATCATACAATCTTCTACAATTTAAATCATCGATCCACACCCTCTCCACAAGATCACGTCCTTCTGACCTTTACACAAATCTGCCTCATTTAAACATTCCTTTGTTATCCGTTCCACTGCATTCTGGAATTCCATATCATTAAAAATCCACCCTGCACTCTCCTCTCTATGTGGGTATATTTATATATATATATATATATATATATATATATATATATATATATGTTAGCTTTTTCTTTTTCTGCTCGTAATCTATTGCGTCATAGGTAGATCACAATACTTGTCTACTTTTTCACAGTACCTTCACATGTTTTCACTTAAACGTCTTAAGGAACATATATAAATCATTTATTTACTCTAGTTATTTTCTTTTATTCTTATTTTTATTTCATTTTTTAAAATTATATTTTAGCACTAAAATTGGTTACCTACAAAACTTATTTAGCATTTCTTTCCAATTTTATTTAGTTATAAATACGTTGTTGTTTTTTGTACCAATATTATAATATTGTAACCGTTGTACCCATCTGCTATCCTTAATATACCCTCCAAAACTATGTATATACTCATTTTATTACTTAGATGGTAGATACTTTTTATTATAATAGGTCATCTGGCCAGATTTATTGTCAATTGGTTTAAACAATAATGTTATTCTCAGGGAACCTAGTCCCAGAATAAAGATGATTTTCCATTTCTATTTCTATTTCTATAGCACAGCTATACATATATACGAAAACGTTTGCTGCAGTCAAATTCTTATATTATTGCTTTAATTTGTATTAAATAAATAGTTATTTGTTGTTAGACAAATATTTTTGAGAAAATTGATAACAGTGGTATTAAAGTTATCATTAATTAGATGTTTAAATAAAAATAAAAAAATAAATAAAAAAAAATATATATATATGTAGGAAAGAATTGTTTTGTTTTTTTATCTATCCGTGTATGAGACCTTTGCTAGCCACTGTATGTATGAAATCTATACATTAACCATTTAAAAAATATGTATGCGATTATAATATGAAAAAATATTTTCAAGGGTGTGATGTCAACTGTTGTAACTCAACAATGGTTGGGAAAATTGCAGAAGAAAGTTTTTAATAAAATAGTTTCAATGGACTTAAGTTGGTTTGACTGGAGCGGAAATTCTCCCAACGAATGCCTTGAGATAATGACCAAAAGTCCGCCGCTCATCCAATCAGTAAGTACTACGAGGAAATTATTTAAATTTTAATTCTACCTGTATTTTTTTTAATATTGAAATTTACAACTGTATTAAATGATAAATATTACAAGTAAATATGAAACAAGTAACATGACATGTACAACAAGAAGAGAAACTACCCATTGGTAGCACTCCAATTATATTTCTATATTAGAAGGTCCCGAGGCCATCTTCTTTTCAGACGCCTCGGAGGGTTATCAGGAATAGAAGAGGAAGCAAGGTATCTGGATTCAGCTTAATCGGAAACAAATGGTACATTAAGGTCGTTATGAATGATTTTATTTGTGACAAAGTAGGAAGCATTGAGGATTTTACGAAGTATTTTGAATTGTCAGGATTGGATACGAGAGGAATTTGATGGTTTAGTAGAACCCCAAAGCTCGATCCCGTAAGTCCAAATCTGCCTGTATTTAAATGGCATTTATAAACAAGAAATTAATGCTATAATTCGTACCAGTTTGGATTTTGCTCAAGACACATTCCACAATTCAGTAAGGTATCCGTGTTGTTGAGCATACTCTTGAAAACAAGCAATACTGTATAGGTGCCTTTCTGGACGTTGCACAAGCTATCAATTTGATGTAACACGATGATTTACTTTTCAAGCAATTACCTCAATCCAGATTACTAAATCCTTAATCAATATGTAAATATGTCAGTTTCACCCTCCGACGCCAATCCTAAAAAGGATATAAAACCTCAATACCGCTTCTCTATTAATAAACAGTCTGGGTCCTTAGCTTATTCCTAGATAAAATACTCACTTGAGACTTACTTACTATACTTAAAGGATAACATGAATTATTGAAGGCAGCTACTAGTCGACTGTTCTACATATCATGGGTGATAAGTATTCAGGACGCAGTCATTATAAAGTTTTTATTAATGCCGACGTTTCAACCCAAGCATGTGGTTCATCATTAGGACAAGTACTTGAATACCTTCAGTGCTCGAACCACGCCCTGATGATGACCCACAGGTTTGGGTTCAAACGTCGGCACTAATAAAAACTTTATGATGACTACGTCCTGCATATTTATCATCCATTAAAATATAAAAATTTAACCAATGATTTAGACTAACCAATTTGAATTGTGAAATACTGCTAAATATTCGAATATCAAACGTATCCAATGATTTTAGTCCCTAGTACTTAAAACATATGTCCCAGAGGTCCCATCCTATCCCCAAGATCGATAGCGCTCAACCTCTCACCTCCAGCCTCTTCCCAAGATATTTTAATGCTCTCCTCTTCATTTAAACAATGCAAGCTAAAATAGCATTTACACAATCAGAGATGATATACAATTACACTTTCAGTGGTATGTTCTATGCTTTCCTCTTGTTCCCAAGTTTGGAAATTTTATTCCGAAAAGTCATAATCCTGCCAAATTCATGTGCTACCTCAAAAATTCAAAACCTCATCAAAATCAAAATTTACTTCTCCCCTCCCCCCCTCGTTTGATGGCACAACCGAAACCCCCTTCTGAGCACTCCTGGACCCAAACAAGAACTTGCACATACAAATATATACAAGAATTTGCACATATATACAAATTCAAGTTAACATACAACTTCAATTAACAAATCAAGTTAACAACAAATTCAATATATACACACATTCAAGACTGCTTTATGTTATTAATAATTGTTGAGGTGACAGGAGACAGTGCAGCTCAAGTCTTCATCTTCATGCTTTCTGTGATATTCACCATCGGCCATTCGTTCTTCGTAAGTACAAGTGTGACACTGGCAAACTTACCAATTCTGCTAATATTCATTATCATCAACTGTTTGAGATTGAAGACAAGAGGTGCAGACGCCCGATCTGCCTCCCTCACAACCACTTCGACCAAGGTGAAAAATAAAAATAATTTTAATATTTTATAATTTAAGATAGTTAAATATCAACATATTGAAACTGTTATTTTCCTTAGATGGCAACTGAATATGTGCAAAGTGTCAAAACAATCCAAATACTTAACTGTCAAAAGTACGTAGTAAACCAATATCAGGATATGCTTCTTCGTTCCAAGAGGTGAGGATTTTTATTGATTTTTTTTTTTAAATTTTTGTAATACTTAATTAGTTATTAAATTTTATTTATAAATTTTACCTAGGGAAGCATTTGTAAGTATTGTTTTGTATGCAGCTGTTTTTGCTTCTTCTGTGTCATTGGTACGATCGGCGATGGGCGTATTATTTATTTATGGATCCACTGTAATTGCAAATAGCAATGTTCGAGGAACATCACTTCTTAGGTAAGAATAAACATTATTATGATTGTTAGGTTATTATTGGGAAAATTCCGAACCACACAGTCTTATGTCTCCAAACGCAGGCAAAGAAAAAAACTCGTATCGTTTCGCCAATTCAGGCATCATCAGGACAGAAAAAACAGCTAATCGAACATCACTCGATGAAATCCAATCGTATACTGAAAGGAAGGTAAGGTAACACAGCAAGGGGAAGTTACAATCAAACAGCTGGTCAGGGAAACAAACGACTAATAAAAATTATGCAATATCTAATCAAAAATCATAAATATATTATAAAATAATTTTTTTTTTTAATTTTCATTATTGAAATTTACAGCTGTATTAAATGATAAACACAACAAGTAAACCTGAATCAAGTAACATGACATGCACAACATGAAGAGAAACTACCCATTGGTAGCACTCCAATTATATTTCCGTATTAGAAGGTCCCGAGGCCATCTTCTTTTTAGACGTCTCGGAGTGTTATCAGGAATAGAAGAGGAAGCAAAATTGAAAACAAGGGGGTTCGGATGGTTCAGAAGTTTATTATGGAAGGATAGGTATCTGGATTGAGCTAAATCGGAAACATATGGTCCATTAAGGTCGTTATGAATGATTTTATTTGTGATAAAGTAGGGAGCATTGAGGATTTTATGAAGGATTTTGGATTGTAGAGATTGGATACGAGAGGAATTTGATGGTGGTTTAGTAGAGCTCCAAAGCTCGATCCCGAAAGTCCAAATAGGCTTTATTATAGTAATATATGTGAGTCTTTTGTAAATAGTTAAAAGTTTAGAGCGTTTGTCTAGTAAGAGTTGCAGTAGTCGAAATAAAAATAAAATATAATAAATAAATATTAATAAAATAATTTTAAAAAACTACGATATGCCGCTGATTTAGCCCGAGCCAGATACCTATCCTTCCATGATAAACTTCATTCCTATCCGAATCCACTTGTTTCCAGCCTTGCTTCTTCCTAGATTCCTGATAATCCCCTAGGCGTCTGAAAAGAAGATGGCCTCGTGATCTTCTCACCTAGATTTAAATAGGGAGTGCTACCACTGGGCAGTATCTCTTCAAGTCTGTTCATGTCATGATTTCTAATGTGGGCATTTTTACTAGTTGTATTGTTTATATAGTTGTAAATTTCATTAAATAAATAAATTTAAAAAAAAACTACTAAGTGAAAAGCTTAATAAAAAACGAATATATATTTTATTTATTTTATAACCTATTTATGATTAGATATTCTCTTGCTGTATTACCTTACCTTCCTTTCAGTTTGCGATTGTATTTCATAGAGTGATGTTCGATTACCTGTTCTGATGATGCCAGAATGGCGAAATGTCGACGGTTTTTTTATTTGCCTGCATCTTGGAGACTTAAGGCTGTGTGCTTTGGAATTTTTCCAATAATAACCTAACATTTATGTTTTGTCTCTTGATTATTTTGTTACTAATTTATAACAATTATTTTCATTTCTATTAATTCGTCTCTATGACTCCTCAATAAGCTTCTTAAAAATGTCTCTTCTCTTGGCGATTATTATTCATCATCAACCAACATCGAGGTAGGAGTTTGTAAATCATGTCAACAGATCATCTAAGATTCTTCTTAACCTACATATCTGCTCAAGGAACTGCTGGTCCATTATCAAAGTCATTATTGTGTGATTTATTTTTTATTTAAAAAACTCATAAATCGTTATCAATGTAGAGTAGAGTAGAGTAAAAGTTTTTAGTTTCTATATTTTCTTCTTGTATATGTGCCGGCTTTGCTTTAGTCTGGTCAGAAATCTTAACCGAAATAATGGTTGGTAATCTAGGAAAATCCCTCCCGGTCCACTTAGTATTCCAGGAACAACCATTGATGAGTTTGGGCAACATGTTTGGTTTTTCTCTTAAGCTACTTTGATTTATCGCAAATTTTTGTTTTATTTTTTTTTTAAATTATGTTTTATCTGTTTTTGACTTATCTTGATGAAGGAATCGGAAATTTAAAGGGTGCCAGCTACTGGAGCTTTATAATGGGGCCTTTTGCCAGTAGCTAACAGGACTGGACTCTCATGTAGTAAGACTATACTCTCATATAGTAGGACTATACTCTCATATAGTAGGACTATACTCTCATATAGTAGGACTATACTCTCATACAGGACTGTACTCTCATATAAGTAGAGGGGACAAGAGCCGAAAAGACTACCCCTCTGCAATAATGGCGCTTCCAGGTGCTATCTGTTGTAAGCCTTATCTGAAACATTGTGGATAACCTGGCATCAACCAAGATGGCTAAAAGAGTATCACTTCTAAAGTAGTACCGGTAATTTTTGTTAATATCTATTTAAAAATGAAAAATATAAAATTTCAACACTTCAATTTGCATAACAATATCTTTGTTCTCATCCCAGTCAGCAATAGGAACATTCCAAATCTAACAGTGTCAGCTACAGGTGCAACAAAATTATTCTCTATATTTAAAAAAAAAAATGAACGCTATTATAAATGTCCTTTGAGACAGATTGAAATATTTTTCCATAAACAAGTAAAAAAAAAATATATTTTTTTTTAGAATTTAGATAGACGTTTCATGGATTCGAATTGTGTCTTGGTAATGTGACAGTGAAAAATATAAAGCCGTTTGGCCTATGTAACCTCGTTGTTTTGACATTTTGGAGGTGGAGGTCGCGCCAAACGGCTTATTTTTTAGGCCACCTATTTTTCGATTTTGTGGTCATATTATCTTACAATTCAAGTGGAAATCAAATGGAAATTCATGAGTTTTAAGTACTTTATTAAATAGACAAATTTGGCCGATCTCCAAATAAAATAAAATATATGTAGGTTACGATGAGATGAAGCTATTTACGAAGTTTCAGGCGGATGTTAATAATTTGATAAAAAAAGGGGTCTGTACCCACACTATATCTATAATATTTTGTATTCATGATTATTCCTGACTAGTATGTTTTTGTCTAGTGTTGTATTCACTCTAAACTCGGTAGCTCTCTTGACTGGACCTGCCTTAATGTTGATAAGCCAGTACCCCACAGCTAGGCAGGCGATAAACCAACTGTACAGAATCGCCTACGCTAAAAATTCCCTCAACATATTGACAGATCGAGGAATCAAACCGGTAAGTGCGATTGAATATAAATTATCCAAACATGTGTCACCTTCTGAGTGAATCATGGAAATTTATATAAATTTCAGAAAATAAGTGGAAACATCGTCTTCCAAGATATAACGTTCTCTTATCCGACAAGGGACAAAATGCAAGTTCTAAAGAAGATGAATCTTAAGATCGATGAAGGAATGACAGTAGCTCTTGTAGGAGACTCTGGGAGCGGCAAATCAACGATCGTATCACTTCTAGAGAGGTTCTATCTTCCCAACGAAGGGAAAATTGTGAGTTAAATCTATTTTTTGTTCCCATTATTAATGAAATATTAAGTCAATTTACCATGGCATTAAAATTTTCAATAAATTATACACAGTCTTATTTTAAATATTTTGTCAAAGAAACGTGATGAACACAAATTACTAGTAATGATAAGTAGAAAGATAATTTATTCGGAGAATTTTGAGGTTTGTTTTTGGGTGATGGCAATGGCGACAATGTCTGTGGTAAAAGAGAGGCCCAAATCGTGACGTGTAAAACGAGAAACTGGTTAAGGTCTATCTTTGACAAGGAGTATGGTTGACTTTGGTGATTTATATTTAGTAGCTGTATATGCGTTATAATTTAATTTAATTATTTAGCCCACCTCACTCAAAAAAAGGAGTATGGCCCAATGAAAAAAAGTTATTTTACTATTTTGGAAGAGGGGGCTTAAGTCTGAAAGACCAGGAGTGCTCAGAAGGAGGTTTCATAAAATTTTTGAGGGGAACAAATTTCTGTGAGTTTATGAATTTTCGGACTAATGGACAAGGGAAAAACATGAAATAGACTGTAGCAAGTGTAATTGTATATGATCTACATTTTTTTAATTTTACCTTTGCTTGCTCTATTTTTAATAAAAGTAAGCAATAAAATATCTTGGAAGGAGGAAAGGTTTTGATTCTTGCGCCATCGATCATGGGCGGAGGTGGACACCTTGTAAAAGACCACCTCCCTCCTTTCCCCGTGGGTTCACCAAATATGAGGTCGTAGCTAAATAATCACATGACTAAATGCTTGCTTAATTGTTAAGAAAGCCGAAATTTCCCGCTACACTTAGTCTTCGTCAGCAAGCAGTTGGGTCCTACTTTACATGTGTCACTTCATTTCGATAAGTTGACAGAGATATCATGATCACACTAAACAAAAAAATTCCAAAACGGCTGATTGTTGATGTGTTCACGGTATGAGCTAGCTCTCTTTTTAGATCGTAATTTATGACTTTCGCCAACTAATTACAAGACCTTTATAGTAAAAATTGGGACCTTGATTAGCTTTAATTACATTGCTCCTTTGACTTCTGCTCGCTACGATGGCTGTTTTCGACCTCTACTATGATCGTCCAAAAGGGATGACTAGCGAGTTAGGTCACATCCGTCTACTTTCGGAAAAAACTCGGAATTCCATTTGTCATGTGATCATGAAATCTTGTACCTACAATCAAAATGGAGGGGCTTGTAATTAGTAATTTAAACTGTAGTCATAAATGCATCATAATTTAAAATTATGAACTTTCAGTTCTTCAATTTCATCTGCATTTTTTCAGTTGATCGACGGCCACGACATTAATGATATAAATGTCAGATATTTAAGAAGCCAAATGGGTCTCGTTTCGCAAGAGCCAGTCTTATTTGATATGACAATTAAGGAAAATATTATTTACGGTATGGAAGAAAAGGTTACAATGGATAAGATAATAGAAGCTGCGACAATAGCAAACATCCACAACTTTATCATGAAGCTTCCTCAGGTATTTGTAAAAATTGTATTACTTTCTTAATAACATGTTACTAACGCAACAATTAGCATGATGTAATATAATTATCTTGAACTTCATCTTCCAACATTCCATGTTGTTTGTGGAAGTAGTTGCAGGTACTGTGCTATTACAGGTTAAAATTAATTCAACTTAATGGCCGGATCCAGAAATTTTCTAAGGAGGCGCGTTTGTGAACAAGATGTATATATATATATAACCGTGAATCCCCTTCCTCTTTAACATTTTAAACATCAAATGCTTAGTTTAAGTTAAGCTAAGCCTAGTGTCCAAAAATTGTCCTTTGGTATTGAAAGATTATTGAGAAGTAAGTGTTTATTTTGTAGAAGATTGTAGGTTGTAGGAATTTAATTCTACTAATTAAAGTATTGTAACAAAGCATGGTGACTGAGAATACAGTTATTATTTCGCGTAATCGTCCACGTACATACAGTGATTGACGCTGGTTATCTTTTATTATCCGTTGCAAAACGACTTAGTCCGCTCGGCTTATAATGTGGGTAAAAAGTATAGATCAAAATTAATTGTTTTTTTTGTTTTTGTTCTTCCCTACCTCGCCTTTTAGGCTATACGGGATTTTCCCTGGCCGGGGGGTGAGGGCGGGGAAATTTAAAATCCCCTCCGGCACCGGGACGCGAACTCGTACTTTTTTTTATCATCTCAAATCTCTGTTATCCGGTTGCCAGGCAACTAGCGGTGCTGTTACACACGCTTTAGCCTATTCGGCCACCCCGCCCCCTTAATTAATTAATTAATTAATTGTTTAATCCAATTCCTTTTTCAATTAAATTAATAATAATAAATGTCGGATATGTAGTCACTTTTTTCAAGATGCAATTTTTTCTCATCCCCATCCGCTAGTGATAGGTATCCTAACCAAAAAAATAGGGGAATCAACGTTTTTTTTTTAAAAAAAACCTTCTTATATTATAAACACGTTAAAAAGTTAGAGTCTAGACCTTAAAAAAGTCAGTATTTTCATACAAATTATTTTAGAAAAACTAAAAATTACTTTTTCCTCTTCCCGTTTAATAACTTACAGGCTGCCAAGCGCTGCAGTATGGACCATCAGACCACCGGTGAGTAAATATCTTACAATCTAAGAGACGTCTACCAGTGCACGCATGACTACAGCTTAAAACCGGTTATCAATACAATGACCTAGTCTCGTGCGTGACTGGAAGTCCTTACTCTAGCATGAACAGCTCCGAAGGACCCATACCGACCATCGCCAGTTGTAGAGATTGGTCAAGAACTTCTTCAGTAAGAAGAGGACTGTCCAACTGACGTCAGGTGTGAATTGCTTACACCTAGGAAACAGGCTGAACTCCTGGCCAAAAGCTCTGAAAAGCAGGATGCTGAGCGGACGGAAAATGATCCACCAATACAGGAGGGACCACTTCCTTGTCCCAACGCTAAGCCTGTCTTCTCTACCTTCAATGAGTTAGAGTCGATACCACGGCGAGTGCACAAAAGGAAACAAAGCGTCTGGAAAAAGATGACGTTCTGCTTAAGAAACTTCCTAGGAAGGGTAAGGCCTTTCTACTGAACATCTTCAACTCATGTCAACGAATTTCCCCATCCCATGGAAACAAGCGATGGCTTCCTTGGCTTGAGTAACGTAGTATCGTTACTCAAGCCAAGGAAGTCAGAAGAATCAGCTGAGCACTATCAGCAAGGTCTTCGAGAAGCTATGCGGACGACATTGACAGCTTCCAGCGTCAACGCAGGGACTGCCCTCACTCAGGTAAAGAACGATTCAACTACCATTGTAGAAGAACTAGAAGTGATCAGTATCAGAGTGAACCCTGCGAAGACTGATACCTTTGTGCTGTATTTTCAGAAGGAAAAAAAACCTTTGCCCAGGCCAGGCAGAAGGCATACCAGCTCTACCAACTGTTGACATCGCCGCAGCTCTCCTTGAGACTCAAGCTACAAATTTACAAAATCATCCAACCTACATTGCTCCACGGCGCTCCTCTTCTCCGGTACCTCTACAAGTCTAAACTCCAGAGACTGCAGGGCTTAGATAGCCTCAAATGCTCGACAAACCCACTTTTCAAAACACTAACCTATGAAATGGCAAACACATTGGAAACCTATTACTTGTCTGAGAAATTGTACAAAACACTAGTCAGCCCCATCAAATAAAAATAAACAATCCTCCCAATTCCCCATCCTTCTCTTAAAATGCACCCGCATAGTAAAATAGGTCTCATATTTAATCCTTGCCTACCCCCATATGGCTAAGAAGAAATATATATATATATAAACTTATCATCTTAATGCACACCTGTCAAAGAAATTGTCAAAATCAGTAAATTTGATGTTCATTCCTGTACATACAATGGCGTGATAGGCATGAGGGGAGCAGTATCCAGTGGCACCTTCTCCTGGCTGCAACGTCACCAGATTTAAACTTAACAATAATTCTAATAAAAACAAACATTATTGCCATTTCCCCATCCCTATCTTAAAATGCAACCGGTGCAGCAAAAGAGATCTCATAAAAAAATAGAAGGTATTTAGATTGTTGTTAGATGAATGGGATAGGTAAGGAAAAAAACTGACTCAGAACAATGAACAATAAATAGACTACATCAATAAATTGATGCAATTGTACTATAATAATAATGAATATTTTTTATATGTCTCTATAAATGTTTCAGGCTTATGACACTCCAGTCGGGGAGAGAGGTTCGAAGTTATCAGGAGGGCAGAAACAGAGGATCGCAATTGCTAGAGCTGTCCTCAGGAACCCAAAGATATTACTTTTGGACGAGGCTACTTCTGCGTTGGATACAGAGAATGAGAAGGTGCGGTAGTCTGATAAAATAATGTTATCCTTATTGGCACACTGAAACTGCAGCAACCTCTATTTCCTATTGATATTAGCAATATCATGAAATAGAATTCAACTTATTAAAGAAAATATCGTCACTTTATTTAAAAAATTCACTACGTACATTTTTGATAGAGCTGAAATTATTTATTTATTTCCCTCTTCTTTTATAATCTTTCAACAAAATCGCTTATATTATTATAATTATAATTTTAAATAATAAAAAAGGTCCATATTTAGCTAAAATTTGAGATGACAGTGAACTCAGAGGTGTGGTTGTGGTGCTGTGACCTGAATTCACAGTGGTTGGAAAAGGCATGAAAATATCAAAAACCCTAGGAAACTTTCAATTTAGGCAAGATATTTGAAAAACAGAATTATATTATAGCATGTCGGGCATTCTGAATTAATATAGAATAAAACGAATATTTCTTGAATTTATTAAGAAATAACTTATTTGATTCAAGAAATTACATAACAAAACATATGAGAATTTAGCAAAAACGCCTAAAATATATTTAATAAGATATAATAAGTAGCATTATTAATGTGGTATAAATTGTTTTTTTATTTACATTTAATTGAAAATCTTGGAAACTAGTATTTTTATTTGTGCCGAAACTTTAGGAATATACGAGTTTACTATGTCAGATATCAAAAACATAGAAATTTGAATTATCATGACATCTTAAAAATAGGAGTTTTTGCCGCTCTCAGACCATTGTGTAGTGTGAAATGAAAGATTGCCAAACAAGATACGTTTAATTCCTACTTTCAGCTCCCTCTGCACTACTTTATAAACTCTATTAAAATACAGTTTTAACAAAATATTTCTAATCATAGGGAGCAGCTAAAAATGATATCAACTGTATGAGTCTAGGCCCCAGGGGCTCTTTAAGAATCTCTCCTCTCATATGACGTAGATCCCTCTCCAACACTTTTCTTTAAGGCTAATATGCATCAGAAAAAATTGAGACTTTTTGCACCTTTATTATTATAACCTAATTTTCATCGATGAACAACTACTGAAGATCTATACCAGTCATAGTCAATGGAACCATTTTTGAGAAAATTGTAAAAAAAGTGAATAATGTGGTTATATCAGGCATTCATCTACCTGAAATACTGACACTTTAGTTCAATTTTTAAACAATTCAATCACACATACGATTTTATGAGGCTTGATTATTTTGAATTGGAAAACTCGGGTTTAAATTTATTTATATTTCCTTAATTTATGTATTATATGTAGGTAAAAACAATAACATTACTATACTTTTATACATAATATGAATGTTTTTGTTCATTCTATAAATTATCTTTTTAGGCGGTGCAGGAAGCTCTGGAGAACGCCTCTGTCGGCAGGACTACTATTGTGATAGCTCACAGACTGTCGACGATCCGAAAAGCAGACAAGATAGTGGTCCTCCAGTCTGGTGCAGTGGTAGAGGAAGGAAACCATGAACAGCTGATGGAGAGGAGAGGGCACTATTACCATTTGCTTTGTAGATAATTCATTAGCTGTGTCAGAACGGACTGCATTGTTAATTATATTTAATTTGATTACATATAATAAAAATAATGTATTTTCTTTGGTTATTTAGTTTTAGTATCAGTGATATCTCATATCAAAATACCCAATGATAAATAAACTTTGAAAACTTGCATGTTTCCTATTATTATTTTTTTTTTTCTTGAATACTTGTGTAAAATAGATTTTTAAAAGTTCTTGTTTTAAGCTAGCACAATAAATAACATAAGGCTTAGCAAATCCAAAGACTCAATGCCGACACCACCAATCTCTGTCCACACCTCACTCCACCGGTCGCCATTCAAACCAAAGCAAAATCACTAGCCACAGTCCCTGGAACTTTGAATAGAGGGCTCAATGCGCTGAATTTAGTCAAGGTGTCTATGTGCCCCGCAGGCCAAAAAGTTTGGAGACCCCTGGCCTAAGATACAGTTCGAAGAAGGGAAGGTTGGTTCTGGCAGAATAACATCTACAAGATTTGTAGAGCCAACAGGTGTTAAAAACAAGACAGAAAGAAACAGATAGTAGAAATATTTTTACAGATTCATGAAAAAATGAGCAATAGAAAAATAATTTTATATATTTTTTTTATATACCTTTTCTAAGGGCAATCATGAATGTTATAAAATAAGATAAACTTCCAATTTAACAGACTAATCCACATGTTTGTTTGTGCCTCCTCAAAGAGAGCTATCACCTGTCTAAAAAGTATTCTAGGATCGTCTTCCTCTCTGATCATTTTTGAAATGAAAAAACATATACATATCTGAAAAAAAGTTTCTATTCTTAAATTTATTTTTAATTTACTTCATATTTTTAAACCAAATTGTTCTGTTTATATTCTATTTTTATTTTTATTTATTTAGAAAGATTTTTTTTTAAAACTTAATAAAATATATTTATAACAAAAAGAAAAATCTGACAAAAAAACTAAAGGAAATATTTATTATTCCAATTTAAATAGTTTGATTATATCTTATTGAGTCTAAAAGCAAAATCATGAATGTGCCAATTCCTAAATTTGAAAAAAAAAGTTTGTTTTCTTAGGGTTAGAAAAAAAAAAAATTATGGTACTTTAGTTCAACAAATGATCCATATATGTTCTTTTCACACATTCATGGATTTATATTTAAGAAACAGCATAATTAATTGTATACAAAGTGAAATTTGCCTTTTTTTTTTTTTTAACATTGCATTCATGGTTTTGATTCGATATAAAATGACATTTATATTTACCAATGTTTGAAAAGTTGAAACTTCAATAAATACAAAACACTTCCTATAACATGCAAGATTTAATAAAATATTTATACAATTACTGAACTAAAACTAGACTAAGAATTGTTTTCAGAATCATAATATAGCTGTTGGAAAATGTGGAATTCAAGTTCTGTTACACCTGCAATTTTATTACAAAAATATCCTGTACTTGTATTTAAAACCTCATCAATTGTAGGGTTTAGTAGATGTCTATCATTTGGCTTCACTTTAGGTTTTAATTTTTTATATTTGCCAGTCTTTATTAAAAATTCATGTCTTATTTTAATATCATCTAAGGAGTGTTTGAGGACTCCATGTCGCACTACGTCCAAGTTTGATACACCCATTTCTTCTTGTAAATATTTCAATTTTTCACACACATAATCCCATTTTTCATTTAAAACTTCCGGGCATTTTAATAGGATTTCAAAGGCATATTTCTTAGTAAACATTGATAGTAGGTTGATACAGGTATTTTCTAATGTTTTACCATCAACTAATAAAATTAAGGGATGGTTTTCAATGAGTTCTATTAAAGAATTAGTACCAAATTGACATTTCCCTAGAATTTCAAAGGGTATATCCAATCTGCTTTCGTTCAAACATGAAAATTCAGGCTTGGCAGCAATGTTAGAAGCACTACTATTTGATAGACCTAAATTGGTGAGTTTTTCTTTGACACTATAGTTGATATTACAATTATTTCCGACGACTTCTGCTACATCTTTGGGTTTGCTGAAAGTACATCTACAACTACTTTTTAAAATATATGAAGCTCTGAAAAGCTGACGAAAGTGAGCCATTTACAAAACAAATCAAATTTATATGAGCAAAATACTTTCATAGGTTACATCTCTGGTTATAACGCTCCAAAGAGCAATGGGCGGTTAATTTAATTTTCAAATTAAAGTTGGGCAAGTTCCTAAATTGAGTGCCTACCACACTAATGGCATTGAATTCATCTATGGGCGAAGCATAGGAATCAATAAGCTCAGTGCTGAGTTAAAGAACTTTCCATACTTTTATTTAAAATATAATAAGTTCAAATAATGTATTTAAGAAATGAATTATTATAATTTCACTGTTAACTATTTATTAACTATAGGGGTATTTCTTTTCAAATATCAATGAAACATGTAAGCCACTTTTCATCATTTTCCCAGGCAAAACTGCGATCTTGAAAACCAATGCTGCTCATTTTTTTTTTATTGTTTTCTCATTTAAAGTTAAGTGTTTAAAAACCTATAAATCAGATTTTATCGGTCCAATCCGTAAATTTGAAAAGTTAAAACAAAAGATTTAGTTATTTAAAGCTTCAAAAGACTTTTAATGAATGTTTTTGCATATTTTTAATGGCGTCGACATGTTTAACTCCAGATGTTAGAAAATTTAAATAGAAGTAGGTCGAAGGTGTTGACATTGAACCCTAAAAACACTAATAAGTGGAATGTGTTTAAGTGATTCCTAAAGTCCTTTTAAATGTAATTACACGAACAGTAATACTTTAAGAGATAATTTGTAATATTTTTTTCCATAAAATATTGTTATATTTTACCATTTTGGGGGTGCTTCAATCCAAAGCCTCCTCCCCCCCGTAGATCCGCCCGTGATCTGTAGGCCTAATCACAAACCACAACTGATTAATCCGAAGGTAATTCCCACGTTCCACACAAGAAACAAAATCTTCTAAACGTTGAAATTTTGTTATTAAATCATTTTGGAAAAAAAATGGAAGAACACCAGATTAAAATGGTACAATAATTTGATTGAAACTCCCGGCCTTCCAGAACCCTTCGATAGTGGTATTTTACCGAATGATTTGTGTGAATGTGCTAATGTAGAAGATTGACAGAATCTAGTATGATAGTGTTGTGATTTCGTGTACTTGTGAATTGTAAAAATCTAGTTAAATAAAAATCTTACATTTAACATTTTCACTTTCTATTACCAGTTATAAAAATATATGTAAGAATATTAGTTGAGGCTGATTTATAGGTTCATAGCTGAGTTAGTTATATTGTAGTAAGGAGTCATTTGCATTTAAAACGGGCATCTGTATTTTCAGATATGAATTTGACGATGTTTTTAAATCGTATTGATATCACGTCCTTAATTAAGCAGATGTAAGCTGAATCATAAAAAAAACAACAGATTTCTCTTAATTTGAAGCCCTACGTAAAATTGTTTTATTTCTCAATAGGAAATGACAGACGTTCTCTTTTAATATGAAGCCATTCATTTATACTTCATTGTCTGCATCCCTTGCTTATTTCTTCTTTAGCCAAGAAATCTATTGAAGCCGATTAAGTGGAGTATAAGTACACCACGTGAGATAATTTAATCGTCCATTATTGCTTATTGGCGATCGTGTTGCAACTATTAATAATAGGACTGTCATAGTAAAATTCCCTGAAACGAATCCGACTTCTTCAAAGAGATCAACTACCTACCTGCTTCTTAACCTAAAGTGGAGTGTGTCATTCATGATCGTTATTGAAGTATAGCATTTTGATACCGATATTATTATCAATTGGGATTATAATGTTATTAGTAAAAGCAGCCTGCCATTCTTAATTACTTATTCGAATTATTAAAAATACAATTTATGTTATACAAATAATTCTGTTTGATAAACATATATTTACTGTCCATTAATTATTTTTTTAAAATGGTTGGAACTGAGAAAACTTCTCATATTCAAACTGATTTGGGGCCCCATGGTTTAGGTAATTTTTATTGGTTTATGATTGCTTTTTATGCTATTTAAGCACAAATAAGTTAAAACTGGTTTAATTTAAATTAGGAGATCCGGATGACAAGTCCTTAAGAAAAGTTGAAACTGAAATTTTAATTCCGAAAAAAATGAGGGATAAAGCAAAAGCCGAAAACTGTTTTAGTGAAGTTCAAGGTAACTATTCAAAGTGTGACTAGATCAATCATACTTACATAGTGACACATTTTTAAAAAAAAAACATTATTGGTGCTTGGTATTTTTAATTTAACAGCATTTTTCAGTATTATTTCACAATTTTCATCTCTGGTTGACATGAGAATCAAGATAATACTCGACATAGAATCCCAAAAGTAGCAGTGTCTGTTCATAATGTTATGAAGGAATTTGATGACAAACTGAAATGGATACATCTCCATTAACCAAATTTTCAAAGGACCTGATAAGACCCTGATGTTAAATGAAATGGACCTGTTGGTTTTTTTATCTCTTGAGTGAGTGTAGTTATTTTTTGGCTGCTTTTGAAATTCCATCTATGGTGTTGTTGATATTATCTTGACCCTCCTGTCAACCAGATGTGACTCTTGCGGACTAGTTTCCATTTGTAATCAAATTTGTTTATTAGTAATTTTTTATTCAGAAATTTATTAAATCAAAAGAACTAATATACAAGTTTTTACAAGGTCTTAATATCAGTAAGTATAACACATTGTGTTAATTTTTTTGCCTATAGAAACTTAGGCAAGATTCTAAACTCAGTTGTGAAACAATGCCATTGATGAGCTCATCACTGAATTTAGAACTTTCTCCATTCCGTAGGCGGTGAACTTTTTTACCATTAGAGGCCACATCAAGGTTAGGCAGTGATAATGGAAGCCCCAATAATTTATATTTCACTGTTGATATTTTAATTTATAAGTAAATACACACCCAGATATGAGTCTTTCGCCAACTCTAGACAATTCTCAATGTTTAATATTCTTCAATAACTGTAGTGGGTGCTGACAATTGGGGGTTTTAACCTATTTGGACTAACATCAATCCTAATATTTAGCCTCTGGAGGCGAGACTGAAGAAAATTATGAATTGCTTCATAAGATACATATTTGGGATTCCCAAGCGTTCTCATATTTCTTGTTGCTACACCTAGTTGAAGTGACTATATCCTACTTCCCGACGGCAATTCCTACTTGGCGTTTTCCTTTTTCAAGTTCTCAGAAGCAAAAACCCTCCCTACATCTTAGAACTCCTTACTCCTCTATCGACTCTCTCAATACCAGATCTCAACCTATAAATTTATATAACCCCTCCCATAAAACCACTTCCTTCAGTAAATCCTTCGTCATTCGTGCTGCCTCCTTATGGAACTCCTTACCCATCTCCATACGTCAAACCACGTCCTTAAACTCCTTCAAACAACTCCTATTCCACCACCTACTACAAATTCAAACTTGCGCAAGCTTGTAGAAATTTCTGGGTTATATAATTATGTTGGCCACCAGCAGTTAATTGATATAAGCCATTTTATTTTTATTTATTAATTTTTTTGTATCTCAGTATTGTATTGTATAACTGTGTTTATCGTTATTATGTTATGTAGATATTTTCCTTGGTACTTTTATTTATTTATTTTTTATATATATATATTTGTATTTTTCTTAGTATCTTTTTGTATATATGTATATATACGTGCTTACAATTTAATAGATATTTTTTGCATATATTTATAAAATACTTATATGCCAGACTAAGGTACGTATTTTGTAAACTCTACTGTTATTCTAAGGGAACTTCAGTCCCAGAATAAAATTTTTTTTTTTTAAGGAGACAGGTAGTACTTCTTTTATTTATTTCTTATTTCAGCTTTCTCAATTTCTTCCCTCCTTCCTTTCATTCCTTTTCTCTGTTTTGAACTCTTTATTATATTATACATTGTCTGTACATCTTGATAGACTTTACAATATCTCAATTTTCTATCTAACTACTCCATTCTCAATGTTTTAATTTTACTATTTATTTTCATTTCTTATATAACTTCATATTTCTTTTTTATGTTTTACATTTTATTCTAAGATTCCCATTGTAACACTTTTGTCACCCTTTTTGATTATGCCTACTTCATCATTCCACACTTTGTAACGGTTTTTATTATTTATCTCTTAGTTCTTAGTCATTATTCTAACAATTTCATTTTACTTTATATTTATCTATTTTATTTTTCTAATATTTTTTTATTTTGTTTTTTTATTTTTTATTATCTTTTTTACCATCATTACATATGTTTCTCATACCTTGTTATCTGGTTATTTTCTTAGCCCTGATGAAGGCCTGAACTTCAGGTCGAAACGTCGGCATATGTAAAAAATAAATATTATCATTTATTTTTGCCTTCCTTTTTGACTGACCACCCCAACTATTCTTCTCTTCATTATCCACGACAGTCAACCAATTACCAATTAAAAATTATTTTTCATTTCATTTCATCATTTAGGTAAAAATAATTTCAAAATAACCAGCTATAGTTTATGCTGAAAGCGGAGTTTTAAACCCTTAAAAGAATGAATACATAATGTTTGCGATTGATATGAGATAATATAATAAAATTTATTCTTGTATTTTTTTTTAACATTTCATCTTATTCATAATTATGAACAAAAACCATAAAACATTTGAAATTTTTTTTTATATATGTACATTTTTTCCCATAGACTTTCAAAAATGCTGCAAAGAAAGTGGAGTTTTACTAGTCATGAAATGTCGAAAAGAAAACAATAAAATGAAAGAATGTCTTACCCACTGGTATAGAAACCCTGAATTTGTGAACAAATGTACTGAAGAGTATCTAGAGGAAAGATCGGAGTACAGAAGGACAGGAATAAAGAAGAGAGATAAATTAATGAAGATATAATTTTTATTGAGACTGAAATAAGAACTTTTTGTTGCTTTTTATTCTTAAATATGTACATAATAGTACTAGTGTTGAAAAAATATATTGTAAACATTTGTTAGATTTATTTTGTTGTTTTTTCCATACTCCTTAATATCTAACAATGGCTTAAATTTGTCTTTTTTAATTAAGAATATAACATAAATTAACCACAGAGAAATTTCAAGTGTGATTTATGTGGTATAAATTATTTGTAATATATTATAATAAACATCCAAAAATCCTGGATTTGGTACTTTATTCAGTTTTTCTATTATGAGTTCATTTATTAACTATTGTCAAATACGTCATTTCAATTGCCATCTATCGTTTTCTTTTAATAGTTCTTTTTTTCTATTTATCAGATCTATGATTTAATTTTTTCATTCACAAGATTCAGATTTAAATAATGGGCCTTAATCTGCCCTATTCTGATCTCTTTTAAGCCTAGCACACACTAGTAGACCATGTTGTGCAATTTGTCTAGACACTATTCTTTGTCTCGTCTAGCGTCCACATTACTATGTGAATTTCTCAGTCTCATCTTCGCAGACCGCCATGGAGAACATTAGAAAAAAATATATGCGGGTCCTTGCAGCAATATGGCCATTCTCCACCAAATATTCTAGCCTTCATACTGTTTAAATTGTTCAAAAATTGTAAACTTTTGAACATTGTTTTATTCACATTAAAGAATGCACCATCATAACCACATAACTTTTGTTCTTAACCCAACATATTTTAAAATGATCCTGGAATTTCATTCTTCTTTAAAATTCCCTAGTTTTTTTATTATTTTCATATGAGAAACAGAGGCGAGTTTTAGGATAATCTGAGAAATCAAAGTATTGATTCATTTTTTTCAATCTTCAAAGACATCGTCTGTTAAAAATCTATAAATAATAGAATTGATATTGGTGCACATCATCTTTAAGGTTTTAATAGAATATTTTTTCAATATTATATCATGATGAAATTCATACATAACAATTTTAGCTAAATCTGAAATGCTGATATCAATATATATTGGTTTGTTAAACAAGACTTTAGATTTGTCCATATAAATAGCTTCTATATTCTCATTGTAGATTGTGTGGAATGAATTCTTGCTTAGTTCTAATTACAAGTAAAAGATTTGAAGATTTGCTTTTGATGGTTGGAGGGATAAACAGGAAAATCACACCACTCAATAGCTGGAAACAGACATTTTTTCTTTTTTTGGGTCCTCGCTGTTAAGGCCATATGGGGGTTTCCTGGGCCAGGGGATGTGGGCGGGGATTTAAAGACTCCCTCGGCATCGGAACACGAACTCGTGACTATTTTTAATCATTTGATTCATATGTCAGGTTGCCGGGCAACGGCGGTGCTGTGCACACGCGTTAGCCCATTCAGCTACCCCGCCCACTGCTAGAAACAGACTGAGATATGCTTCACCTCTAAGCACCGAGTGAGGTTCATACTGTCAAAATGTTATGCAACATTTCTAATATTGCATGCGGTATAATATTGGGAGACTTAAGACCTGCAATTTTTGGTATCACAACATGCCCGTAGATGGGGATTGGGGTACTTCTTGTCTAGGGGACCGCTACTGACTGCTATCTGCCAATGTTTATAACCTGAACACTGATAACTCCCATAATGCAGTGATAAGCCTTCTACTACTTCATATCTTCGTATTATTGAAAGTGTAAACAGATACAAAAACAAATGTAATAACGTCAAAAATACTTTTATTTGACGGCAAATATATTAATGAAATAATAAAAAACACTTTGAGAAGATATGTACATATAATACATCAAAATGAAAAAAAAAACATTTAAAAGAACATATTTACATAGAAAAGAAAAAATATAAAACATAAAATCTGTTTTATAAAAAGATAAAACATTCATCTATTTCTCGGCAAACTCCACCAAACATCCACTGCTGAGGTAAAACTCTCCCCACATGATTGTTTCGTTTAGAAAAAAGACTTTCGTCTACTTCAACCACTTTGCCAGGTCCTCCAATTTTTTTTCTTGGCCTGTATAACACGTCATGGGCACAAACCTCTGTTAGACATTTGTTCCACGTTACCATTGCTCCGTAGGATAGTTTCAGCTGCTCTTTGCCCCACTTCATCGTTGTCAAGCTATGGGACCACCCATAAATCAATGTTAAAGCTGTTAAAAACGAAATCCTTGAGCCCTCCAACCATGTTCCTTTCCTTATTGAAAGTTTTGTGTCATAAGTCCTATGAAAGCATCTCCACTTGGCCTTCCTGGTTAACTTCATTCGATGACCTCGTTCACACAATTTCACGTCGGCAAGTACCCCAACATTTTGAAAATATTGAATTGCCTGATCTTCTGAAGGCGGCAAATCCCATATTCTAAGAAGATCCATAATATGACAAAAATAAACGGAAAAAAATGAAAAATAAACACAAAGGGGCTAAAAACTAAAAAAAAATGTAAAATAAACACAAACGGACCAAAAATTAAAAATAATGAAAAATAAACACAAACGGGCCAAAAGTAAAGAATTTAATAAGTGAACGTAATAAGGGAATAACTGAAAACTAAACAATGCAATAACTCAAAGGTTTGGGGGGATAAGAAGAGGGAGGTTATGTGATGTGATGTGAGATAAGATAGATAAGAAGTGAGGTTTCAGTCCGGCCCCCTAGACAAGAAGTACCGGGATTGTTATATAGACAACCTGAGATATATCTCAGAGTACTAGTGTGGAATAGGCTTTACTCTTCAATGCAGTCTATGCAGCCAGCATCTGATCTTCGGAAGTTCAAATGACTATTGATAGACCACACTCTAACCTAATGCATATTTTAAACAGGTCCTAGTTAAACACTATTTTGCCTTTTGTTTTTTTACACACCCAGTGTATTACTCTCCTTATTTAGCACTATAATTGCTACAGAGCACAGGTATGCTTCTTTCTTCCTTTTATTTATTCGAGACCATAGGTCAACCATGATTTTTTTCCACCATCCTTTTTGGGTCCCAATACTTCCCTACCCATCCTCTTTTTTAATTACAAATTTATTCATCTCTGCTGCATTCCCTTTATATCTCTCTTCTAAAGAACATTCCAACATTCTTTGAAGCATCGCTTCTAGCACTTTCATTGTTGCAACAGCTTAATTTTTAGAGTCCACTCTCCAGCTCTTCTCTTGGTTTCCAAAACATTGATGCCCACATCTTTTTCCAAGGATAGTTTACTTTTGATTTAAGAAACTAGTGATGCAAGCCATACTTTATTTACTGGTTATAGTATTAAATTAAAATATGGTCATATATTATAATTAAAATCTTCGTAAAAATAAAAAATGAACGGTATATTTTTTTAATAAAAATATAAAATTAGGAACATAATTTTTGTATTTTACTACTGTCTTTTTTATGGATTCTTTTCCTGTGTTGCTTGCCATCTTCTCAGAAGTGTTTCGGATACTCCAAATTCTTTCAGGATTGAAGGGTCATTGAATTTTTCTTCTTCCACATCTGGCCAAAGAATATGGCATATTAAAATCTCCTGAAGACAGAAAAAAATATAAATATTTCTGTTGACAAATTAAAAAAATTACATATCTTATATAGGGAATAAAACTTTATTGTAATTTTTTTTAGAAACTGTCAAAAACTCTAATAAAAAAAAATCAAGAATATGAGGTTCGTAAAGTTGATTCTGTTTTTACAATTTTGGAGCACTTTCCAAGAATTCATTTCTTGAGGCCAAACTTTAATCTCGATGTTCTTAGATGCTTCAATTATCATCAAAACAGAAGAATACTATGGAGCCTTATAGCACAAGTATATTGTATCAATTTAAAATTAATAACATGAAAAGTAGATTATTGTGCAACTATACTTAAAGAAAAAAAATTTTTTTTTAATAAATGTGAGTTTATTTACTTTGACTTTGTTTTGTTTAACCTAAATCAATATTGAGAATTTTAATTCATTGATCCCCAAGAATGAAAAATGATTTTTTTTTTCAATATCTTTAAATGCTAAAGAAGAATTAAAGATTAAAGCATGATGAAGTCTTTTCTACAGTACAAAAAAGTATTTTTATTTATCGAACAAAAACAATACCTTGTTTGCTGATTCAGCCATCCTGTTCATTCCGATAATTTTTTGCCACATTGTTTTATTTCTTGAATTTTCATCATTTTTGAGGACTTCTACAATGACGATATATGAGGCATGAAAGTATAACGGTCCCTTTTTATATAACACTAAAAATTAAAAAAAAATATAGTAAGGAAGAGAAATTCTATAAATTATAACTTTTTAAAATATTTCCGTGACTATCCAACTGTTAATAGTCGGGAATATGGTGAAGTAGAGAAACTGTAAGAATGAATTTTTGAGATTTTGTACTGAACATGAAGTCCAGAGTGTCATTCATAAGTCTCAGAATTAGTTTCTAATCTGAAGCTAAAAATCAGCAATTTTTTCTTAAGTAAAAATTATAATAAATCATGCGTACTGAGTGGATTGGATTAATATGACTTTTTTTGAAAATTTAATGTTTTGTATTTTTTATCTAGCTTGGCGTATACCCGACGATCTCAATAGTATTTCTTTTTTTTTATTTTAACAAATAAATAAAACTTGTCTCTCTATAATTGATTTATTTATTTTATTTTAACAAATGGCACACTAAGAAGAATATTAGTTTAATTAAAAATAGTAGTTTAGCAGAAAATGCAAGTACGGCGGACTCACAAAAAAAATTTTATTTGTTTTTGGATTTCTAAGTATCTTGAAACGTAAAACCTCAAATTTTGAGTTAAGTTTTTTAATTATTTGGTCGATTACAATGGTTCATTATTGAAAATAATAAATCAAAAGACAGTGGTTATAGAAAATGACATTTAAAAATTATAATGATGTAGAGTTGGTTGACCGTTGATATGATATGAGAAGGAATTAGTCGAGGGTGCGGTCAAAAAAATAAAAAAATTAAAATATATAAATAATTTTAATTTTTGCCGACGTTTCGACCCACTTTGCAGGTCGTCTTCAGGGCGTTGGATGTGGCACTGCGGGAGGCGGTTGAAACACTCCGCCAGTGTTTCAACTACCGAAAAACAGTGTTTCAACCGCCTCCCGCAGTGCCACATCCAACGCCCTGAAGACGACCTGCAAAGTGGGTCGAAACGTCGGCAAAAATTAAAATTATTTATATATTTTAATTTTTTTATTTTTTTGACCGCACCCTCGACTAATTCCTTCTCATGACATTTAAAAATTGTTTGAGGCTTGGTTCAACTATAATCGATCCACTATTTCTTGTTCTAAGGAAAGTAAATTATGAATTAGAGCATCCACAAAAGACAATTGAAGAATTAAAAAAATCTTAAATCATCGTTTCCTGAAACCAATGTTTTTTATTCAAACCAGTATTCTTCCTAGTGTATGACATAAACATTGTAATCATCCTAACAGTTGTTTTATCACTACAATAAGTTGGATTTTATGACTAATTATAAAATTACGTTAAGTAAATAGTGCTTATTTACTTACAGAAGTCACCTCCAAATTTAGTTCCTGATTTAACGACCCATCCTTTGGCCCTAAAATAATGGTAAGCGACATATTTTTCAATAAAATCAGATTGCGATTCCTGAAAAAGACACCACATATCTCTAACTGGTAAAACATGAGATGTGAGATCATAAACCTGAAGGCAGTTACAGGCATATCTTAAAAAGAAAGCTTCTTCCAAAGACAAGTACAAAACCTCAATAGCAGTTTTAACATTTTCCTCCTCTATATGCGGTTTTAAATTACGAAAATACTGTTCTAAATCGCCATCAATATCTGGAATTACCAAGACTTCGTTAATATTCAGAGTACTCTTTTCTGTATAATTAAAACGATTGATTTTTTTGACACATTTGGATTGATCATCACCAACTTTACTGGAAGTTGAATCTTTGATCACTCCGCAACTATCATTAGTTTTCTCATTTTTGTCCCTATCACTTATTTCTTTCTTCTCTATAGGTTTTTCGATAATATGTTCCATATCAGGTGAAGCTTTGCTGTTTCCATTATGTTCATTCTCATTAGTCTTACATGGCTCTTCATCTATTTTCCATAAATTATTATCAACATTTATTATTTCTTTATCATCTCTTTTCTTATCATTAATGTCTACCATATTGTCTTTAGAAGTTTCAACCGACTTACTTTTACTGTTTCCATTATCTTCATTCTCACTAGTCTTATTTGGCTCTTCATCAATTTTCCAAAAATTGTTTTCCTCATTATCAATCTCTATTATTTCTCTATCATCACTTTTCTTACCATTAGTGTCTACAATATTGTCTTTGGAAGTTTCGACAGATTTTTTTTTACTGTCTCCAATATCTTCATTCTCATTTCCATTGGAAGACTCTTCTTCAATTTTACATGAATTATTTTGCAGAATGTTTTTGTTCTCATTATCAACCTCCATTTTTTCCTCATCATTACTTTTCTTATTATAAATATCAACCATATTGTCTTGGGAAGTTTCATTTGACTTATTTTGAATGTTTCCATTGCCTTCATTGCCACTTGTCTTAGATGTCCCTTCTTCAGTTTCACATGAATTATGTAGCAAGGAACTACTTTTCTCAATACCAATTTCATTTTTTTCTGCTTCATTACTTTTCTTGTTTTCAATATCAACCATATTATCTTTGGATGTTTCATCCGATTTATTTTGAATGTTTTCATTAACTTCATCCTCACTCGCCTTAGATGACTTTTGTTCAGTCTCACATGCATTATTTTGTACAGGGTCACTTACTTTACTTTCTACTTCCATATTTTCTCCATCATTACTTTTTTTATTATCAATGTCAACCACATTGCCTTCTAAAGTTTCATTAGATTTTTTCCTGGTTTCTAACAGATTATTTAAACTTTGCATCCACATTTTCCTTCTTTTCCATTGGCTTTCATAAACCACACTGATAGGGATTTTTCTCTTAGCAACGTTTGGACATCCTTTAGAAAGTGAACCTTTTCCAAAAAATCCCTGTAAAATAAATGAAAAATTAATTTAAGAGACCAATTTTGCATAAAATTTTATACTAATTGATTAAAATTATAATATTTGGAGCACAGTTCTAAAGGATACTGTATCTAAATTTTGAATTAAAAAAAAAAACATTTCTTTCCTTTTACTACTTTTTAAAAACTATTGGGTTGGCAAATACGTCCTTTCACTTTCTCAGAGAGAAATAAAACTCAATGTATGATTATAGCCATACAATTTATTTTAATCTACAATATATTGACCATTATTTAATATTACTTTTTCCCATCTTTCCACTAACTGCCATAGTGCCATGTTCATAGAATGCCTGGAGTTTATTGTTAAAAAACTGGTCCAAGTGGTTTTTGATGTCCTCTTCCTTTTGGAAGTTCTTTCCATTAACCGAAATAAGTGGTAGTCACTTGGAGATCTGGTGAATACGGAGAGTGGGGCAAAAGCTCCCATCCAGGGTTCAATAATTTATTACGAGTGACCAATGAGGTGTGGGGCCTAGCGTTGTCTTGGTGGAATACAACACCCTTCCGATCATTCATAACTCTTCAGGATGTACTCTAAATTCGATATTACTATATCCGTGGAAAAGCTGAATTATTGCTCTTCAAAGCCGTATGAATAGTTTTTTGATTTAATGCCTGCATAAGGAATAAATATATAAAAACTCCTTTAGATTTCTATTTTTTATCTCCATGTGTAGTTTATTTTCGAAGGTCCTGTTGATGTCATTTTGTGTAGTATATGTGGTCCTAAATTCCTGCTAAATTTCTTGTAGATAGCTAAAGTCGCATTGAAATTATATAATTTTTTGCGATTTTCGAAAAAAAAAAATCATGTGAGGGACCCAAACATTAAGTCTGGAAAGGTAACCTAGCTTGTGCAAATGGTTTTCTACGCTTGTGTGCGACACATTTATGGCCATAGCAATCTCTCGCACTGATTGGATGGGATTTTGATCAACAATGGCCTTAACATTACTCGTTTCAATTTCACGTGGGCTACCAGACCGTTGAGCGAGCATCATTGATGTCAAAATTTCCTGAATAAAATTCGGCAAACCAATTTTGACAGGTGCATTCAGTTAAAGCATCATCCCCATAAACACTGCAAATTTTTCTATGAGCTAATGCAGCACACTTATCTTTTTTTAAAATAATAAAACAAAATATGCCGATAATGAATATTTTCTTCCATATTCACAGTATAATAGCAAACACAATACTAAACTAGTTTCAACAAGAGTGAACAGACATAGTTGTTGACATATTACAAAAAGGATAAACAATCCACCTTAGCGATTAATTCATCAGATAAGAAATATTGCAGTGACATCAAAATAAAAATAAAAACCGAAAGGACTTATTCACCAACCCAATATAACGGGTATTTTTCTTTTTTTAAAATTCACAAGATGGCTTGAAAATAATCTGGAAAACCAAATAATTCCCTCAAAATAATTAAGAAACTTGGATTTCCATTTAGAAAAAAAAAAATGTAGTATACCTTTTGGAACTTACATCCATAATAAATTCAAGCCTGGCCATCCTTAAAAGATTCTTATGTGCAAAGCCTTAATATTTTGTATAACATAAGTGCATTTTAATTGTCTCAAGATGAAGAGCCAGGTAACAGGTGCTTTCAATATTGTACTGTTTTAATAAAGCTGATCCTCAGTTATTTTAACAAGATGAGTCGACAATTTCTTTGACTTTACCATTTTGGATAAAAATCGTAATTATAGTCAGATATGAAAACAACTAAATATGTCAGATTATCCTGGCTTATGAAAGATTTCATATGGCAAAATACATGCAATATCTAATTGATATTACTACAACAAATGAAGGGTCTTCGGTTCAGTATTTTGTAAGAAGGTACAGTTTATAAGCTAATGGTTGTACAATGCGATGAATGACTCTTGACTATGCTCAACCACTAGATTTTCCTCCAATTTATAGAAAGAAGGAAGGCCACACATATAGTTCCCTAACTAGGTAGTGAAAGTAAATATAAAAGTTCTTATCAGTGTTATATGTACAATGTGATTGTGGATCACCAGTCTTCCAGGCATGATAATTGTGAAGTAGTAATATTTACTACAGTCGTGTACTAGGTCAGTGCGGCAAGGTGCACGAAAGAACCTAATTTATCTCACGCTAATCCATGTTCGTTTTTTATCATATTTTAAAACTATTTTATGAGCTAGAACAGCCAAATATGGTTTATTATTTAGAAAAAACATTTAAGCAATAATCACTTAATTTTATTTTTGGTACTCCTGTACAAATGTCACAAAATCTCATGATCATACCATAAATGAAATCAACAGCGTCTTCCAAAGTAGAGGGAAGTGATTGAACTATCTGTTATGGGTCCAACCTCCACTGAATAGGAATCGTTGGGGGTTTGTTTATTCATAGAGAACAAGATGGAGTCAAAGCAGCAATGTAATTAAAGCTTATTAATGCCTCAATTTTAAACTGAAAAGACAAGGTGGAGTGACATTTCTAGAGTGGTGTCTTATTTTTAAATAGAAAAACAAGAACATATATTTATGCAGAAAATAAATAGGACAAACAAAAATTTTAATGCAAAGGCTTCGCCCACTAGAATGGTGTGAAGTTTTCAAATAAAATAATACTATTGGTGCATGGTACCACGCCATGCCTCTACATCGACCTAGAGGATGACTAAATTTCAAATCCAGTCCATAGGCAGATCTACAGGGGACGGAGGGGAGCTTTCGGGCTGAAGCCTCCCTCCAAAATTAAATCCTGGATCCCCTAGTGCTCCAGTCCTATCACTTTCTCTTTCTAAAGTTTTCAAGAACATTTTACAACATAGAAATAGGAAGAAATAAATAAATATAGAAAGTTTACCTTGTTTGTCAACAAAGTAATGGCCTGGGAATCATCAACAATGACCGAAGTACCATTATAATAACCACTAAACTGAGGCCAATCATATTCATCTACACAATATCCTGAACAGGACTCATTTAGCATTGGTAACGGTGGTCGGTAGCGGGGGGTTTTGATCCCTTTCTTGGTAGGAGTTTTTAATTCCATAATTCTAATATAAACGTCACAATAAATTACAATAACAATAAATAAATATTTAACTGATCAGTCATTTAATTAGGACATTTGGAAGCATCACTGCTGAAATTTAATTTATTTTAACGGTAACAGCAATATAAAAAATTACATGTTTGCAAACAATATATTAACTCTCTGCTAGGTTATTTATTTTCGCCAGGGAAGATTAATGATCCAAAGAGGTTCTGATTATATCTTATAAAATAATCTGGTGCGCGCAATACAACTTTCACTTATCTCAACTTAGAATAGAAATTATTTTCTTGTAATGTTGGGCTATTATAATATTTTTGAAGTACAATCTTAAAGGAGCTACAGCCTAAAGCTCATAGGTAATAAATCATGACCTATAACAAAAAAACTCTGTTAATTATATCAATGGTAGGCTATGAAAATCTCTTTACTCCATCAGTTTTTGTAAACTACATAACTCCAATCTCTGAGCTATATATATTGCCTAGATAGATTTGAAAGTATATCTGTATATTCAACCTATAAGTTGTTTTTGAATTGTACGCCTATTAGTTATCAAACTGTTATTTTCCATAGTAAAGTTTACTAAAATGAAATTACGAAATTTTCATTGCCTACCATAGACAGATCAAAATTTGCCACACTAATTGTAAGTGGATAATATTGGGATTTCACAAAAGGAAAATTCATCAAATTAGTCACTAATTTTATTTAAGGTTACATGACGTTTTTCCGGAATAAACGGACGTAAATACATTATTATTAAAACGAGATTTTCATTGCCTGCCATAGATAGATCAAAAGTTGCCACACTAATTGTAAGTTGATAATGTTGGGATTTAACAAAGAGGAATTTCATTCAATTATTCACTAATTTAATTTTCTAAAAGATTACATGACGATTTCTCGGAATAAACGGACGTTGATAACTAATTATTTAAATATAATATCAGATCTGGAGTTATTAAACTACAATAATTGTATTTAAGGTTATAAACATATCCATTATATGTCCATAAAATGTTTTATATTTCACTTCTTCTTTTACACACGTTTTAATGAAATAGTTTTTTAACAATGCCATTGTCTTAATTAGGTGAATTTTAAATTCTTTTTCAAACTTAACAAATATTTTAAAAGTTTACATTTAGTTTTTCGTTAAATAATATTAGTTTTCAAAAATTATTATTTATAATTTTTCGTCACACTCTATTACTTTCTAAGATTTTCTATATAAGATTTTTTTTTCTTCTAAAATTCTCCGATTTGCAACGATATATTATGTGTACACCTTCTGACTAGCATTCATTTTCGATCTGGATAGCGATTTTTCTCCTTGATTCAATTACCAAATTCTTTCAAAAGTTATATTTTGACGAAAAATTTTGCTGTAACATCATATTCATATACAAACCTTAAATAAGTAATTTTCGTTTCGTACGACTCTTCATTTTTGAGATAGTGTTCACATACCAAAAGACCATTTTGCGAGACTAGGTTTTTTGGACTCAGGGGGCCATAAAACGTGTATTTCCGTTGAAAACTCGGATAGGAAAATTTTCACGACCGCAATATTTTCCTATACTGTAGATTTCATATATAGGCTAGTGAAATGTGGGCGGGGTTGCACAGGCGTTAGTCCGCCAACCTGATATATGAGACAAATGAAAAAAAATAGTCACGAGTTCGTGTCCTGGTGACGAGGGAGTGTTTAAATCCAAGCCCACATCCCCTGGCCCGGGAAAACCCTTATAGCCTTAAACACGAAGAAGAGAGGACGCAAAAAAAAAAAAAATTAAAATTGGATGCGGTGCGTGCATCACACAACTTTTACTTGATACCCTCTTATTAGCAGAAATAATTATTTTCAGACAAAGAGGAAGTGAAAGTAAAAATTATAAACGCTATATTGATTCATATTTCATTGATGATATTTTTATTTTTTGAAGTATTATTATAATTGATAAGTATTAGATAATCAGGTTTAATTTATCCGTCACTAAAGATTAGTAACGCTATCTTATGTTGTCAGCAGTAATTTTACGTATAATAGGTGATAATGTGACTTAAGAAACTATCGCAATAGTAATGTTAATCCGGAGGCGATCCGGAAAAGGAAGCGCTACGAATCAGGCACGAAAATGAAGGGAAAATGCACCAGTATCTCACATACATGAGGAAATTTCTTTGAACGTTAAAAAGTAAAAACTTAAGCATTATTGGATGTTAGTTTTGTTTTATTCGTATAATAGAAGTATTTTTCACCTTGCTAAGACACATTTAATATACATAAACACATAAATATAAACATAAATCCGAAATTAGTTTAAATTTAGAGAATAGCTTTGTTGCACCTGCAGCCAAATCTGTTTGATTTGGAAAGTTCCTATAGCTGACAGGGATGCAAACAACAATGTAATTATCCGAAATAAAATGTTAATATTTTATATTTTTCATTTTCAAATAGATATTAACAAAAATAATCTTTAACTCATAATAAAACTAACTTCATGTGTTTTCCGAGTTAAATTTATCGATACATTCTTGGCACTGTCTAGCACTTGTTTTTGGCAATAAGGAACCTGTTTTTGCTTTGTATTTAATCCACATAACTCGCGATTTTATTTATTTTTTTTTTAAGGAGACAGTAGTGGATGGTTTCATTTTTAAGACCCGTCATGTTAAGTTTATTTCTTTGAAATTGCGTTTATGCGAATATTGTCAGCAACTGGCAAAAGCCACAAGATAAGCCTCCAGTAGCTTATATCTCCAATAGCTTATACCCATTATGTTTCCAATTCTTTTTTTTTTAAACTTCTTTATTGATATAGTACAATCTGTCACATTAAAGGACAATAGTAATAGTGATATAGAGTAGCTCATTCATACCATACAATAAATAAAAATAATAAACATCAATATAATAATACTAAAGTAAATTGTATATAAACTAAAATATATTAAACTAAATAAAAATAAACCAATCTAACAAAATAAATAAACCAGACATACATGGCTTGAGTGGCGAATCTGTATGGCCATCTTACAAGTCTTCAACCTTCGAGGAGGATTGTAGAGATGGCTGGAGCTAGATAGGGATTGTGCAATTGGATTTGGATGATATGTAAGGTTTAGGTAGAATTCGGGAAATTTTTGAGGGATAAGGTCTAGGACAAATGGGATATTAAGGTCATGATATAGAGTTTGGTTGTTAATTTCTTTAACAAAATAAGTTAAAAGCAAATGAAACATAAACTAAAAACACTCCAAGAAATTATTTTAATAGAAATAAAATAGCATACTCGTATTTTTAGAAACTATTGAACAATTTCTATAAATATTAAAAAATAAAAATAAGCTTTTTAGAGAATTCAATATTCTTATCATTATTATAACTAATGGGGAAAAATTATGACTTGATCGAAGTTCGAAACTAGATAACGTGTAATTGAAATAAGTACAAATAAATAAATATCAACCTAATTTTCAAAAATGAGAAGAAAATTTTTATTGTAACGATTTTTAATACAGCATATATCCTGGGTTTTCAATATCTTTAAAGATGTTCAAAATTAAAAATTGTTTGTTGTATTTTTGATTCCTCATTTACAAAAGTAGTTTTCATGTTTTATGAAATATAAAAACGAAGTTATCCGTTTTTGTCTGTTTATATGTTATCAAAACCAAAAGTAGGTAGTTTCATATCAGTTTTATCAAACACTATCAACTACTTTCGGTTAGCCTATCAACCGCAGTTTTTACTTAGCATACCTATACTTTATATGTTTTAAAGTACGTTTGGACATTTCACAAACTATGAGAAACACCACAGGCGGATCTGCGGGGAGAGGGGGGGAGGGGGGTTGGGCTGAAGCTCTTCTCCCCCTCCCCCAAAATGACATAATATGTCATATATATATACTTGGCTAAGTCTTACAAAAAAATATTTAACAATTATCTCTAAAAGTATCATTGTTCGTGTAATTACATTTAATATAACTTCAAGAATCGCTTTAATACTATTTCATAATATAATATAACGTTTATGTTTCTACTACTCTAAACTTAAAAAAAAAAAAAAACTTTCGAACTAAAGCCCCCCTCCCAAAATTTAATCCTGAATCCGCTACTGCCTAAGGAAAAGCCAAGATAGTATTTCTCCTAAAATCTGTGTTCACTCTGACTGTCCTCCCCCCTCCCCCAAAATATATTTCTGGATCTCCCCTTGATAAATACAATATTCGTATTAAATTTCGAGTTTCGATTAGAAATCATGAGTTCGTCACAAATAAATACAAATAAAATTTTTATAGTCTAATTTAAAGTTTTAACATGATAAACATTTAATATAATGTAGAGGAACATAAAAATATTAAAGGTATGAAGGGTAAATATATTGGGTTGGCAAATAAGTCCTTTCGGCTTTTCTGTTTATTTTTATGTCACTACGATACACTTATTATCTGATGAATTGATTCCTAAGGTGGATTGGTTATCCTGTTTGTAATATGTCAATAACTATATATGTTAACTCTTGTTGAAACTAGCTTAGTACTGTGTTTTCTATTGCACTGTGAATATGAAAGAAAATCTCATTATATCGGCATATTTTGTTGAATTATTTTAAAAAACATAAGCATACTTCTGAAGCTCATAGAAAAATTTGCAGTGTTAATGGGGATGATGCCTTAACCGAACGCGACAGGTGCGTTTAAGGCATTAAGGTGTTATTCTTAACGGGTACAATTTTTAATCGATTACGTTACCCCATCGAGGTTACTGAACACCTGTTCGTTCGCCGTTTCAGAGAGATTATTACCAGGATACCGAGAAGGAAAAGGAGCTCACTACTTTCGGCTGAACTGAATTGGCCCCTCCCCATAGCTACTCTCTCTCACTCTTTCTCTCTCTCTCTAAGCTCCTGCTAGTATTGCCTTCTTCTCCTGATAGACTGATAGACAACAGACAGTTCAGCTTAAATGTAAGTGGTTTGGTTTGTTTGGATTTGATTTCCATGCACAATTTTATTAAAATACTAAGACCTACGACTTTTGATTCTACTTATATATATATATATATATAACACCCCAGGAAGTATGTTTTGTATACTTTTTTAATGTAGTTCATAAAACGAAAAAATTAAAAAAATGAAGTGAGAGACTTTATTTACTCATTTATTATTTTATCTGACCACTGGTGGATCTATGGGGGGACGGGGGAAGCTTTGGGGCTGAAGCCCCCCAAAATGGTAAAATATAACCATGTTTTATGGAAACAATATCTCTTAAAGTATTATTGTTCATGTAATTATATTTAAAAGGACTTCAAGAACCACTTAAACACCATTTCATATAGGTAGTTAATTTTTTTTTTCTCAAATTAATCAGCGTTATATGTACATGAAAAAAAAAGCTTTCGGGCTGAAGCCCTCCCCCCCAAAATTAAATCCTGGATCCACTATTGTATCTGACTATAGTTATAAAAATTTACTTGACCTTTAATACCAATTCTGTCTGTTTTCATTGGTGGCGTACCTAGACCGTTTGGGGCCCGTGGTGAATTTATTTTTGGAGCCCCTTAAAAATAGATAATACTAAAACCCTATTTTTTTAAAAAATAAAAACAATAACGTCTCATTTAAATAAAAATTAACCACGTACTTCTATACAAAAAAATATAATTAAATAAAATAAAAAAATAGTTATAATACAATTATGAAGGATTAGAAATAAAAACTAATACATTAAAAAAATCGTAAAATCTCACTGCACAAATTAAAAAAATAAAAATAAACAGATAAAAAAGAAGCATTTTAGAGATTTTTTTTTTAAATAACACATATTGTGATTATTTAAGGATTTACCTTAGATCGCTTTTAGTAACAAATACGGACGAATAAAAAAAAAACATTAATTTTTCACTTTGGGGGAACCTTTAAAGCCTTCCCACCCCCGTGGATCCGCCAGTGGCACTTACTAACAAAACAAATAGTAAAAATAATACCGACAAATATTTTATTTACGAAAACAACGTGCTCTTCTGATTCAACATAAAGAATGAAACCATTTTACAAGAAAGTTAAAATTCAATAAAAATAAAAAATTATGCCAATATCTTGTGATCCCATAATTAAAGAAAAAAAACAACAATTTAAAAAAAAATAATTTCTTGGCTGATTAAAAACAAAGTATTTGTTTTATTTTTTACAATAAAGTTTTATTTAATTTTTAAAATTGTCATTTTTATGGAGTTCTCGTAATAAACAAGTCATCTTCTCCCTCTAGTCATACTACTGTCCGAATTCATAAAAATTTTTAATAGTTTATATAAAAAAAATAGGTATTTAAATAAATAAATAAAATAAAATATGTGAGTGAAAAAGTAAAGTAATAAAATATGAAAATAGATCCTTTTTGGCTGCTACTAGAAACATTATTTTAGCTTCCGGGAAGTGCTGCTCTCTTTTGACGGTTACTAAAACTGATATTTTAGCCATCAATATTGCTGCTAATATTCAATTATACTTGCCTTAAATTAGTGCTATTTTTATTTGATACACAATTTTACTCAATTGTTGCACTATACGATAAAATCAGACCAAATTTTATTTTAAATTATTTAATGCTAAGCACTAGCGGATCCAGGATTTAATTTCGGAGGGGGGCTTCAGCCCGAAAGATTTTTTTTTCATAAACCTTCATAAAAATAATTTGAAAAAAAAAGAAAGAAATTAACTACCTACATGAAATGGTGTTTAAATGGTTCCTGAAGTCCTATTAAATGTAATTAAACGAACAAGAATACTTTAAGAGATAGTTTTTTATATTTTTTTCTGTAAAACATGGTTATATTTTACCATTTTGGGGGGGCTTCAGCCCGAAAGCTCCCCCCCCCATAGATCCGCCTGTGATGTCAAGTACTTATCAATTACATTGATGTGAAGGTTACTAACGTAAGGACTGTTATAACCTTCCTACTTTAGTTTTTATGTATCAACAAGTGTAGATATGTCTGATAATCTTTGATAACTACGTTATAGTAGATTTAACTTTATTTATTAGATAATATTTTATTCCATGAAATAATTATTTATTTTCTGTTTTTTTTTTTCATTTATCAAGGCCGTATTTTGTGTTATAATTGAATTGACATCAATATTAAAATGGATAGTTCAAGTAAGTTAGTAAACAAATACATTAGCTTATTATTTAGTGTTCTTAATTCTTTGTGTTAATGTTAAATATATATTTATTCGTTAGTGAATGGAGAAGAGAGTGGTATAAAATCAGAACCAAAAACTGAAGAAAAGAATAATGATGAGCAAGGTATCTTGTTTTCAAAGTTACTGTTTCAAATTTAATGTGGAATAAACACTAAAATGGAATTATTACTAAGTATTGGGTTATATACAAATCTTATGTCCTTGTCAATCGATACCTTTAGTTAGCATTATTATTTTTTAGGCATTGAAGATGATCAGAAATCAGATGGAAAATCTGAAGATGCAAATCATGAACACCCAGGTATTTTATATGAAATTATTTTTATTAATAGGCTAATGGTTAATCTTAAGTCAATTTTCATACATCACCTTAACTTTTTTGTTAAAAATCAATCAGGGTGATCTAATGCCAAGTCCCACCAACTATTGAATGTTATATAATTTGGTACAATTGAAAGTAGTACTTTACAAATGTTGCTCAACTTTGTTGAGTCAGCACAAGAGCATTTATATAATAAATGGAATTCCGATACTGAGAATCGACAATGCGTTCTCTGGTATAACCTCTTGTTATTTAAATCGTAATTTATGACTTCAGCAAGCTCCCAACTGGTCTTATTGCTAGCAGTATATTTTAATCTGATTGTTTTCATCATGATTTCATGATGTTTCATCATCATGGTGATTCATTATGATCATGGTCTGATAGTGATCAATTGATAGTTTTTACAATTCAGCAAAGATTTGAATTTGAATTTTTTCAATTTGATTCATCAAGTTTATAGTTAGCTAATTTAATTTTATTGCCAAAGAGACAATGAAATAATTATTTATTTCATTCCTACTTAGTCCATATGACAATGTGGGATTTAGCAACAGTAGAGTTTAGCTTACTGAATAATACTAATGCTGCCAATTTTCTCTGCTTTATACATAGTCCTTACAATCTTCTATTTTTTTTATTCGACCTTCGATTATGCTTCCTGTGGATCCGGCGATCTACCAGGTTCAGAGCCTTGTCTTCTTCTTTGACTTCCGAGATAAAAGTAGGCCAGCCCCACTGCTGCTTTCCAGCCATAAATGAATAGTTTGAACCATGGGAAATTCTCAGTTATTATTAGAGGAACTCATTTTCAGTGAGTACATAGAATCCCGTGGCTCTCATTAATGTGGCCCTTAAGGCCTCAAGTGTGGTGCAAGTTGTGACTATGTGCTCTACAGTTACCGTAACACCACAGGCTGGACATAAAGGATCTATATTGATAATATTGATGTCAAGTGATCATATGCCAAATCAATAAGAAAATAAAATAATGCAACGTGATAAAGAAATCAATAACAAAGATAAAGAAATCAATTGTTACTTTATCGATCAATATAATCGACAAGGAAAACAAAATTTAATTTAAAACTTCATTTTTGTTTGGAACTAACATGTTTACAAATTTCAATAAGCTGTTTCTTTGCTAAAAATAGTCCGATTTCGATGATTTTTTTTTTCCATTTGTAGGGAATTTAGTATTCTTTTATATAATTATCAGCCTAACCGAGGGAAAAACGTGTAATTTTTTAGTTGTTAGCAAATAAAGTTTCTTTCCTTTCATAACTTGTTTACCTGAATTTTCGGGGTGATTAGACTATCTTGCCCGCCTGAAGGAGAAGGAAGGCTTCAAAATCGGTGGCTCAATCTTGGGATTTGGAGAAGAATTAACAATGATATGGCTTCCCTATCAAAAACACCGTCGATAAATAATATAAACTCCTCCTCTCTCGATCATAGGGACCTCAAGTTGACGAAATGAGACGTGTATTCAATGATAGTACTACAATTAACGTAAGTTAGTGTGGATGCAAACCCTAAACCTTGCGTTATCTTTCGCATTTCGTTATCTTATGCATCAAAATGTTCAAAGCCCAATTTGTCCTCTGTCGATCTACAGAATTACCACCGTTCCAGTATTGAAACCTAGCAAAATGTTTGTATAGGTTTTATTTATTTTAGAAAGAAAAACAAAAGTAGAGAATACGATTCGCTAACCCCTCGTGAAATTCTGAAACCAACGATACTCCACTCATGGTATTTAAGCATGACAGGAGCTTATATTTGGTACAAAACCGATTTTGAGCCTTACTGTAATAATAAATGTGTGGATATATAATACTTATATTTTCCATTTAGCTTATTTTATTTATTTATAAAAGCTAATAAAATAAATTTTTAATTTAAAAATTTTATTTAAGTCCCTGATGTAGCTGTATATCCACTCTCATGATGTAGCTCTGCCACCACCACTTTTTATTAATACTGATCGTTTTGAAAAATATGCTGTAGAAAAATTTTGAACTTTTTGAATTTTTATGCATTATAATCTAATCTTTACCAATGAACATTAATTGGCAATTCATGGATGAACCAAATTTAATTAAGAACGAAAGAGCATGCAATATATCATAAAAATTAAATTAATGTTTTTATTTATAAATTATGATTTTGAATGGAACAGTCATTTTGTAACAGATGCGCCTGAAGGGGATGACTCAAAGGCCACTGGAGAAATCTTTATCTTGGATGTCGATGCTACGGTATTTATCAAAAATATTTATTATTATTTTATTTTTTAATTTCTATTATGATATTGTATATATCAAATTAATTTTTATTAGGAATTGGATCTGAACTATCAAAGAATTGGCAAAATCGGGACTGCAGAATTAGATAGACTACAAAACCTGGAGTGTCTATATCTTCGATGGAACTTGTTGAAAAAGATAGAAAACCTAGAGAATCTAGTTACCTTAAGGGAGCTAGAACTCTATGGTAACCAATTGACCTCAATCGAAGGCTTGGATACTCTTGTAAACCTGGAGTATGTACAATTTTGGGTACCATTTCTTTTATTCATCCTCTATTTTTTTTTATTTGAATATTATTGTACGATTTCAGGATGTTAGACTTGTCTTTCAATAGAATTACTGAAATAAAAAATCTAGGAAATCTTACAAAGTTAGAGAAATTATTTTTATCAGCCAATAAAATTTCTAAAATTGAAAACCTCAGCCATTTAAAAAATTTAAAAATGCTAGAATTAGGAAATAATAAAATTAGGGTAAGTATAAATTATTCTTATTTCTTCTAAGTTGAAGTTCATAATGATACTTCAATGATAATTATTAATTTGTATAACAGGTTATAGAGAATCTGGAAGAGCTAACCAATTTAGATAGCCTTTTCCTCGGAAAAAACAAGATTAATACTATCAATAATCTCGGCACTCTAAAAAAGATAAAGCTTCTTAGTATACAGGTACTTACTATTTATTTTTTTTCAATAATAATTTTTAATAAATTTTTGTCAACTTATCAATTAGAAAAATTAAATATAGAATTATCATTATTTTTTTTCTCTCACTTCTGATTTTATTGTACAATTACAATATATACAAATAAATATATTCATACGTATTCTTTTTTTCTTTTTTTATTTATATATACATTACATCATGTCAAAATGTTAAATTCCATGTTTGTGGTTGCAATAACCTTATACATGACATACTAGTGGTATGAATGTTGTTTAGTAGATTGAAATCCATTTTATACAGTAGGAAAAACCTCATAAAAAATCTACATAAGATATAAAAGAAAAACTAGATTATAATCCTTAATTTTCAAGAAGAACAAAATATAATTTATATACATAAGAAAACTATATATATATTTATACATACTATTTATTATTATGCATCTGTGATATATTTTTTTTATAAGAAAAGCTCTTGTATTGTATTGTCCATGAGAACAGCCAACATTCCAGGATGGAGTTATTTAAAGGATGCTTAATAGAACGTTTAAGTAAAGAATAGACTCGGGAGCAAACAAGACAGTGGTGGCTGAGTTTGAAATGTGTTGTAGGTGGATTAAAATCTTGTGTTGTACCCACATAATAAGTCTTAATCTTCTCACTAAGGTTAGAATAGGTTGGTTACCTTTAGGGCGAAGCTATAATGGCTGAGTGATTGGACCAAGATCATGCTCAACTGCCATGTTTTCTTCCTTAATTATTTAATTAGGAAAGCTTTCCAGAAGTTGAGTGTGTCTTCTGATCTCAGGGTATACCAGGGTTAACCATGGCTCATGTTATAGAATAAATAATTACCTACACAGCCAGATTTGAACCTGAAGTCTGGAATATTAACAGTGTCTTACTCACTGAACTACCCGCCTCCCTACCTAATATATTTGATAAATTTAAAATTTCGGGAAAACTAAGAGCCTGACTTTGGGTCTTGGTCATGGACACTATTACATTTACTTTTTCATTGAATTTTATTTAATTTTTACAGTGCAACCGTCTAACAAAAATTGAGGGTTTAGAGGAACTCAAGGATCTTGAAGAACTCTATATATCTGAAAATGGTATCGAGGAAATAACTTCGTTGGATCAGAATGTAAAATTGAAGACTTTAGATTTAGCGATGAACCACATCACAGCTATAAAAAACGTTGAACACCTAGTAGAATTAGAAGAATTTTGGGTAATTCAACTCATAATTTTTATTTTCTTCACTCATAAAAACTGTTTCATATTTTTCTTTAACTATCCTTGTGTAAAGGGACTGGAAACTTTACAGAACGGGTGCATAGCACAACTTAAAAAAAATTATATTAAGACATTTATATCATATGCCACATATGGAAGAAGAATTTTTTTTTCATTTTATAAAATGGATATTATTCTTTGGTATCACGAGTCGCACTTGAATGAATAGTGTTAAAAATTTTCCTCCAACCAAAAAAGTATATGTATTCCCAAATGACTATTTAGTCACAATCTATTTGATATAATTTTTTTTCCATGTATATATGCTTTATATATATATATATATATATATTTTATTAAAAAAAAAAAAATAGATTACAAGGATAGGTATATTTTGATGGTAAGGATGATAACACATCAAGTGAAAATTTAAGTGTTTAAAACTTATATAATTATATATAAATAGCAATAAAAACTATTAAAACTTTTTTTAAATGATAAAACTAAAGATTAATAAATACAGAATATAAGTGGTATAAATGATTAAATGGGAATTTTTGTACAGTTTATTTATTTTTAGAAATGTTAAAAAATATTTTATTCAAAATATTGTTCAACGCTAGCTATACATTTCCCCAGTCTTTCTGAAATTTATTACATGCTAAATATATGCTGAAATAGTCTTACATGCCAGAAAAACTATTGCTCTTTTATGACGAACCAGTCATCAAACCATTTTCATAAGAAATGAAATGCAAATAAATACTAGTCGGATGGACCAAGTCTCGTGAGTAAGCCGCATGCACTATATTTCTCTACTAAATTCCTTGCTTTCTTCACTGGTTTTGCTATGTATGATGTTTCATTATCATGAAGCAAATTCATTTTGTGGATTTAACACTGGATTCAAATCAATCATTTGTTATTGATTTGGTCCAGTATTAACGGTTTTGTCAGGTTTTAGCAGCTCATAATAGATCACATCCATGTTCTTCATTTATCATGTCAAAATCTCCACTCTTAAATTCTTTAAACCACTCAAACCAATGTGATTTATCAAAAGTATGTTCACTGTAAGCTTGGACAAGCATACTATGCGATTCTGCAGCAGTTTTCTTTAAATGGTAGTTTATATTCACAAAAAGTGTTTAACACTATTAAAATGATGCTGTTATATGAAACTTATATTGTTGTGAGTTGAACATTTTTGCCAGTTGTTGAAGAAACAAAATGGCACCAAAAATGTGGTTTGATGTTAACCACATTAACAACTTAAGTCATCTAAAGACAAATGGCAGTTTCATATTTACACATCTGGTATATTATATAATGATTTTAAAAAAATTTAACCAGATTTGATCAGATTTAAATTAAAAAAAAAATAAAAATACATTTTCTAAATCAATTTGATTCAAGTTTATATTGGTGTATATTGTTTAATGTAGCTATTGATGTTTCCTATTGATCTATATCTGACTGACTGTATTGTGGTGATTTATATATTGTAACTATGGTTTAGGTGACATTTAGTTAAAGGAAACCAAATATGGAAATATTAATTAAATATGGGATTAGTGCTTAATATATAAGAACCAACTTGTGTTTTAATTATTGTTTTTGATCTGTTTTTAATATAATTTTGGTGTTTTAATTATATAATTGCAATATTTTGAATTGAATAAAACATAGTATAAAATCAGGTATATAAAAAAAAGTTTCAAATTTTTCAAGACCATTTAAGTTTGACATGACTCAAAATATATGCAATGTGGATTGTTCATCTCCTGTTATATGTCCTGCATTATTAATATTTTTCTTTTCTAGATAAATAACAACAAAATAACAGATTGGCGTTGTATTGACGTCCTCGCCGCCAATACTAAATTAACCACTATTTATTTAGAAGGCAATCCAATCTCAAAGGATCCAAATTATAGAAGAAAGATAAAACTTGCCATACCTTGGATAACACAGATTGATGCAACCATGACAAAGTAATTTATAATTAATTTAATTGTATGTTTAAAAAAATTAAACCTGTATCCTACATTTAGTATTATCCTTAAAGAAATAATTTGTAATACATGTAAAAGATTTATTTTAATATTTATATCATAAATAAATATTAATTTACTGTAATGCTAAGATACTGTAAGATTGAAAAATTATTTCAGAATTATAATTAAGTCCAATAAATTAAAGTAAAATTCCTTTATAATGTTTTTAAAATTTATTTTAACCCTCTCTTTGATCACCGTTTACACATTTAAATATATAAGAGCACACTTGGATTTTCTATTACAATTTTGTTAGAAACTCAACAGTCAGATCACATTAGAAACTTATTATCGATTTAGGCTTGCATTCTCTGTAAAATGAAGAATAGACTTCTCAGGGTGGCAACTGACAATCACTACACTCCATTCTGAATGGAATATGTGATGAGTCCTAAGTTTGGAATCCTGTATGGATTTTTTGAAGTGATTCATAGCGGCTGGAATTCTATCAGTCCTTAATTCTATTATGCTATGCTATAATGTGATACACTGATGGACTGTTCAGTTTTTCTTCTGTGATATATTAATAATTATAATAAAATTATTGGCAGTAAATACAGTATAGTTAAATTTTAAGATATTGATAGTATAAAGTATTTTACAAAAATATATAAATATAAATAAATTAATAATATAAATAAAGGAAGGAGATGGTCCGAGATGACTGTCATAAATAGGCTGAATAGTGGAAAAACTATTTTATTAAAATCCAACGTTTCGACCCGACTTAGCAGGTCTTCTTCAGGGAGGTGTGTTCAGCTAGGAGTTGCACTTAGAACTCAGTGTTTCAGTTCCTTTATAATGCAACGGTCAACTATTAAATATTCAATTAATATAAATAATTTCTTTTCAATTTTAATTATTTTAAAAATATATAAATATTAATAAATTTCCAATATTTTTTTAGGAGTAAAAATGTTAATTGTCATTGTAAATGTTATTGTCATTGTAGAGTCACTATTTACATATCAATCAATTCTCAATAGTTCTATTAATCTATGGGTACTCACTAGGTATTCATCTAAAGTCTTCTTATTTTATTGAAAAAATGTGTACCCAAAATTATAAAGAAGGTACTGTAGGTTACAAATTTGGTAATTCTTTGGTGCAAATATAATGAAATGAAACTACAGTCATGCCTTAACAACATAAAGACCACTTCATTTCCTAGGGCAACAAAAAGCACACTTCTCAGGGCTTTTTAATTCTACTCCAATAGACGTATTGTATAGTGGCTGGTGAAACATATTTAAGTATAGAAGGAAAAAGAAAAAAATATGTTCCTCTTATTTATGATAGCTTTTATAAAATATCAGCAATTAACAGCAAATTTATTTTTTAGTACTAAACTACCTCTACATTACATGATATGTTATTTCAAATATTTAATATAATAACACTAAATTCAACTCATTACCCCCAATTATGATAAATGAAATTATAAAATTGTAACTAATAGAAAACTGGGCTCAACATAGTAAATATATAGACGGATCGAAAACTAGAGATAATACTGGCTATGCCGTTTACATCGCGAAATATAAATATTCTGTTCAAAACATATTACCAAACATAAAATCTATTTACAATGCTGCATTGTATGCAATATTACAAGCTCTCGAGTTTATAAACAGATCTAGTGAAAATAAATTTGTAATAATAATTGACAGTATGAGCTCATTATTAGCAATTAAAAATAATAGCAGTATAAATAAAAATAACCTTTAGCCAGCGTTATTAAACAATACTGTAATGTAATAAACATAAATAAAAAAAAATAAGAATGTAATAAAAAGCACATAATATAACATCCCAATCATAATTTTATGAATAAGTATCTAAAATAATAAATATAATAAAATAATAGAATTCTTTGTTAAAAAAATAAGATCAGACTAATACAAATTTAATCATATACATTTCAAATAATAAATATATATATTGAATGTCAAGTAAATTATTTATTCAATTTAAATATTATGATTCCACAAATAAACTAAACAATTTTAAAATTAAATAAACATGTTAAAATTTAATATTTTAAACGATATTAAATTAAACAAATAATTGAAAATTCTTTCTTATTCTAATCAACCATATGGATCATCAAAATGAATTGATTTTTATTTGTTATCAGAATAGGAAGGAAAAAAGGTTAAGAAAGCAAAAATATCAAAAAATGATAGCTATTTAATTACATATTATTTATATACAGAATTGAAAATAAAATACTGACATTTGTGTGGGTCAAAGCGTATAAGGGAATATCGGAAAATGAAGAGGTAGACCGTCTTGCTAAAACCTCTGTTAACTTACCTCATGTTATAGATATCAAACTGCCATATACAAATTACTTTCTGATGTTTATGTACTCGCTTCGGCGGTACACATACTAAAATTATAACGATATAGAGAAGCGATGCTTTTGGAACTAATCCTCAAGAGGATAAAATCAAGTTCTATTTCAAGAGACAGGAACTGGACATGCTACCGAAAGGGCTTCGTGAGAGAATCGGTGAGACTCCAAACCATTGGAAAAGGATTATTAGGGAGAAGTCCATTGAGGAGTGGAACAGACGGTGGGAGGCAAGCCTGAAGGGATCTACCGTTCTGTTAAAAAGTTCTTCCTCACCGTCCATGCAAGATTAAATGCGACATTGGTCCTCTCTGATTTACTATTTTATTTTGACAGATCACCCCTACCATTCTATTCAATTATTCACTACAGCCAACCATCAACCCACAATTATAAATAATTTATAGGTTAATTTTTCACACTATATATCTTTTGTAGATTTTTATCTTTTAATCATTGATTATTATAAATATTTTTGTTTTCTGAAAATCATGAAAATTTTGTGTACCCTTTGTTTAATAACCGATACAATTGACTTCTTTTAAACACAATACTGAAATTAGTAAATTTCAATCTCAAATGTTATGAGTTCAAGGAATGTCTAAATAGATTTCGACAATTTATTTTCAAATTATTATGATTTTGTAAATGTTTAATTTTTTTATTCTTCAATAAATATTAGTAAATTATGTCAATTTGTGAAACATAAATGCATTGCATTTGAAGAGATATATTTAAAAAAATATATTTATTTAAATTAATTAACAATTTAGGCACATATTTTTTAACATTCCAATCACAATTTTCTGAATAAGTATCGAAAATAATAAATATAATATCAGACTAATAAAAATTTAATCATATAAATTTTTGATTTAATCATATAAATTTTTTATTTAATCATATACATTTTAAATAATAAATATATATATCGAATGTCAAGTAAATTATTATTTAATTTAGATATAAATATTATGATTCCACAAATAAACTTAATAATTTTAAAATTAAATAAACATGTTAAAATTTAATATTTTAAATGATATTAAATTAAACAAATAATTGAAGATTCTTTGTTATCAGAATAGGAAGGAAAGAAGGTTAAGAAAGTATAAATATAAAAAAATTATAGCTATTTAATTACATAGTATTTATATACAGAATCGAAAATAAAATTCTGACATTTACATGGACATTTTTAATGTATAGCTTCAGTTGTACACATAAAAATAATTCTTATTAAATGAAATAATATTTACAAAATTTTGAGGCCAATGGCTACATAATTATAAATAAAGTTTTACTATTTAAAATACAATAGCTATGTATAAATAACAAAATGAAAATATCATGAAATTATACAATAAAAGTGTACAATAATTAATTAAATCAATATTGCATTATTTAATTAATGCTGTAATAAAATTGACTGAACAATAAAATTATTTCTATTTGACTTAAGTAATTAACCTAAATGATGGATATGTGGAATATACAAATAGTCATTAATAAATTATAAGCTAGAACTAAATTTTGTACTAATCTAACCTTATCATCTTCATCTTATTTATTATTCAATGATAATTTTTTCTTCAACCACTTCTACTTCCATATTACCTTCATGGATTATAGGGTCTCCTTCTTCGATAATTGTTACAGGTTGAGTAAAATGTGTCAAACGGTGCTTTTTTAATGCGGAAAGATGAGGGAAACGATGTCCGCAAATGTCACACGCATGGGAACGTGCATCAGACGGGTAAGCAGGTATGTGTGGCGTCTGATGCCTGTTGCGATGCCTCTTCATATCACCTAGCTGCGTGAATCTGTGGCCGCAAATATCGCATACATAAGGTCTCTCACCTGTATGCACTCTCATATGTGTCCTTACAAAAGCCTTACGGGAAAATTTCTTTCCACACTTTGGGCATGAATGTTTCCTGATTCCAGTGTGAATTACTTGATGCTGATTTAGGTTCGCTCGGGATCTAAGGGATAATAAAAAAAAATTGTTTATTCTCTTAACAAAATTAATAAATAATTATTACTTTCTCTTACCAGTATGTAATAATATATATGTAATATATGATAACGCCCTGAAGACGACCTGCAAAGTGGGTCGAAACGTCGGCAAAAATTAAAATTATTTATATATTTTAATTTTTTTTTATTTTTTTGACCGCACCCTCGACTAATTCCTTCTCATATATGTAATATATAGTAAGAGAAAGTATTGTGATCGTGAAAATTTTTTAATCTGAATTTTTAATGGTTATACACGATTTTGAGGTCCCCCTTAGTCCAAATAACCAAGTCCCACAAAATGGTCTGTGTGTCTGTATATGTGTATGTGGACAATCTAGCTCAAAAACGAAAAGCTATTAAGAGAATAAGCTCGTACGAGACTGATTTTACGTATTTAAGGTTTGTAGATGCCTTAGATGTTACAGCAACTTTTCCGTCAAAATCGGCTAACCGGAAATGTCACTTTATGTCAAAGGTCATACATTTATACAATTTTCTCAAAAACGTCTAATGATTTTGATTAAACTTGATGTATCATTGTATAATTAAGTGGTATTTAATATCATTTTGGACTTATACCCATTGATGTCACTTTACAGGGCTTAAATGCCATATGTTCAACATTTCTTTCTCTAAAGTACCTTTAATTTGGTTTATTTTAAATAATTAACTCTCATTGTCAGGAATTATGAAAAAAGACTAAATATAACTTTTGGAAGAATTAGATAATTGAATAAAGGAGAAAAATGCTTATCTAGGTCGAAAATGAGTTTCCGGAAATACTAGACCGAAGGTATAATTATAATATATTGTTGGAAAGCGGAGATTTTAGAAAAAATAATATCTAATAAATAAAGTTGTAGAATGTAACTAATAAAAATATAAATAATTATTTCTGAAAACTAACATTATTTAACGTAAATCACATTTTTCTAAGGAAATTAAATGAGATTTTCATACTAAATGAAAACTTAAATTTCTTTTTTAAAAGTTTGATAAAAGTATTTAAAATCCACTGAAACAAGACAATGACAATGTTTAAAATCGTTGTACTTGTGTGAAAGAAGAAGGGAAAGATAAAAAGATTTCGTGGATATGTTTATAACCTTAAATACATTTACTGTAGTTTAATAACTCTAGATAGGAGATTATATTTAAATAATTAGGTATCAATCGTTCGTTTATTCCAAAAAATTATCATGTAAACTTCTGTAAAATTAAATTAGTGAATAGTTTGATGAATTTTCCCCTTTTTGATATCCCAATTATATCCACATACAATTAGTGTGACAACTTTTGACCTGTCTATGACAGACAATACAAATCTCGTTATTCCGTTCTAGTAAACTTTGCTGTGGAAAATAACAGTTTGGTAACTGATAGTCATACAATACATAATCAACCGTTGCTATAATAAATAGGATTTTTGTTATTTTAATGGTATAAATGATTTGTTAGCTGTAAAAAAATTTATAATAGCACAACATTGCCAGAAAATAATTTCTATTCAAATAAGAGCAGTAAGTGATTATTGTGTGTTGCGTGCACCAGATTTTATTATTAATGCAATATTTATAATTAAGGCCTGTGTTTATATGTATCATATCCCCAACCATGACAGTTTAAGAAATAAAATCATAAAAAGTATTGTCAAAATAAAAAGGTATGTGATCTATTTTTAAAGCAATTCTAATAAGTGCTCATTGTTATATTTCAAAATTTTAATATCACTAGAATTTTCTGAATATTATTTATTAGGATATGTATTTAAATATATGTATTAAAAATTTCAGAATAAATTTATATGACCTTGTTTGCAAGATACACAGGCCATTGGATAGTTAAGAATGATATCCAATATAAAAAAAAAAAGTTTCTGACCTGTATCCATTTCCACACCATTCACAAATGTATGGTTTGCTGTCAAAATGAATTCTTTGGTGAATCTGTAAGCTAACTTTGGTCGTCATAGATTTCCCACAGAATTTACAAATCCATAGTACATTTGCAGTACCATGCAGCTCAACACAATGATCTCTCAATTTCTTATTTGATGTAAACTTAATATCACAAATATTACAATGATAAAGCTCTTTACGTGGACGAACTTTTCCATTACGAGTAACAGTCGTCTGAAATAGTAAAAATATTATAAATTAAGAGATAAAAAAAATATATACATCTGGATAACTTTTATAATATGAAATGTACTAACGGGTTTCAAGTCAACTATTTCTCCACTTGACTCGCATTCTTCCATTTCTATTTTCTCTTCCTGATTTGTGTTGGCTTGAGTTCTATTGATATGGCTCTAAACAAAATTAAATTTTATTTTAAAATAAATTATAATACAGAACCATAAATAATGATCCTACTTACATGAAAGTAATGTGTAAATCAGTTTTAAATAAATTACTATAATTATAATTACTAACATTAAAATAAAATCAGTAATTATGATTTACAACCTAATTCAGGTTTTGGAGACCTACGCAGGCTTTTTTGAAAGATACATATATCAGTTTATATCATGCTAGTATTTTAATTAATTTGTTTGTATTTATACATGTATATGAATATTTTAGGGATGGGGTGGCCAACCAGGCTAATGCACGAACACAGCACCCCACGTTGCCGGGCAACCTGAATAAAAGATTATTTGATTAAAATAATTACGAGTTCACGTCCCGGTGCCCTGAAGGGCTTTTAACTCTGGCATTAATTCCCCGTCCTCACCCCTGGCTCGGAAAAAAAAACGTAAAAAAAAGTATATGAATCTTTCACATACATGTATAAAAGTGAAAGCAATAAGAAAATAGCACATAATTTTATTTTGACCACTTATTTGATCGCCATCTCCAAGATTGAAATTAAGGTTTACTATTGTATACATAATGACAAAAATGTACTACTTTTATTGGTCAAAAATATTATCAGGTTCTTAAGAAAACAAAAATTTATTAGGTCTTATTTTAGTGTTTATTTCATAAAAAAACAAAAATAATTATGATAAATTTACTCCATAATAAAATGCACAATTTACCTGTAGGACGTGTTTTTTTAATAAACTTTCAGATCTGAATTCTGAAGGGCACAATTCACAAGCGTATTTTGCACAAGTATGGCTATTCAATTTACAATTGTTTTCTAAAACCTTTTCGCAAGTGTTGCACATAGTATCGCAGTTTATTTTATGCTCATCATAAAAAAAATCTTCACTAAATACATGCCCTAAAAAAATTGAAATAAAATAAAATTTGCAACTAAATAAATATTATTTCATTTGTCTTGCTTATCAGCATTAATCAGGATGTCCAAGTGAAATAAAATGAATTACCACAATCCGAACAGACTTTCAACGGAATTTCATCTGCATTTGCTGATTGTTCATCTGCCTCATGTTCAGTCATATGTTGATCAAAAAGTGCCATATCAGTAAAGTATACATCACATCTATCGCACACTATTGGCCCGTTCAAAGGAATTGGTTTATGATTAGTATTTCTGAAAGCAGAAAAAGTTTACAGCTGTGTCTCTCTTTAAAAATTTATTAGGATCAAAATTATTTGAAAGAGACAATACACCAGTATCCGCCATGATAATAGTTGGCGTACAGCAATGTGCTGAACATTATTTCTGACAACCTTAATTTGTGTTTTAATGACTGTTGTATTACTTCTGTATTCAAGGTCTGAACCATTCTGAAAATATTCTAACATGCTTAGAATATGAAAATCATAAACAGCAACTCTACCCAATGGACTGTCATGATGGTTACTGTGTATTTTATCACGTATAAAATAATTATATAAATCTTACCTGAGCTGCTGAGGGTTGGAAAACAGCTTTGACAACTTAGCTTCGGTTTCTATACACTTTTTTACAAGGTTTGCAGCAATGTCAAGATGATCAAAGCAGTCATCACAAATTGTTTGAGGTAAAGAATCGTTCGGATTAACGACAATGGGCAAGCAAAGACTCATTTTTTCACATATATCTAAGTCATCATCAAATATATCTGTCATAAGCATTTGCTTAGCTTTTCCGCACAAACGGCAAATATCGACTAAAGAAAAATAATAAAATTTCTATGAATATAATTTGTTTAACTAAATAAAAAATATTCAATAAAACAATACTAATACTTACATTCAGTAACTTCATCGATGCGCTATAATTGAAATCATGAAATGAAAAAAAAAAAAATTATAAATATTAAATCATTTATAATAATTCATTTAAAAACAATGGGTTCCTTATTAATAAATTTTAAAACTATGAGGAAACATTAAAAATCTTCATGAATATAGACATTATATTTTGTACTTTAAATTTAAAACAAATATACCTTCTAAACACAATCCAACATTGAAAAAGGAGAGATTTCATACTCAAGATAAATAATATTGGTTAAATCTAATGCAAATAAAAGTTATAAAAATAGACACCTCCACCAAAATTGTTTGGAAGAAAAAATGAATAGTTTTGAAAATTAAAAGTACTTTTTTTCATATATGCCTTAGTGTTTTATGGTCGGTTTTATAATTTACTACAATAATTACATTCTAAAGAAATTGAAAACCATTGTAAAACTGTTAAAATATTAAAAAAAGAGAAGCCCAATTTTATAATTACTCAAAAAAGGTAAATATACTGAATGAAATATAAAGCAAAATAAGTAAAACTTGTAAAAAGATATCTCAGTTGGTGAAGTCGATTACACCTAGATACAAGGAAGAGCTATCTTTTTCTTAATAAATTAGACGTCTATTGCAATAGATATAAATACATTATAAGACACAGATTGGGAATAAAGAAAATTTTGTTAAGAATTGATAAAAAAAACAGTTAACATTTATGCTTAATATGTAGTTTCTATGCTTTGTTTATTAGAATTACAGTGAAAATTATATAATTTCTTTAGTAAGTTTGTTCTTTTTTTATATAAAGTTATTAAATAATATATGAACATTTCAAAACTCTTATTGATTAAAAATGTATGAAAATGATGGAATGAAAGCTTTCTTTGCTGGAGGATTTTATTTCAAATCCTGGCTGGATAGTTAAGATTTGTCTTGACATATAATTGGTGAACTACTATAGTTTAAATAATGCCTTCTGTGTCTACTTAGTCACGAAATTAGCACTAGACAATAACTAGGGATTTGAAGCACAGGCAGATCTACGGGGGCGGTCTTTCGGGCTGAAGCCCCCCCAAAATGGTAAAATATAACTATGTTTTACAGAAAAAAATATGAGAAACTATCTCTTAAAGTATTCTTGTTCGTGTAATTACATTTAATAAGACTTCAAGAACCACTTAAACACCATTTCATATAGGTAGTTAATTTATTTATTTTTTTTTTCAAATTAATTATTGTTATATGTATACGAAAAAAAAAATCTTTCCGGCTGAAGCCCCCCAAAATTAAATCCTGGATCCGCTAATGAGTTGAAGCGCATTGCTGTCCCAAGAATCATGCAACTTTATGAGTTTTGAATTTGGTGTCTCTTAGTGGATGAGCAAGAATTAAAATAAACAATTACTTATGTATTTCATAATTGTGGGTTTATGGTTGACTGTAGTGAATAATTGAAGAGAAAGATGGTTGGGGTGATCAATCAAATTAAAATGTTTTAATAATTTAAATAATTTTATTTATTTTTTTATTCACCGATGTTTCGGCCCGAAGTTCAGGCCTTCATGAAAATTCAACATCACTTTCTTTTCTATTTTTTTTTTCAACGCTAATTTCTTTTCCCAGCCCTGATGAAGGCCTGAACTTTGGCGAATGTAAAAATAAATAAAATTATTTATTTTTACCATTTTAATTTGACTGATCACCCAAACCATCCATCTCTTCAATTAATTATGTAATTAATTTATATTAATAATAATTGTTGTTTTGAAAACCCAAACGATAAGTTACAGGATATAAAATTTATTATGGATAAACAGGATTCTTTACAAAATAAAAAAAAGTTAACTGAATTTCTACTTTAAATTCAAATATACTAAACTGGAATCAAAAATAGAATAACTAACTAAATTTATAAAAATAAATTCAGGGTCAAGCTGTTTTTAAACCCATGTATAAAAAATAATGAACTATAAAACATAAATAAACAGAAGCAATTTAAATACCAACAATAGAAAAATGAACTATAAAAGGTTAATTTCAATGTCAATCCCACAATTAGTCATTATCTACTAGTTTGGCAAGACGTAATCCCATCGTTAGAAAATTATCTAAATGTTGATTGTCTTTTATTTTATTCGATATTTTTTTTTTTTTTTAATATTGTATGAAAACATCACTATGGTGAATGCTAACAAAGGAATTATGACAACTGTTACATGAATAGGTGTTATTTTTTTAAAACTATGACTATATTCATTCAGTATATAGACCGAAATAATTACAAAAACATATAACTAAATAAATAAATAGAAAATGCTAGAAATTCCATTTTTTCATATTATCAAAAACAATTACATTATCTTTTAGCCATGGCACCTCATTCGGCACTGAATCTGGTTTTAAAATATTATTCTCAAAACACTTTGGGGAAAAATGTTTGCCACAAATAAGATCACTCTTTGTAGGCTTGAAGTCAGGACGCCCAAGTGCTGTTTTCCATTTGTTTAAACAAACTTCATCATTTAAAGGAAACCTGAAATAGAGAAAAATGTATCTTAAATTCTAGGTGCCTCGATTGATAAGATTAAGGAGCTAAATTAGCGATAAAGGAAGAGGAATTCGTGGTTTTCAACACTTTAAAATATGGAAAACAAAGAGTTGTAATAAGATGGGAGAAGGAGAGATAAAATGCTCATTTGGTGTGAAAATCTTCCACAAATATAACCAAACGTGCCAATGATTTATAATAAACTATTGAACTATAATATTGACAGTTATAATTTTCAAAATAAGTAGTTTTTCCAAAGAGAAACTGAGGACTCTTTCTCTACAAAGAGTTATAAACAAATATGCAATGGAGGTATTCTCCAAAGAGGTAAGAAATTTACGTTTACTTACGCATAAAAGCTAGTTTTCTTGTCCGTTAACAGTGTTTCACAATTAGGGTAAACACATTTCATCGATTTTGATGCCATAACTAAATTAAACTTTCAATTTCGAGGCTGAAACAACATAATAAATAGCTATTCGCAAGTTACTCCACTACGCAGCGCGCTCCCAGAAGCAACTAGATATTTAAAGTTGAAAATTGGTTGTGCACGTGCTTGAAGTAGATGATATAGGAAGGTTATTTTAGTTCATTTCATAGTTCGGTTTATTTAGTTATTTTTAAATTTGTGAATTACAATGCAAAGTGAAAGTAAAGAAGAAGTGAATAATCGTCGTGCGATGAAACGGCCAAAAGAAATTCAAAATGGTATGGATGTGGAAGAAGTAAATGGAATTCAAGGAAATTCTAAATCCGAAAATTCTCAGGCGAAAAAATCTAAAGTAACAGTAAGCTTTGAATTTAGAAAAGTACCTGTCCCAAGGCATAGGTATACTCCATTAAAAGAAAATTGGATGAAAATATTTACACCTATTGTGGAGCATCTTAAACTACAAGTAAGATTTAATTTAAAAACTCGAAATGTTGAAATAAGAAGCTGTCAAGAAACTGAAGATGTAAGCTGTGTTCAGAAGGCTGCAGATTTTGTAAAGGCATTTATCTATGGTTTTGAAGTTGAAGATGCTCTGGCTCTGCTTCGTCTTGAAAATTTGTTTGTTGAAACATTTGATATTAAGGATGTAAAAACTTTAAAAGGAGATCATCTTTCAAGAGCTATAGGAAGATTGTCGGGAAAAGGAGGCAGAACCAAGCATACTATCGAAAATGTTACGAAGACTAGGATTGTTCTTGCTGATTCACGGGTACATGTGTTAGGTTCCTTCCAAAACATTCAGGTAGCTATGAAAGCACTGTGTAATTTAATTCTAGGGAGTCCTCCGTCCAAAGTCTATGGACAACTTCGCAATGTAGTTACTAGGATGGGTGACAGATTGTAATCTATGTACATATTTTAATGTTTGTAAAGTTTAATGTTGTTGTTCAATTTGTATATAATTTTTTTTTTCATATTTGTTTTGGTGATTCTTATTTTTAATATTATTGTTAATACTTGTTAGGATGCTATTCCTAATAGTGTAGCATTTATTCCATTTGCTATAATTTCTGTTAAGTTGATTTTTTGGTTTATTATTTCTGTTGTTCTTGTAAATAGGATGTTGATTGCCATTTTGTAGATTTCAAGTTTTGAATTCATTTGTTAATATCCAGAGAGTTGAGTGATATCGCTATTACATAGAGCTACACCAGGGTGGTGACTGACCTGGAAAAATGTCAAAAGTCAGGGAATTTTTAAAACAGAACCGTCAGGAAAAAGTCAGAGTTTTTTAGTACATGAATATTTTTTTAAAATTGTTAATAAATATATAGTAGATATCGTTTACAATGACTGTCAATAATGGCACTGGCTGTTATATTGAAATCGAGCATGGGTAATAAATAAAATTTAAACAAAATGGACCGAAAACGATGCTTATTCGAAAGAAAAACATACCAATACTATTTACTATTTGTAATATATATATCTGGGTCATGATGTGGCTCATTCGTTGGACCCATGGTGCTCTTTAAAAGAGTATTTATTATCCAGAAATTTGGTGACATATGGATAATTATTATGCTGTTTCTACTATTTTTTTTTTTACTCAAATTATTTTGTAGTTAATTTTCTTTCATGTATAGTAAATAAATTTAGTTATAATTTATACCATTTTTATTATTTGTGTCACCAGATATATTGGTCCGGGAAAACTATTATTAAATTTGGATATGTCAGGGAATTTTACTTTATCTGTCTGGTAGTCACCCTGTATACTCTTTGTTATATAGTTACATCACTTGGCTCTTGGACTATAAAGAACAATAAATAATTAAGTTCGGAATCCACCAAATTTTGCTTTATCCATTTTCACAAATGTCACAGATTTAAATATATGTGCTGAATATATTTGCAGATTACAGCAAATTTTCTCAGCTTTGTCCTGATTTATTTTATATTTCATTTATCTAGTTTAATTAAGAAAAGTTCAAGAGTAATTTATTTCAAGGAATTTATTTATTTGCTTTGTATGAAAAATTAATCACAATACGAAATTATTTACAACTCAGCAGTCCTAGTAATCTGCATATTTCATTGTTTCGAAAACTGAGTTTCTTAAGTTATGCGTAAGATGGTACTTTAGGTTTCATTACGAATTTAATGAAAATGTTTCCTGTAACCTCAGTTGACATCTTATTTTCCCATTTTGCATTCTATTTCCTAATAGTTAACTTTTTAAGTTTATTTTAAGTAAAAATTTACAAGACTTCATATTTGTGGTGGTTGAATGATAAATAGATTATGAGCAAATTTATTTTTATAAACACTATTATGTGTTTATATCAAAACTAATCCCTACCGTCTATATCAAAACTGTATACAGTCTATATCAAAATTGACCGAAAACTATAATAATGTTCAAAATGATTATGATTAGTAAATATTACTAAAATGTGTATTTCATTCTCTATTTTTATTTTGTAAAAAATTTTTTTTTTTGTATATATCTTATTACACTATATGCTATTGAAATGTGAAAAATTACTTAAAGTAATTTTAGTGAATTTCTTCTGTTTGATAGTAAGAGGTAATATTTATCTGGAACAGATATCTAAATTAATGTATTATATAGATCTATTTTATATTTATATATGCGTGTATATTAATTAAAATTAAAGAATATATTTTATTAATGTGATAATTAATATTCCTTTTTCAATATTTTTCCTGTTTTTTGTATAATACGATGTAGTTTCAAAGAATATTATAATATTATTATATATTATAAATAATGATGGTTAAATGATGCTTAAACCCACTTATTTGAAAATAAGTTCCAATTTCAAGTTTAAAAATATCAGTTTTTCCAATTTTTTTTGCTTTCATGAATCTTATTTTGGTTAAAATCAAAATTTTTCATTTAATATATGTATTTATGGTAGAATATTTGTATGTAAGGTAAATAAAGATGGAATTGGTCCTGAAGTTAGTCAGAAATAACATCAAATAGTGTTTAGTTTAATCAGTGTCGACGTTTTGACTGATGTTATAGATCTTCAACAAGGCTCATATTTTTATTTAAGATGAGGATAAGAAAGTATTAAAATAAAAGAAACAAGTAAGGCAGAACTCTTATTATACACCTTTAATAGTTTCTTCTTCTTCACTTTCTTTTTATTCTTGATGAAGAAGACTAATAAAGCTGTAAGAATATTAGTCAAAACGTTGGCATTTAATAAATAATTGAAACTATTTTAAGTTATCTCTGACCGACTCCTGGACCCATCTCTTTGATTTTTCATTTAAAACATCTTGAGAATTAAATTTGAAAATCATAAGGACACATTTTTATAAGTAATATACTTAATGTTTTGTTACATACTTTTATAAGTTTCAAAATCAGCTCAATTAATTAATTAATATAAAATTTTATATTGGTGGCGTTCCGAGGCTTTAATGTTCTCATATTTTGGCTTTACAGTGCAAAAGGTTTTTAGACCAATTTTTATCATTATAATAAACTAATGTTTAAAATACACTAACTATTGAGATATTATTATTAAAGTAAGTACAAGAAAACCAGAGACTAAAGAGTATAGAAATCACTTCATTGAACATTAAATAAATGATAAATTAAAATGTATACGTAAATACATTTTTCTTGTTCTAATGGTATACTGATGTTGGATGCGAAAAATAGAGGTATTTTCAGTAGTAAGAATTGTTTGGTTTTCCAGATTAGTAGGTAATGATTTTAGTTCTATTTGAATGGTATACATTATTATTGATATACACAATATTTCTCCAATTCTTCGGTGAATTAAAGTAACGAATATTATTTATAAAATAAATTGTAAAAATTGCAACAACAAATCATATTTTGGACAGACATCACAATGGTTTGAAAAAAGACTAAAACAGCACAAACAAAATTGTAATTCAAAAAACATAAAAATTAAATTAGCTACTGGACTCTCTCAGCATACTATACAAACAAAACGTGAATTTGATTTCAAAAACGCCAAAATCCTGCAGAATGTAAGTAATACGAATAAACGTAGAATAAAGGAATCAATATACACAGCTAAAAATTTAAAAAACTCTGTAAATAATCAGACAGACGTGGATAATATGAATACATTTTACGCGAGTTCAATTGAAAAAATAAAAATATAAAATGAATTAGCTAATTTTACTTAAAATAGGTCCCCATATAATATTGGGAAACATCATTGTATATGTTTATAATAAATAGTCTTCCCCAACTCCTTTAAGAATAACCAGTCACTGAATAGAAATGAGACTGATGACATGTCGGTGACACATGATAAGGTAATTTTAACTTATTTGAATCATTTAATAAGAAATAATTGAGCAATAATAATGTTATAAAATAATTAAAGGTGGACATGACAAAAATAAAAAAAAATTATTATGAGTAGACGCATGCAATTCGCATAAGTGAAAAGGACAGGTACATGATTGGTATTTAGGTATATAAAAATAATCTCTATATGTTGAAGTATGTAATGTTTTAAATATGATTGTAAATTGTAAAAATATTTTTAGACTTGAAAATGGCTCAATGAGCCGAAGCCTTATGTGTAGTTATTAAGTTGACAAAATTTTGAAAATTGGCTGATAATTAATAAATTTGAAAATTATTGTTATATTAGTGTATTTTTTGTTTTATATTACTGATGATAGTATGAGTTAATTAAATTTTAATAAAAGGTATTTAGATTTTGGACATCAGATTTTTTTTTTGTTTGAAAAAGATAATTTATTAACTAAATAGAACCCATTTTGGAGAATTGCATATTGTATATTATTATTTGCAGGCTGCTAAGATACTTGTTTAGCACACAGATATGATGTATTGATATAGGTAGTTATGTAGCTAATGTATTTAATCCTATCAAACTCCAAGGGACCAATCGCTAGGAACTCTCCGTAGTGGGTAAGGGCTCTCCTTTATGCTGACAATAAGTTGAGACTTACAGGAACGCAAGTAGTGTTTTTTCATTGGTTATTAATCAGTCATTAGAGCTGCTCCCTCATGATCCTGAAACATTTTGTTAAGGATTGCAGAATGTCAGCATATTCCCATTAGACTGATAATCCGTTTGATTGATTGAAGAAGAGTTAACTGACATATAGTAACCTGCAGAAATTTTCATACACAGATTGATAGAAAATCAAAAATCAATTAAATATAAAATCAATTTTCTCAAAAATATTTGTCGCAATATTTTAAATATAAATTTAATTATAAACCAAGAATTTTATTGCAGTAAAAGTTGTTGTCATTCATAGATATATTATACAGCAATTTATTTATTTATTCAGCTCAAAATTTTAAATTAATATTTTGAATGTTGTCCTTTATTTTTGAGTACCATTCAGGCTTTGATTGGATCAATGAAGTAAATTGGGAGGGCATTCTTCAAACAATTTCGTTTAAAGATATTTTACTGATGTTATACACTATGATTTTTGAGCTGTAAATCAACGTAAGCCCATGAATGATTGTCGAGATTCAAACCTGGATTTTTTTTCCCCTTTCCTTGCCTTTTAGGCTACATGGGGTTTATCCTGGTCTGGGAGGGGGAAGTGGCAGGAGAATTATGGCGAGTTAAAATTCCGAACTAACTTCGGTTATCAGGTTGCTGGACAACGTGCTGTGCACACGTTTTAGCCCACTCGACCACCCCGCCGCCAAAACCTGAATTATGGATAGGAGTTTCATCTTCATTTGGACAATTATATTGCAGCCATACCCGTGTGGAGAGTTCGAGCTTAAGGTTCACTATCCTGATAAACATTTGAATCTTTGTTCTAAATCCATTTTCACGATACTATCCTTTACAATCTATGGAAATAATTGATGTTAAGAAAACAACCTGGAGCAGATATGATTTGGAGAATATTAACACAATATGGATTTAAAGCCAGAGTGTATAGAAAAAGATCTATCATAAATTTAATGAATAAGAAAAACGTTATCCTTTGCCAAATAACTTATGAAAAAAATAAATAATAAGTAACTGGTTTTTTTAGATGAGAGAAAATGTAATATTGATAATGTGGAGGAATGTTGGAAAGGAATTTGAGGTAATAAATTTGTGAGCTATAATCACAGGTGGAGCAGGGATTTCTTTGAGGGTGCATAAGTTTGTTTTGTAGTCGGAAATTTGCTTTTTATCGATAGAATAATGGAAGATTATAAATTTAAATTAATTATAAGGAAATTTAAGGTCTGATAATGACAAAAGTTAGTAAAAAATGGACATTCAAGTTATACCAGAATAGCAACCCTTAGGCTTGAACTCACCACATATGGGTATGGCTGCTATATAATCATCCAAATGAAGATGAAACTCCTTTCCAGAGTCCAGAATTAATTCTATAAGCTCATATCAATTTATTGATATATTTGTGTAATTTTTTATTACTGATGATCATTAGTATGAATTAATTAAATTTTAATAAAAGTTATTTAGATTTAGGACATCCAAATCATGTTTTATGATATTTTGTATCTAGGGTATTTTGTAGCATAGAATTTTTTGGTATAAACTTGTGCGTGTATAGGCTTGTTATAACCGATATGTTGTTTTCATAAACCCTTTCGTAAAAGCCAACCATTTTTTCTTTTTCATTAAATTTAAAAATTAAAATATATGCATTTATTGCAGGGATAAAATTAATAAAGGTAGTATTGACATTATACTTAGATGTTTAAAAAAAAAATATATATATATGTTTTCAAGAATTTGTTTTATTGATTTTTTCATTTTCAACCAATGCGTTTATGAAAACTAGACACTATATAAATTTATTGTATTTGTAAAGAAATTTCTAATAAGACAGAAAAATTAATAATATAGTGATTATTTTTTCCAATTAACTCCAACAAGTATATTTGACATCTTTTTTAAAAATGAAACTTAAAAGCTGTCTTCCCATACATAGTCTTATGTGTTAAGGTTACAATTTTGACTTCTATATTATATATTTTAGAAAAATTTTAAGCTAAGTGATCCAGTATTTAATAATCCAACTGAAAAAATATGCTACTTAACTGAGATAATATAGAGTTGGGGTTTTTGGGCGATAAATTGCTAGATTGTTACATCCGTGCTTAACTGAAAGGTTTTATCTAAAAGTATAAATTATAATTCAGGTAATAAAAAAATTAAATATAAGTAAAAATTACTCAAGTCACGAGTGAATTTGTTTAAATCCACATTAAATAACGAACTTTACATTAATTATACATGAGTAGTTAATTAATTTAACATAATTATATACTAATGGTTGTATAGTAAAGGATTTAGGTCAAGAAAAGGCTGTGAAGGAAAACAAAAAAAATAGTAAATATTTTTAGGCAGAAGTTTAGGCTTACAAGCCTTCTCTTTACTCTTTGTAGCCATGAAGAAGGCATGCAGTATTGATCGAAAACATTGAATTAAATAAATAATTATTACTGTTGCGGTTACCCTCCCTGAATGATGTTATTTCTGGTTAATAACTCTAAATTATTGGGGAACATTACAACAAGAAGTAAGCTGGGTGTATCACGCCCAAAGTTAGCGGAAAAATATTAACATATGGACCTATTTCTTGAAAAAGCAGGTGACCACTGCTTGATTAGTTATGAAAATTCGTAAAGGTTTCCATCCAATATCTATCATTTTTAATCTCCTAAAACTTTAAAATCTCTCAAACATCTGATTTCTTAAGTATCCAATCACGAAATCCTTTTCGAATGTGGTTTCCGGTTCAGAAACTACATTCAATTTGCTCTTTCCAAAACCTTCAGTGACACATGTCTCACAATAAATTAATAAAAATTTCGGTAAGTATTAAGTTAAATACTCAATTGGTGGTGTCGGCATTGAACCTTCGGGTTCGCTAAGCCTTTTATTATTATTATTATTATTATTAAGTTAAATACTATACTTGTCTAAAGCTTTTGATTCTCTTGAACAATCTATTCTTTTTAAATTATGTATTGATGGTTGACTGTAGTGAATAATTGAAGAGAAGAATGGCTGCGGTGTTCAGAAAAAAAAGTAAAAATAAATAAGTATATTAATAATTGGTAATTGGTTGACTGTTGTGGATAATGAAGAGAAGAATAGTTGGGGTGCTCAGTCAAAAAAGGAAGGCAAAAAATAAATTATAATATTTATTTTTTACATATGCCGACATTTCGACCTGAAGTTCAGGCCATCATCAGGGCTAAGAAAATAACCAGATAACAAGGTATGAGAAACATAAGTAATGATGGTAAAAAAGATAATAAAAAATGAGACAATAAAATAGATTAGATCTAGATAAAATAGATCTAAATAAAAGAAAAATAAAATAGATAGATATAAAGTAAAATGAAATTGTTAGAATAATGACTAAGAACTAAGAGATAAATAATACAGACTCTTACATAGTCATTTATCTCTTAGTTCTTAGTCATTATTCTAACAATTTCATTTTACTTTATATCTATCTATTTTATTTTTCTTTTATTTAGATCTATTTTATCTAGATCTAATCTATTTTATTTTCTCATTTTTTATTATCTTTTTTACCATCATTACTTATGTTTCTCATACCTTGTTATCTGGTTATTTTCTTAGCCCTGATGATGGCCTGAACTTCAGGTCGAAATGTCGGCATATGTAAAAAATAAATATTATAATTTATTTTTTGCCTTCCTTTTTTGACTGAGCACCCCAACTATTCTTCTCTTCGTATATTAATATAGTAATTTTTCTCTAAATTTTTATTATATACATATGAGTGGCTTCATATCAAAGGGGGATAGATATTGGTCATTTTTAAAAAAAGTTGAGGAAAACCCAATTTTTGTAACATCACTTCAATAGTAAACAGTTAGAGTTGAATCTATTAAACAAAAATTGACTTATTCTACACTTTCTGAAAATTATAGGTGTCCGTATTTGAGAACTACATGATATTTTTCATGTCAGATCCATTTTTGATGTCTGATTCGATAGAACTATTACACTTCTCCCTTCAAAACATTTTCTCAAAAATGAAGATAGAAATCTTTGACTTGACCATCGATTTTTTGAAACGATTTCATTTTCTGTGTTGAAATTTAATTTGGATTTATCTCTTTGTTTTTTATTATTCTCTATACTTTTGTCATTTTATTTCTATTCTTAAGATATTTTCCTAAAGATGCTTAAAGAAAATAAATAAATCAGTCTCCCTCTGCTGATTAATTTTTTCTGAATCTTATCACTTATGAGATAACCTGATCCCTTTAGTACTAATTATAATATTTATTTTATGAAGAGAATAATGCAATTTTAATCTATTTAATAAACTACAAAACTTAATAAAAATCACATTTATTTATAAAATTGATTGAGACAGTTAAAAACAATTCTTACAAAAAAATTAATAACTTAATAGCTAAAAAAACAATGCAACAATTTCGTTACATTTTAAAGCATTCAACAAATGATTAACTTAACAAATAAATAAATCTTATGATTTTAATGACTCCAGGTAAAATGTGGAATTCACTTTCTAGTCTTCAAAACGGAGATTATCATTCCTCGAGTTTTTAAGAACTATAATTTTTATGTACTTGGCTCTTTTCTGCTTTCTTTTAAATATCCTTCACATTGCACTATGAACCTACACTTTTATTGAAGTCATGTTGATAACATTGGTAGTTTTTAAGTAACATTCTTAATTCATTTTGTTCTGATTAAGACTTCCATTACTATTTTAACACTATCTATTGTTTGCTGGAACAATAGTTATCATCTTTGTACTACTTAAAGCTTCTTCCTCTTCGATACCATGCTGCCTTTTCCCTGGAAAAATAATTCACCCATTTAGTATTTAATAAAAAATAAATAAAATGCCAAGATCAATCATTAAAGGATCTGGGCCTTATCAAGTATTAACATGGGATTCAAAAACTTAAAAAAAATATTAATTAATATTGATGTAGAGATGGTTGGCCTAGATATAATATGAGAAGGAGTTGGTCAGGGAGGTGCGGGCAAATAAATACTAAACTTTTAAAAAATAGTATTTCTAATTATTATGCCGACGTTTCGACCCACCTTTCAGGTCTTCATCAAGGCTACAAAAAATACACAATGTAAAAGGTTCATGGTGAAAATAAAATAAATGAATTATATTATATTTATTTTCACCATGTACCTTTTATATTTTGTATCTTTTGTAGCCCTGATAACGACCTGCAAGGTGGGTGAAACGTCGGAATAACAATTAAAAACACAATTTTTTAAAAATTTAGTATTTATTTGACCGTACCCCCCGACCAACTCCTCTCATTAATAAATATTTATTATATTACAGATAAATTTGGTAATTATGATACAAATTAACAGAGAGGCTGTTCAGCAAACATTTGATTTTATTATAGTGATTATTTCTTAGTATTTTTAATTTTTTTAAAATCTCCCAAAAAAAACATTCGGAAAAAAAAATTATGAAAGTACATTAGATACATTTCATAATTTAGAATTAATAAGTAAAAAAGGTAATAGAAGTCTGGCTGCCATCACAACCTTAGATTTAAATAACATAATGAAAGCTGCACCTGTAAACGATAATTATAAAACAAAGCATCTGTGCTTGGGAGAGAATGCCTTATAAATTTGTTTAGAATTGTTACAATTTAATTAGTTGAAATAATTTCAAAGTTTGATCATGTTGGCCGAATCGTGGAATAAGCTTATGATTTCATTATTGAGTATCTCTTCATTATATTTGTTCTATGTGATTAATAAATAAAATGAAAGTCAGCTTCCATAATTTAATTGTGATATGATAATTATTAAATTATTACCTGATTTAATAACTTATTTACAAACAAAATTATATATTTTTTTATATTTTATTAAATTAAAAAAAAAAAGATTACTTTTTCTTGTATAAATCCTTTCTATTTCTGCCAATGTTTTTCCTTGTGTTTCTGGCAAAAAGAAGTAAACAAATATTGTTCCCAAAAGTGCCATCGTACCATAGAAGTAAAACACTCCATGTTTTTGCATATAAAATATCATAGTTGGAAATAATTTTATAGTGAAAAAACTGAATATGTATGTCATACAGGTTGTAAATCCACTTCCTACCTATTAAAACAAAAGAAATATATTAGAATTTTACAAGAAACATTGATCTTATTTAATAGAATAACCAGTGAAAAAATATTAAATTAATAAAAGATAATTATGTTCACATTTTTATTAATAATAATAATAATAATTATTATTAATTATTTATGATAGTACTACAATAATTATTTATATCATAATTTAAAAAAAAAACATAATACTTAAAAAATTAGATCCTATCAAGCAATATTTTTAAAAGATTTAATTTAGTGTAAATAATTTGAAAAATGGTTTTACAATATTAAATTTTCCGAAAATAGATAATTTTTGCTGAGTTCATAGGAACCATAAAAAAAAAAAAAAATTAATAAGTGAAAAGTAAAATGAAGAAATTGGTAGTTAAGAAGTAATACCTCCTATTTAAAAAAATTACTACTTTAGAGTAGAAAAAAAATTTTAAACTGCTATCAATAATCTAAAAAATATCTAAATTTTTCATGACTCTAAGATAACAAAATATTATCATGTGTCAGTTTATATTTCACTAAGCCAATAATGTTTTTAATTCCAATCCTTAATTTGGAATGACAATATTTCGGCTCATCGAGCCATTTTTAGGTAATTTATTATATTAATAACTAAATTTCAATTGCTTCTAATTTTTCTCCTACATCTTTTCTGGGTCATTATTTGGCCTCCCAGTTAATATTTTTAATATAATTTTCTTTTATTCAGGTGTCGTATAATATTTCATTTTATATTTCAGTTTACATTTAAGCCATTTAATAGTAAACCAATAATGTTTTTATTTCCAATTCTTATTTTGGAATAACAACATTTCGGCTCATTATCAAGAATATTATCAACGGGGAGGGCAAATAACGACCCAGAAAAGATGCAGAAGGACTGAAATTGGAAGAAATTGAAATTTACAGTTATTAATATAATAAACGACTTGAAAATGACTTGGTGAGCCAAAATGTCATTCCAAAATAAGAATTGGAAATAAAAACATTATTGGTGTACTATTGGCTTAATGAAATATAAATTGAAATATTATACAATACCGAAATAAAAGAAATTATATTAAGAATGTAATCATGTTATAAATTTTCTCTATTAGTGATAATACAAGCTATTATCAGAAAAGTTAATTATTCATGAGATACTACAAGTAATGACATATTTTTCATGCATAATTGTCTCGCCTACAAATATAAGTTCTCAATCGATACCGCTTTCATTATTTACTTGTGTCAAAACATGAAATTTGATTTTTTAGCAGTCACATGGTATCAATTCTTAGCCATAGAGATATTTTAGTGTTTACAGAAAATTATACACTTATATTTTGTATCCATCATATCAAATTCAAATATGATCTTAATTAGTATTTATTGATATTAACTGTTTTTTTATTTGTTCCTTTGAGAAATAGTTAATTGCTATTTAAAATGAAAAGTTACAGCTATAAAAATTATGGGTTTTCTTCTTCATAAGTTAGAATTAAATATCAAAGAATTGAATTAATAAAGCAGTAGCTTAGCCTACTAAATCTGTTGATAATTAAAATTAATAAAAGGCTATTAATACTTACTCCTCTTATTTGTGCCGGATAAACTTCTCCAATCATAGACCAAGGCAGTGTTAAAAATCCAACCGTACTTGACAGTATGTATATTAATATAGCAATGACAGGTAGGAATGTAGGCGGCTTGTCGACTGTATCATCTGAGTCCTCTCCGAATCCAGTTATGTTTAATGATGAAATACTTTCTTCATCACTCGTCATGTTACCCGTCTCATTGAAAGAAGGAATTCTATATTGATCATCTTCAAGTTGCGGAAGCTGTATCAGTATAAGGGTTGCCAGAATCATGAGTGATATCGTCATTCCCATTCCCGATATTATTGCAGTTATCCTTCTTCCAAACTTCCTCGACATCCAGGCAGCAAATATTGTGAAAACTAAACGAGTTAGACCAATTAGGACTGCAACTACAAAGGGATCTGCAGTTACTCCTGCTTCACGGACCACATCAACCTAAAAAAAAAAAAACAGAATTATTGTCGGTTTTATTTCTAATGAAAATACAATGTCACATACAATAAAAAATATATATTACATAAAAATAGAGTAAAAATATTAATAACTTCATAGCATTTTATTATTATTATTATTAAATATAAAATGCTATAAATATTGTAAATCACATATGGTATGGGCCTGTGATGTAGATGGCAAAGGGAAAATGGCATAAACGAATTTTGGATTGGAAAAAGGTCGTCCGGGGGATGCTGCTCAATGAAGGAATGATGAACAGGGGTATGCAACTTACATAAGAAATTTAATTCAGTAAATATTCTTAAATTAAAAAACATTGGCCATTATTTCATTTAAAAAATAGAAATTTGTTGTTAAATTAAATAAAGATTTAAAATATGAATGAATGTAAATGTTATTTTATATATTTACATTTTAAAATATATATATATATATTTTTTTTTAATGTTATTTTGTAAAGATATGATCTATCTAACCCATCTGTTTATCTAAGTCATTATAATAAATCATGCCATTATCCAAGAAACTTGGGTTATTAATATTATAATGAGGCACTAGCAGATCCAGGATTTAATTTTGGGGGGGAGGAGGCTTCAGCCTGGAAGCTTTTTTTTTTTGCATATATATATAAGGATAATTACTTTGGAAAAACAGAAAGATACTAATTACCTATATGAAATGGTGTTTAAGTAATTTTTGAAGTCCTATTAAATGTAATTAAACAAGCAATAATACTTTAAGACATAATTTTTTAATATTTTTTACCTAAAACATGGTTACATTTTACCATTTTGGGGGGGCGTCAGCTCGAAAGAACCTCCTCCCCCTGTAAATCCGCCTGTATAATGAGGCGAAGCAGAGTACATAACATCTTTATGCTTAAAAAACTTAATTTTTAAAAAACATTTTCATAGGACCATGATCCACTTATGTCTTTGATTATTCAATGTATTAATTATTTTAATAATATTTCTAACACAACTGGAGTTTCATTTCTTATAAGGTATTTAGAAGAAATTATCCCTGTATAATACCTGGTTCTTATAACTTATAAAACTAAATCTTATGTTTTCATATACTTACAGCATAAAAAATGACGACAAATATCCCCGTGAGTTGTTGGAAGAGAAAAAATGTGTTCATGATTAACAACGGCTTGTACGATTCAGGGCGTGCTATTGCTTTGATGACGCTCATAATGTTTTGCTGTTTTCTATTATTTTTCACTCTCTGGGTCAACTCATCTAATTCCGTTTGGATGACTGCAGAATTTTTCGTTGCACGCAGTATCATGAGGGCTTCTTTGGCTTTCTCTGGTTTCTTGTGCGACATTAACCACAATGGCGTTTCTGGTAAAAAGAATATTATCAAGAGTGAAGATATGACAGGGGCTAAACAGCATATTCCTGCAACCAACTTCCAATTTTCCTGCAATATAAATAACAATGAATGAATGTGGTAGTTATTTAAAAAAAATTATCACTTGTATATTTATGTATTCTAGCATGTATGATGAAGAATACTTATGAAGAAATAAGAGCCATTTATTTTTACTTAAAAATAAATTATGTTAAATTCTTGTGTTGGGACTACTGTGTTTTGGCCGTAACTTAATAATCGTCATAGGTATTTCACTGAAATACATCAGATTTTTTGATTCATAATTAAAAGCTTTTAGGGTTAAGACACCTATTATGGACATATTACCAATTATTGACACTTGTAACTTAAATTTGAAATCCTACATGAACCTCAACGTTTATTTTATCAAATTCAAGTCCCAAGTGTCAATAATAGGTGCCTTTACCCTATATGTATGTTTTCCTATTAATTAATTAATATATTTCTGAAGTTATTTTTTTAATTTGACTACAGCTTAGACCGGAATTTTTATTTCAAGAAGTGATTGTCTCATTTAATGTTATTATAGTAGTTCAATAGTTTGATCTAAATTTCCGATTTATATTCTAAAAATAAATAAACATTTAAATTCCACTTTATGAAGTTAAAGATTAGAATAATATTACCATTTATAGTTTTTTTTTTTTTTAGATAGATAGAAAAAAAACTTTATTCTGGGACTAAGTCCCTTCAGAATAATAATAATGTACAAAATAATAGAATATTACTGGCCTGTACGTTTGAAACAATAAATAAAATTGATAAAATAACATAAAAAGTAAAGAAAACCTTAGGTGCACAAGCTATATACAATACAGATGAAACTATGTACAGATCATTTAAAATTATGAACAAAACAATTAAAACTATGAACGAATCACCTGAACTATGAACAAAATTATATATAAGCGTTGAACAACATAAACATACACTTTGAGAAATGAAGAACGAAAAAGAGATACAGTGAGTTCATTTTATAAAATAAAATAAAAAAGCTTTACTTGAATATATATATAAAAATAAACAGTTAATTATAATTGAATAAAAAAAAAAAAATGTATGTATTGAAATTCATACGTCGATAGTAGGAAATGCATGTACTATCTCTAGTATCAAGTATTATGATATATGATTGCTACACAATACATATATAATATTAATAGTTAGCTGGTATCTGACTGTTTTTGGAACAGGAATTGGAATAGGAGGTTTTTGAATGTGTATAGGGAAGGGGCATGTCGAATTTTGATCGGGAGGGAATTCCAAAAGTTGACAGAGCGGGCTATAAAGGAATTTTGGAATGAGGCAGATCTATGAGAAGGGATGTATAGGTCAGAGGGTCGGGATCTTGTAGTGAGGGAATGGATTGAGGACTTAAATTGGAGAAGGTTGTAGGCATAAGAAGGACGATGATCGGTAATGATTTGATAAAGGAAAGTGCCTAGGAAATATTGTCTTCTTAAGGAGGGGAAGAGCCACCCTAACTCAGTGTAGTGGTGGGAGACACGGGAGCGTCTCCGGGTCCCAATTACAAATCTTACGAAGCTATTCATAAGTCTTTTGAGTCTATCACGGAGTTCCACCGAGAGGCCATCGTACACCACACAGCTGTAGTCAAAGTGGGGAAAGATGAGAGAGGAAACTAGGAGTCTACGGTTATTTTGGGGTAGAAGATGGCGGAAGTGATGGAATAGTTTGATTTTCTTAATGATTGTTTGAATAAGTTTTTAAAAGGAACTGAAAATGAAAATTTTAGCCACTTCTAGTTTTAATAACTTAATTTCTTTTAAATCAATATTAGTTTAGTATGTAGACATGAGGCACTCATTTGATACAAAAAAATGTTGGATAAAACAATTTTTTTTTCATCCGGTGGAAAGGTATTGTGTGTATTTATGATCTTTTTCGAAGCCACCAAACTCTAATTATAACCTCAAATCACTGAGAACTTTAATAAATTATCATAAATAAGAACCTGTGTTTTTTCCGAGTAAATAAAATTGGAATTAAAAAAAAAAGTTTTTAAAAGCTTAGTTCCATCAAAAATGTGCTTAGTGACTTCTTGCAATGAACTGATCATATACACATAAGGTGTGAGGTTAAATATACTCTAATTATGCCTTTTTATGCATATCAGTTACTATGCAAGGCATGTTAATACTAAACAAGAAGCAAAAAAAAAAATTCTTTCAATGAGGAGGGATATGACATGTTATATACAGTTTGAAAGCAGAGCTACTAAAAATTTATTAGCAACTACTTTATAACGAGGATTCACAAGTATTATTAATCCAATAGATTGATAGATTTTCTCAAGTTCTTATACAGTTAAGTCAATAATGTAAATTACTGCCTAGGAAAAATAAAACATGGTTGTTTTAAATTATTTTAGAAGTGTTTCAACTGCCTCCCCCAGTGCTACATCCTACGCCCTGAAGACGACCTGCAAAGTGGGTCGAGACGTCGGCAAAAATTAAATAATTACTATATTTTAATTTAGTATTTATTTGACCGCACCCCCTGATTAACTCCTCATATGTTAGAAGTAGTTCAGAGTACTTCTAACATTCAACAGTAAAACTTGAACATTAAGTGAGAGTGATGTTTTTATATTGTTTGATGATAGACAATCATCAAACAATATAAAACCGAGTTTAAACTAAAACTAATATATATTAAGGCTAAACAGTATTTCTGTGCCTAGATAATCTTGTTTTTATAAAAAATATTCACCTGAAATATCAGTCCCAAAATGTAAACAACGGCAACACCAAAAGATATGGCTATTGATGTTCCAGTCATGAGATAGCCTCGCTGTGCAGCTGTCGATGATTCTGCCATGTACACTGTAGATGGAACACTTGAAAGACCGCACGCAAGTCCAGTCAATAAACGACCGATATACAGCTGCATTAAGGAAGGTTGTATTGTAATGCACAGCCAACCAATTATTGCTGGGATGTTAACTAAAAGAATGCCAGTCTTTCTTCCTAAATAATCTATTATCGGTCCTACCATCAAGCAACCAAGAGGTGTTGAGATGGTCGCTAAACTTGCTAAAATAGAAAACAAAAAATTAAAAATTAATTTAAATCATTACATCGAAAAATAAAATAATTTTTGAATAGAAAAACTTCCATAATATACTAACATGTTATATTGTTGAAATTGAAATAAATAACTGTTTTTCTATTTTTAAATAATTTTTTTATAGATTTTGTAATTTAAAGTTTCAAAACTCATTATTACATTTTAGGTACAATCGTCCATATATACAATGTGCCATAAGCCGACTTAAATTTATTCTAAGATAAATTATACTAAATTTTGAAATACTATTTTAAAATTTCAATGAGTATAACTAGAGATACAAAGTGAAACGAAGTTGATGGTACACTTCACTTTAACTTCAAATCATACAAGAACCAAGTTCCTATATATATAAACATCCTATATATATATATGTATATCACATACATAGATATTTAATAACTTTTTAAATATTTACAATAATAATAAGAAATATTTTACCTATCCATGATCCTTCACTGTTCGTGACATGAAGTACATCATTAGGAATCATCATATAAGGTAACACTACAGCTGAGAAACCCATAGTCATACCAGATGAAATAACAGAAGTGTTTGATATAATGCACATCAGGACCTGGAAAGGATATATTATAATTTATTAGAACCTATAACATATCTTTCAGTTAAATGATACTTCTAACAGAATAACAGATCCAAAAAGGAAATAATTTATTAATTGATGCCTCCTGATAAAATATAATATTATTTTCTATTGATTTTGCCAAATATTCATTGGTAATTCTTAAAATATATTGGTTCCATACAATAATAACTAATGTATTTATTTTATAAATTAATATGATTAAAATTAAATAAATATATTTTTATTTTCTTGATGGAATGAATAGAAAATTAATACTATTTTATTAATGACAATAAAAGGTGTAAATGGCCGCAGTCATTATTATTGGTATCAATTATATTTACGTCAATCAAACTGATTGATATCAATTTTTTAAAATTTTTACTGACTATGTCTTTGGAAACCTCCTTCCCTAGCAGAAGCAAGATCTTGACTGATATAATATTGATTCAGTATAATTGCCCATGTGAGGTATCCCTTCAAAATTATTGACTTCACTATATTGCTTCAATAATATTGGCTCAACAATATTGATCGTGAAAAGGACCCGTTAAACATTAAATTCCAATGAGTTTACCTCTTTTTATAGAGATTTAAAAAAATACTGATTGGCTGAAATTGTTCATTTTATTAATTTATTGAGGGTTTTTTTTTTTTTGTAAAAATTCAAACTAATGATAATTCGTTTTCCAATAAACAAATAATTAATATCTCCACTGTCTGGTATAGTAAAGAACCACAGTGTTTGTGAAACAATCTATGGATATTATTTTTCTTTATAATATTATAGTTAATTTATATAGCTTAAAACTAATAAAACAAACTAAATATTAAATATATTTATATATAATATAAAGAAAAATATAATGGCATAAATATTATGCCGTGTATGTTTGAAAATAATTTACATTTTTAGAACTATAAAATGTTTTTTTTTTAATTTTTTAAGTAAAAACATTTTTAATAATAGGAATACCACGATTAATCTTTGCAATATTGGGAAATAGTGAAAATAGGCAAGATAGAAAAAATGGCATAAGACTTACCATCTTCCTTTTCTGATTTAAACTATTCACACTTGCACTTAATGTAACACTCATTTTTATAACTATTTTTTACTTTTACAAGAAATGCTACCTCAAAACCTTTCCTTACATGATCTGAGTTATCTTTATGATAGAAAAAGTATTTCAGTTCCATTATAATACCAAAAAGTCTTTATCTAGTACAAACATAAGAATAATGACCATTTTCATTAAATACCAATTAAAATTTGTTAAATGACCCAAGTTGAGTGGAATTACATAAGATAAGAATTAATTTCTATTTTTGGCTAATAAGTGTAAGGTTCAAAGGCTTAAATCTGCAAAAGTATATTTAAAAAAATATTTCTTATAATTATATTAAATTTAAATAAAAAAATAATATTTTTGTACCTGGATGAAAGTGCATTTTCTACCATACTGCACATCTGCGCCTGCATTATTCAACAGCCCATTTTTCTTCAAATCCATCTTTTCCTACTGAAAAATCAAAATAAATATAAAAATAAAGGAAATATTTATACATAATTATAAACATAATATATAATTCAATTAAAACAAACATAAGAAATACAAGTTAAAGAAAGTACTACAGACAGACTGTATCTTTCAAGTATTTTTATGATTTGAATACTTTTAATTGGCAAGTCTTAATGAATTGCACTTACAAGAGCAATTGAGAGCGGAAGTATTTAAAGTATAAAACACAGGTCACAAGTATTTTAATGAAAATTTATCTCGTAATGTTAAATTTCTTTTAGTTGGATGAAGTGAGATAAGTGCAACCACAGGATAAGTATGTTCAGGGCTTGTTTAAAAAAAAAAAATGATTAATTTTTTTGAAAAACAACTTAGTTTTTAATTTTAGAACATTTTCTTTAAATGTCCAGCAAAGAGCCTGAGAAAATCCAGCTTATATATATTGTTTTTTTTAAAAATGATTACATATGCACACTCAATGAAAGTTCGACCATGAAATCTTGTAATTTTTTTGTATTTTTTACTTTCAACCCAGGATAAACAAATTTTGTATTTTTATAGAGTTTAATGTGTAGATTTTAGGACTTATTTTGGTAATGTGTTAATAATTTTAAAGAGAGAGCTGTGGCTAAATTTGTAGCGTAATTTGGGAACACGGGGCAAGTACAGGCACGGAGACTGGAGCAAGTGCAACTTTGATGATTACATTTGCTCCATATTAAATCTATTGAAAAAGGTAAATATAATAAAGAAATCACACAAAAACCTAATTTTTAAATTTTTCCGGTCATCCTTACGTTGGACTCACAAAAAAGTTAGTATCTCTCAAAAGGTTTAAGATAAAAAAATGAAAAAAATAATGGCAGAATCAGTGAAAAATAAGCTATAACACACTTGCCCAACTGTCATTTATATTTCCTCTTATGGTGGATCCTAGAGTGAGTTTACACTTACCCCGAATGCATGGGATAAATGCAATGAGAGGACATGACATTTTTTTAAAAATTTATAGAAAATGATAAAAATATTCTTAAGATAAGCCAGATAACTCTAAATAACGTGTTCTTAGTTGTATTCCCATATTCCCCTAATGGTTATATCACTGTAACAGTTTAAAAAATAAAAATTAATCTGGTTGCACTTACTCCACATTATCTTACCCAATTTGCAAAAATATTTGCTAAATTACTATACCCGAAAATTCAATAATATTAGCATTACTGTTAATATCTAAAATTAGGGAAGACAAAATTTAATCTACATCAAACAATTAATCTAAGCTTAGTTTAAAAAAAATAACTCGTATACATTTTATTCACCATGATTTAAAATAAAAAATATGAAAATGATAGAATATATCAGCGACCATTTTAGTCAAATTTGATCTCCCTTAGATGTTTAGGTTCAATTAAAAAATATGTTAGGTTTTGTATGAAGGCGAAGAGGTTGATGTAAAATAGTTGTAGTCAAATTAAATCTACCAGTTTGAATTTTCAAAATTTGACACTAAAGTCTGCATTAATGACCTTAAAAATTCTATACTATCAATTTGCATGAAATTGAAAGGATCCAGCACCAACTATTAACTATTTGCCTTAATCTCAGCTGTTCTTCAATGATATTTAATGACATTCTAAGTCTGCAGAATGGGTTTTTGAAAAGACCAAATAGTTGAGAGAATAAAGCATTTCTTTGAGGTATAGTACATATAGCTAGGTTGAACTTAATTTTGAGTAACGATGCTAAATTTGGCAAAAAATGAGCCAAAATATTTAAATTGTATAACATAAATAAAAGCAGTTGACCTTTCGTAAGTAGTTGTTTAACAATCTTGTTTTTTCTGTACAACTGTTTTGCTTGAAGCAGTTGTCCGCTTTATTCTTCGGCTTTGACCGAAGTTTTCTTTTCTCCTCGTCTCGCTAAAATACAGAACAATATTTTTTATTATTTTTAGTATAAATTAAAAAATAAAGCTGAAATACACTCATTCAATTAAATATAATTGAAATAAAATTATTGAATTTATATTATTTTTTTTGTTGTTAAATTTAGATCAAACCAATGGCTATAGGTCAACTGGTACCGTGAGCAAACTTGCCAGGTTGCAAACTACCAAAATTTAAGATTGCTTCCAATGCCCCCAATTTATTATAAACTATGTTTAACTTAAAATAATAAAATATGTTTTATTTTAGGATCCTGAAAAAGGGAAAAAAAAAAAAACCAATTTATTAAAATTTTAAATTAGGCATAACAGTAGGTAGCCCTATACCTTAACAATTGACATCAATTGAATATATTTGTTGTATTATCAAAATTGCAAGTTTACAAGTTTATGTTTCGGAATATTTACTCCCATCTTCAGAACCACAATCCTAATGATCTTGTGGATACCCTTGGGTAGAAACCCAATAATTATTCTAAAAGCAAGATGTTGCTCTAGATGTTATATACCTTATTATAACATGAATTAGAAACTGACGATGGAGTACATTAGTTTTAAGCCATGTATCCACAAGATCATTGGGATTGTGGTTCTGAAGGTGGAAGTAAATATCCCGAAACGTAAACTTGTAAACATGCAATTTTGATAATACAACAAATATATTAATTGGAAGTAATCATTGTCAAATAACAAAAAAAAAAGAGGATAAAAACATGTTATGTTATTGTAAAGGGAGACTACATAAGAGCGCCTACAAACCTTATCATTTTAAGTTCATCACAAATTTCCCTCTTTATAGAATAGGATAGAAAATCATCTTTGTTTTGAGACTAGGTCCCTTAAGAATAACAATATTTTTCATACAAATGAACAATAAATCTGGCCAAAAGACCTTCTTTTGTTTATATACCAGTTAATGTCTAGTTCAGAAAGAATTCATGGGTACCCATATTCTTTCCCCAAGATCAATGGTGCACTTCCTATTCTTAAAAATAGTTCAAGAGAAATCAGAATTAGAAGTTTATAGTTAATATACAATAACTCTTGCTGCAGTATATTCGATATTTTTCCTCTTTTTCTCTGGTATGAAAAAATTTTCCCCCTCCCCCGAATTGAAACCTCATAAAATTATAGTTTCCTCCGAAAAATGTTTAGCCCTGTCAAAATGTTTATGTTGCAACTTGTGCATTTTGGTCATCACTGCAAGAATTCACCGCCTCTTTAGAACTATTCAAATATTACGATGGATTTTCGGGATAATTTGGAACTTCAATTAGTCCAGGATAGGTGTTGGTCGATGTCCCCAAGGATTATTTAAGTTATGCAATGGAATAAGATTATTAATGTATTTAGAAAACAATAAAGGGTAATAAGGAAAGTAATGTGTATAAATGCGTTATGGTATGATAAACAGGAAAAGTAATGTATAATAAGGAAGAAAGATATATTGCAGATGACGTACTATGGAAAAATTATTTTAATTCTCAAGAATTGGTAGGATTGACTTTCTTTGGTTTTCAAATATTTTGCTTCACTGTTACAATTCTTAGGATCATATAAATTTAATTATGGAATAGTTAATTACTAGTTTTGTCTATAAGTTTAAACTATGGTTTGTTCCTTTGGCGCCTGTACTGGGGGAGGGTAAATAAACAATATTTACGAACCTGGTAATTTAGTTTTCTGTTGACGGTCATCCTACACTGAGCACAACAACGTTACTATATTCAGGAGAAAATATATAATACTGAGACTCTACACTTTACAATAACATGCTCATTACCCCCAGCCTATCTATTACTGGTTTCTTGTTTCATTTTTAATAATTATCAATGGAAGGTCATCGGATCACCGATCACTCATTACATCAGATATTTACATAATATTTTAATATTAAATTACACCTCCCACATCCATGACTCTCTCTTTCTCATATAAAATAATTACCTAAAGCCGAAACTATGCAGTTTTCATTGCTATAGGCAAAGTACGTCGAGGTGCTATAGATTTCCTCCTTGTGCCTCGACGATATCGAACTAGCCGACGTAATACTGTACAACAAGTACCTGGAAACAAGAAAAATAAACACAATTATATACAAATATAAAATATTAAAATTTGATTTATAAATTAATAGGATGTATAAAAAAAAATGACCATTTTACCAAATTCAAGATTTCAAAGGACTGTACATATTTTAATCCTATTTAATACTTAACAATGCTTAATAATCCCTTTAGAGCATTCTCTAAGCCTGTTTAATCCCATTCGACTTCTTCAAAAAAGCCTCAGTTAAGTTATTTGTTTCAAAGAAGTAATATGAGAGTGTCCTACGAATTTTTCGTAATTTTAAGGCATCGATGGAAAAAAAATTTTACAGCCGCTGAAGCAACTCGTGAAATTATTAAATATGAAGGGGAAGGTGTCCTTGACCAGCGCACTGCGCAGCATTGGTTTGAAAAATTTATCAGTGAAGATACGACGTTGGAAAGGAAGAAGGGCTCAGGGCGACCATTAATATTGACGAGATTCTGCAGGAAGCTGTTGAGTCAAATCCGTCCACAAGTACCAGAGAACTTGCCAGGGAGTGTGGTGTGTCGAAAGATACTGTTAGTACCCTCCAAAAGAGCAGTAGACACGTCCCTCACGAATTTACTCCTCAGCAATTAGCTAAGAGGTTAGAAATTTGGGAAAATTTCTTGAAAACCCTACTGATATGAGACTCCTGCCTCATCCACAATATAGTCCAGACCTCGCACTTTCGGATTAATACTTATTTAGATTAATCGTCCATCTACTTCAAGGGAAAAAATTTGATAATTTTATGGAAGTTGAGATTGTAGTCCAAGAGTTGTTTGATAGCCACCCCAAAGAATGAGATCGATAGAAACGGAGTATACTTTGAGTATTAATTGTATTTTATATCAAAGAAATAATAATGCAAATATTTGGTTGAAAAATGGTCAATTTTTTTATACAACCTAATATGGGGAGCGAGGTAGGTTAGGAAGTAAGGTACTCCTAGTCTCAAGAGTCAAGTTCGAATCCGACGTGGCAAATGGTTATTTCATCAGCCTCTATAAAGTGGGTTTGAATCAGTACTTTGGGCAAGTTCCTAAAATCATCGATGCGTACTATTGATATAAGTTAGCGCGTTATTTTATTCATTGATTGAATCACCGACGACTCGACAGTTCCAACGTCTTTTGGAGTCGAAAAATCTGTTAGATGTAAACATATTATAAACTCAATGTTGTTATTTCTCGATTGTTTTATAAGTTTATATTTTATGTCTATATTTATTTCTGTTTCCAAATTAAAACGAAAATCAGTAGTTAGGTATTTCCATCTCTTTTTTTTATTTTTTATGTATTTCCAGAAGTGTTAATCTTTCAGTGGATTCCAGCAGGTCGTTCATAAATTTAGAAAAATTTCCCTTCCTATCGCTGTTTTATTCAATCGATTGATATATTCCATCGTTGAGTTTAGTGACTTGCTCTTTTTAAACAGCACTGAACCCAAAACCTTACATTGATTGTAGTAACACAGTGAAAAATATATACAAATATATATTATAATTTCGCACTAGTTGATGCATGCAGTACGCTAGAATTAAAGGTAGTTAAACTTAAGGTAGTTAAGTGGTCATTTTTTAAAAAGTTTCGTAGTAGAGGCCATTATAATTTTTTGTTTGATTTGATTATTAAAATATTAATTTTAAATATTAAAATTATATTCAAACACAATTGGTGAATCCACAGGCTGTGAATCTACGGGGGGAGTCTTTCGGGCTGAAGCCCACCCAAAATGGTAAAATATAACCATGTTTTACAGAAAAAAATATGAAAAACTATCTCTTAAAGTATTCTTGTCCCTGTAATTACATTTAATAGTACTTCGGGGACAACTTAAACACCATTTCATATAGGTAGTTAATTTCTTTCTTTTTTTTTCAAATTATTATTTATTTATTTATTTGATTTTTTTTTTTTGTTGCCTCTACCCTGTAGGGTCATTGGCAACACCTTTGAATTAAACTCTGTTGTAGAATTTTATCATTTTTAAGAACTTTAAAGTTTTTTTAACGGCATTTTCATGGTCTTGTAGATTTTCTTTCAGACTCTGTGCCATGTCTAACTTTCTCCTTATATGATCAAATGTAGGGCATTCTTGAATAATGTGTTTTACTGTCCTTTGGACATTGCAGTTCTCGCAGGTCGGAGGATCAAGTCCTCTTAGTAGGTAGGAGTGCGAGAACTCACAATGTCCAATTCGCAGTCTGCAAAGGGCTGTCTCCTCTTTTCGAGATGGTCGGTGCGAGGTTTCCCATTTTAAACAGTGGGGTTTAATTTCTTTTAATTTCGATTCTCCTTGTTCCCACTTGTTTTGCCACATGTTCCATACATTCTCCTTAATTTTTATAACGTAATCCTCCAGAGGGATTTCATTAATTGATTCAACGGATGTTGTATTTGGCTTTCTTGCTATGTTGGCTGCTTGATCTGCTTGTTCATTACCGATGATCCCGCAATGCGAAGGGACCCAAATGAACACTACTTCTTTGCCCTTCTCCCTTAGTAGCCACCAAACGTTTCTTACATCTTTTGCGAGAGAGGTTTTGGGCCTGTTATGTTCAATAGCTAGTAATGAACTCATAGAGTCTGTCACCACTGCCCAATTGGTAGTTTCACTTGTCTCTATGTGTTTAAGAGCTTCTCTAATTGCTAGCATTTCACCAGTAAACACTGAGCAAGCCTCCGGAATTTTGAATAGTTTTTGAGTATTAAAATTCATAACGGAACACCCTACTTCCTTATCAACTTTTGATGCATCCGTATACAAGATGTGACACTCCTTATATTTTTCCAAAGTTTCTAAAAATAATTTTTGAACTTCAACTGGAAGTGCCGTATCCTTTTTATGTCTGGAAATTGAGGTATCTATAATTGGTTTGACATTGGTCCATCTGGGAATTATTATATCCGGCACATCCAGAACATTTTCAATGTTAAGATCCGAAAAGTGCTCAAGAAGCGTTTCTACAAAGTTTTTCTCCCTGATGTTACCTGATTCCTCATTGCAGAATAATATCTTATTTAGTATGTGTCTTGGGTTAGTCTTGATTTTGAGACCATACTTCGTTGTCATGAAAAATCTTCTGAAGGTTAGAGGAGGTTCACCAGCTTCTGCATATAGACTTTCCACAGGGGAGGTTGGCAATGCCCCTGTACAAATTCTTAATGCAGAGTTGTGTACCACGTCCAACATTCTTAAAGTTTTGCTTGAAGCAGAGCCGTAAACGCTTGAGCCGTAGTCCAATTTGCTTCTAATACTTGCATAGTATACTTTCAATAGGCTTTTTCTATCTGCTCCCCAAGTCGTATGAGAAAGGCATTTTAGTAGGGCAACTCTTTTGAGGCACTCTTCTTTAAGCAGTTTTATATGAATTGTCCATCTAAGCGGGCGATCTAACTCCATTCCCAAATATTTTAGGCTGTTAACGAATGGAATTTCAGCACCACCCATCCGTATTTTTGGATTTATTGTGCACCCTCTTAATCTGCAAAAGTGCATGGCTCTAGTTTTGCTAGCAGATAGTTTAAACCCACTCTCTGTTGCCCATTTTTCTATGTTTTCTAGTGCTTCTTGCGTCTTCCACTTTAAGAATTCTAATGATTTACTTCGAATGAGCAGCATTATGTCATCTGCGTACAAAATGGTTTTTGCAGGCTTGACAACTACATCCGCTATGTCATTTACTGCGATCTGAAAGAGGGTCACGCTGAGTGGGGATCCTTGAGGGGTGCCATTCTCCATGTTGTAGATAGAGGATTCTGAATTTCCGACTTTGACACTAAATGTTCTATTTTTTAGGAAATTCTTTATGTACTTCCATAATTTTCCTTTGATGTGCCATCTTCTTAGTATGTCTAATACTCGCCATCTCCACAGCGTGTCGTAGGCTTTCTCGACATCCAGGAATATGGCAATGAGGTGTTGCTTCTTTTGGAATGCTTGTTGGGCTTCCCATTTCAGTATTTGGACGGGGTCAATTGCGGTGTGGTCTTCCCTGAAACCGAATTGGTACGGAGTGAGCAGCTCTCTCTTTTTTATTACCTCAGTCATTCTCTGATTTACTATTTTTTCTTGCAGTTTGCTCACACATGAGAGAAGTGATATTGGGCGGAAGTCTGTTATAAGACAACTTTTTTCCTTTTTTTGTATGGGCACTATCAAGGAATGCCTCCATGTTAGTGGCAGATAGCCAGTATCCCAAATTCGGTTGTACAGTCGCAATAGTATCTGTTTCCCTTCGTCAGGTAGATTATATAGCATCACATATGAGATTCCGTCACTACCTACAGCGGATTTCTTTGAGCATTTCTGTAGAAAATATTCGAGTTCATGTATCCCGATGGGAATATTGTAGTTTTCTTCGTGGCCTAAGTTCAAATGATCTGGCATATTTTTACAGCTTATAGGGGTTTGGGTAATAATAGAGGATACTTGATAAAAGTATTCTGCCAATTTTTCCGCGATTTCATCAGGGTCAGTTATACTGTCTTGTCCACTCTTTATACCAGGCAATTTCTTTGTTTTGGGGATCCCCTTAACGCTTTTCACTTTATTCCAGAGCTCCTTCATTGAGGTGTTTTGATTAATTGAAGATACAAAGTCTTTCCATGACGATCTTTTGCTTTCTTTTATGGTTCTGTTCGCTATGGCTCTCAATCTTTTAAATTCAATTGCATCAAGCACATTTCTTGTTTTTCTAAATTTGTTGAGGGCACGTTTCTTCGCTTTCACAGCGTTTTGACATTTTTCATTCCACCATGGTACTCTTGTATGAGATAGTTTATTAACTGTAAGAGGAATTGTTCCATGAGCTGCTTCTGTTATTACGTCGCTAATAACGGTGGCGCTGTGGTCGATATTGTCGAGATCTGCAGGAAAGAACTCAATTTGTTTTCTTATTTTTTCACGATAAGCTGTCCAATCTGCTTTCTGGTATTGCCAGTGACGGTTCCTCATTTGTGTTGGAGTCTCGTGCTTCATTTTCATGGTG